GGGGTCCCCCAGCTCAGCCCCATGGTGCGACTGTGCCATGGGGACCCCCAGCTCAGCTCCATTCACTGGGGTCCCCCAGCTCAGCTCCACAGCACAGGGGTGCAGTAGGGACCTCCCAGCTCAGCCCCTCGGTTTTGGATGTGATGGGGACCACCAGCTCAGCCTCAGCATCCACTTCCCCCCTCCCACGGCCCCCACAGCCAGGATGTGACCAGGCTCCATGTGAAAGCAGAAACACTTTATTTTTGGGGCAGCTCTGGCCCCTCCAGGGACAGGAGTGACACCGGGGGACGGGTGATGATAAGGGACAGGGCCAGCACTGGCTGTGTGGCACCAAGTGCGCTGCAGAGGGGTGGGGTTCAGGTGTCACCCAGATCCCAAGCACGCTCTGCCAGGCCCCAGCACCACTTGGAGCTGGTGCCACACATGCCCTGAGGACTCACCCCGGTCATCAGCCAGGCTGGAGCCACGGAGCCAGTTCTCCAGGATGGACAAAACCCCACGGCATAAACCAAGGAGCAGCAACCCCCAAATTAAAGGCCAGGCCAAGCCAAGCTCGTCCCAGAGGCTTTCTGGAGGTGAAGGAGGGGATCCAAAAGTCCCAAAAGTGCCACAGCCCACGGTGACCCTGCCTGGGTGACAGCAGCCCTACAGCGCCAGCGTGTCCTTGATGAGCCGGCGCATGGTGGTGGTGACTGAGGTGCCCAGGGAGTCCGTGATCTGGTAGGAGATCTTGTACAGGTAGGGCTGCACGTCCTTCAGGCTGGTGTCGAAGACATTGTCCACCTCGGACTGGGTGGGCATCTTGGGCAGGTACTCGTGGCGGTTCATCACCTCCACGATGTTGATGATCTTCTCGCAGAGCTTCTCGCCCACCTTCTCGCGGCAGATCTGCCGCTCCTGCTCGTTCGCCAGGTTCACCACGTTCACCTTGATGGTCCAGAGCTCCCAGGGAATGCACTCGTCCGAGAAGGGCCACCGTGACTTCTTCTTCTGGTAGAACTCCAGGGAGATCTGCCCCATGCCGTCGGAGCCGGAGCCGCGCAGCGCGTCCTGCGTGACAGCACGGGGCTCACGGGGGAACGGGGACTGACCCAGCCCTCCTCGGGCACGTCCCACTGGGTTTTACAGAACCACAGAATATCCTCAGCTGGAAGAGACCCCCAGGGATCATCCCAGGCAAACTCCTGGCCCTGCACGGGACACCCCAACAATCCCACCCTGTGCCGGAGAGCAGTGCCCAAACACTCCGTGAGCTCTGGCAGCCTTGCAGCCATGCACACATCCTGGGGAGTAGTTCCAGTGCCCAAGCACCCTCTGGGGGAAGAACCTTCTCCCAGTATCCAGCCTACCCCTTCCCTGCCACAGCTCTATCCATTCCCTCGGTCCTGTCACTGTCCCAGGGAGCAGAGATCAGAGCTGCCCTAGGGATGAAGCTGATGCATCTCCTCCAGCTGAACAGACCTAATGCCCTCAGCTGCTCCTTTGAATCCACCCACACCAGCCCCCTGCTCCATCCTGGGGGACCCTTGGAGATGTGTGCCTTCCCTTTAATGCCTTTTATGCTCCCATGTTCACCCTGTTGGCCCCTCCTTACCTTGAACTCCCCGACAGCCTTGCGGAGGGCCCGGTCGAGCTCCTCAGAGGAGACGCGGACGTAGGCGAAGTCGATGAAGTCGCAGTCCACGTCCTGGGTGCCCACGGTGCCGATGGAGTAGGTGCCCTCCTTCTTGTAGTGGAACTTGCCGGTGCTGCGGTGCAGCAGGATGGTGTGGAGCACGGCCAGCATGGCCTCCTCCACCTGCCGCCCCTCCACCGACACCTCCAGCACCTCGGCGCGGCAGTTCATGGCAGGGGCGGCGCCGGAGGGGCCACAGCAGCGGCTGCTGAGGGGACACCAGGGTGGAGGGGGAGTTGGCTGCAGCCCGGCTTGGCCGACAGCCGCTGTGTGCTGGTGACCCGGTGCCCCGCAGGGAGCCGGGGTGGCCCTCCCGGGAATCCACAGGGACCAGACGGGCTGATCTGAGTGCCCCACATGCCACAAGCATCCCGGCACCCTCGGTAGAGGCCCCCCGTAGCCCCACAGAGATGGGGTTGGTTGAAGTCCCTCACATCCCACAGACATGGGCCCTCCCACACCCCAGGAGGGTCCAGGACTCGGTGCCCCAAAGGGATCCAGGGGTCCCAGGATGGGCGGGCTCCCTCCCAAATATCCCGGTCTGGTCCCCTCACACCCCAGGGCTGTGTCCCAGTGCGTGCCCGCCCACCCAGTGTGGTCCCAGCACAGCCCCTCGGTATCCCACAGGGACCAGACGTCCTGCCTGGAGCCCCCAACAGCCCAGGGAAGCGCAGATGTCCTGACCCGCTCCCCTCACACCCCAGCCTGGCACACAGCGACGCCGGGAGTCCTGGGACGGGCTCTGCAACACCCCAGATGTCCTGCTCAGGTCCCCTCAGGGATCCAAAACACCGGAGGGACCCGGGTGTCCCGGTACGGGCCCACCCTCACCTCACAGGAGCCCGGGGGGTCCTGGCTGGGCCCCCCAAAACACCAACACAGGTCCAGACGTCCCGGCCCGAGCCCACCTCAGCCTCCCACGGAGCGCCTCAGGTTCCCCGGAGGCTCGAGGCCCCGGACCCCCCTCGGTCCCCTCAGCCCCGGTCCCGAGCCCGGCCCGGTCCGCACTCACCGCCCGGGCCCGACCATCTGACGGCTCGGCGGAGGGAAGTGGATCGTCCCATCTGCGCGGGGGGGTCAGGGCACACCACCTCCCACCATAGCGGCCCTTCCGGCCATGACCGCCGTGTTTCATCACTCTGAACTCCATTCTGTGAACTTGATTTTGCCCCTTCCGTGCCCTTCCCGGCCGCGGGGTGTGGCCGAGGGCGGAATCGCCGTTCCGAGTCCGCCCATTCCCCTCTCCCCGGCTTGGTTCGTTCCACAAGGGCCATAGAGCTGCAATCCCGCGGCCCAGAGCGGCTCAGCGGCTCCGTGGCGCCCCCTGTGCCGGCGGCTCCCCGCGGTACTGCAGCGGGGCGGTGTCCCCCGCTGACCCCTGCGGGGACAACGGGGGGACACGCGTGGGGACACCGGCCACAGGGGCACGGGCCGGGCTCGTGGGGCCCACAAACGCACGGGGGACACCTGGATATGGAGGGACACAAGGATATGGGACAGCAGGACCATGGGGAAATAAAGAAGAGGGGGGGGGGTGGTCACAGGGACAGATGGACACAAGGGACAGTGTGACACAGGGATATGGGGACACGGGGGGAATACTGGATAAAGGGACATGAAGGGGGACAAAGGGACAGTGAGACGGCTGGATATGGGGACAGGGATAGAATGGGGACGCAGGGCACAGGGTGTAGTGGAAGCAGGGACGTGGTGACTTGGGGGACACGGGAATAGGGGATGGATGGACATGGGGACACAGGGAACGGGGACATGAGGATTTGGGGACACATGGCTCGGTGTCAGTCGCAGCAGGAATGTGGCCGTGGGAGCCGGGCACACACCGACACAGCCGCGTCTGTACCGAGCAGCCCCGGGACCGCCGGCGTGGCCGGAGCTGTCCCCGGAGCTGCTGGTACCGTCCCCGTCCCTCCTGCAGCAGCCCGTGCCGAGGGAACGGGGACAGCGATGGTGGCCGAGGGCAGCCCTGAGCCGTAGGAGGGGACAGAGCAGAGCCGTGCCGTGCCGAGCCGTGCCGGCTGCCAACCCCGTGCCCACCGTGCCCGCTGTGTGCAGCTCCGCTGCTCCCGCCCCGACTCCCGTTCGCGGCCCCGCCGTGCGTCAGCGCTGTCCCCACGGCGGGGGCGGCGGCGGGGGGGACAGAGGGACCCTTGTTGTGTGTCGCCTCAATGTGGCCCTTGTTCCGCACCGGCCGCGGGTGTCCCCGGTAACGTCTGCTCCGGGGCCAGGCTGTGCCCAGCAGGAGGAAGGCGACAAGCCGGGGGACAACACATCACCCGCCTGCCTCGGGACCCGCGGCTCTGTCCCCAGCTCGGGACCGCAAACGCCACCACCCCCCCGCCAGGGCCGGCGCTGCCGATGGCCACGTCCCCAGGAACACGAGCGGGGGACACGGTCACGCTTCCCGGTTATTTTGGGGAGGATAAATCAGGCGGGCGACAGGTGCGGGGCCGCGGCAGCCGGGGGTGAGTGACGGTTCAAGGGCAGCGGCGTGGGCAACGTGCGGCTCCGGAGCCCCGGCTGTCCCCGGCTGTGACATCCCGGCTGTCCCCGGCTCCGGAGCCCCGGCTGTCCCCGGCTTTGGCATCCCGGCTGTCCCCGGAGCCGGTGCCCCGGCTGTCCCCGGCTTTGGCATCCCGGCTGTCCCCGGAGCCGGTGCCCCGGCTGTCCCCGGCTTCGGCATCCCGGCTGTCCCCGGCTCCGGAGCCCCGGCTGTCCCCGGCTTCGGCATCCCGGCTGTCCCCGGCTCCGGAGCCCCGGCTGTCCCCGGCTTTGGCATCCCGGCTGTCCCCGGCTCCGGAGCCCCGGCTGTCCCCGGCTTTGGCATCCCGGCTGTCCCCGGCTTTGGCATCCCGGCTGTCCCCGGCTCCGGTGCCCCGGCTGTCCCCACGTCCACCGGCCCGGCTGTCCCCAGCTCTGGCATCCCGGCTCCGGCGCTCCAGCTGTCCCCGGCTCCATCGCCCCGGCTGCGATGGTTTTTCCCCAGCTCCAGCGTCTTGTTTTTATCCAGCCCAAGTGTCCCAGCTGCCCCCAGCTCTGACATCTCCACCGTCCCGAGCCCCGGCTGTCACCAGCTCCGGTCCGCAGCTCTAGCTGTCCCCAGTCCGGCTGTCCCCAGCTCCCGTGTCCTGTTTGTTCCCTCTGGCTCTCCCCCTCCGTGGTGTTCTGGCTGCCCCCAGCTCCAGCATCCCGTTTTTCCCCGTCCCCAGCCTCCCCGCTGTCCCCAGCCCCGCTGCTCTGTCTCCCCTTCCCAATCCCCAAATATTAACTAAAGGGGAACACAAGGGACAAAGGTCCCGCCCAGTGGCTCTCACTGTACGTACAAGTTTATATACAGAAAACGGCCAAAAAGGGGGAAACCCAGAAAAATATATATAAAGGGGAAGGGGCCGAGGTTGAGGGGGCCGGAGCCACCCCCCGCCCGCGCCCCTCGCTCTGTACAGGACCCGGCCGGCGCTATTTACATCAGGGGCGTTTTTACAGGGGAAGGGGGCACCGCGCCGGCGATGCCCCCGGGGAAGACGGCACCCGGGCTGCTGCCAGGCTGCACCCTGGGCCGTGAAGGCACATGGGGCACCCCCGAGGGTGCCCCCAAGAAGACTCAGGCATCTGAGGAGGGACCCAGATATCCTGGGAGTGATCCAGAGGGGATCCCAGGCATCCCTGGAGTGATGCAGGGGTGGTCCCAGGCATTCCAGGAGTGAGCTAGGAGTGCCCAGGGGGTCCCAGGCATCCTGTGGATGACCCGGGGTGGGGTTTCCAGGCATTCTGGGGGTGATCCAGGGGTATACATAAAGTCTTGGGAATGGCCCAGGGGGGTCCCAGTGTCCCAGAGGTCATTCAGGAGTCCACAGGGATGTCCTGGGCATCCCAGGACTGATCCAGGAGTGACCAGGGCGTGTTCCAGGCATCCTGGGAGTGATCTAGGGATGCCCAGGTGGTTTCTGGGCATTATGGGGGTCACCCATAGGGTGGGAACATCCCAGGGCTGATCTAGGGTACCCAGGGGATGTTCCAGGCATCCCAGGGGTGACCCAGGGGTGCCCAGGGGGCTCCCAGGCATCCTTGGACTGAACCAGGGTTGCCCAGGGCGGGTCCCAAATGTCCCCAGGCAGGTCAGGAGCTGATGGCAGCCCCTCGCCTGGGACTCAGAAAGGCAGAGTGTCCATGAAGATCTTGTCAACGATGGGCGGCGGCGGCACCAGATCCTCCAGCTTGAGGTAGAAGATGCGCTGGAGGCCCTGGGTGCAGAGGCTGCGCAGCTCGGGCAGCTTCCCCAGCAGCTTGGAGAGGCAGCTGGAGCGGCCGGGCTCAGCCCCTGCTGCCGCCACGTGGTCCTTGAGGCAGCCCACGATGCGGTTCTGCAGCTCCTCCACCCGCTTGGGCTCCTTCAGCCCGTGCCGGTCTGGGGTGACACACAAGCTGTGGGACCGCGGGGACAGACACCGGCTGGGGACGGGGACAGGACGGGGCTGGAGCGGCGGGGGTCTCACCTGTGATGATGACGAGGGCGGCGAGGCAGGAGAAGGAGGGGACGTCGACGCTCATGCGGTGCAGGCTCTGGGAGAACTCGAGGATGGCGTCGATCCACTCCCCGAAGCCACGCACGCACTGCTGCCGGTGCAGCACCACGCCGTTGCAGAAGATGAGTTTCCCTTCCTCCGGCTTGGAGCTGGCAGCACAAACCCGGTGTCACCCCTGGGTGCAGCTGGGGCTCCCCCTGCTCCACACTGCCCCGGGGCTCACCGGTATGCCAGGCGCAGGATGAAGAGCTCCAGGAAGGCTGATTCCAGCAGGAGGTCCTGGTCCTCCTTGGGCAGCTCGGTGAAGCCCTGGATCTTCTCGGCCCACTTGCGGATGACGTCCATGGAGCCGGTGAGCAGGTCATAGAACTGCTGCACGTCCACCGAGTCCTCCTTCTCAAACGGGCACGGGGCTGACTCCTGGAACTGCGATGGGGAGGGGTCAGGGCTGGGATGGGATGGGGCAGGAATTGGGATTGGGATAGGATGGGTCAGGATTGGGATGGGATGGGGCAGTGTTGGGATGGGGATGGGGCAGTGTTGGGATGGGAATGGGTCAGGAATTGGGATGGTCAGGACCTGGGACAGAGGTGGATCAGGAATTGGGATGGGGATGGGTCAGGACCTGGGAAGTAGATGGGTGAGGAACTGGGTGGGAATGGGATCAGGGCCTAGGATGGGAACAGGTCAGGAACTGCTGGGTTAGCAACAGGGACGAGTTTGGATCAGGAACTGGGATGGGGATGGATCAGGAACTGGGATGAGGATGGGTCAGGATCCAGCCCCAGCCCTGGCATGGCCCTGGGCGGGGCACGGAGTGGCACCAGCCCTACCTTGGAGTAGTCGAGCTTGGTGGCACTGGGGATGGAGTCGATGTGAGCCCGCACCAGCGAGGTGATGAGGCTGACCGGGGACGCGTCCGGCGGCTGCTTGGGCTTGGAGGGGAGACGGCCCCGCCGCCCCTTCAGGCTGTCGGTCCGGACCACTGCGGTTGGAACTTGCAGTGAGTGTCTGCCCTGAGTGCAGCCAGAGAGGCTGCAGAGAGGGGACTCCCCGCTCCTGCTGGGTACCCCCACCCGGGACGGGACCCCGCTACCTTCTTTGACCATGCCGACGGCCAGGCACTTCTGGAAGCGGCAGAACTGGCAGCGGTTCCTGCGCCGCTTGTCCACAGGGCAGTCCTTGTTGGCCAGGCAGATGTACTTGGCGTTCTTCTGCACTGTGCGCTGCGGGTGGGGAAGGAGCGGCCGAGCTCAGCCCGGGGCGCTGAGCTCCGAACAAAAGCCCTTCTGTCCTCCCCTGCCTCCCGCTCCAGCCCAGCATCCGGCTCCGTGTCCGTGGGGAGGGCCCCGCGCTCCCTGCCCTGCCCTGCCCCTCCCCGGGACACCGCGCAGCATCCTCCTGCCGCCGCAAAGCACTGTGGGAATATCCCGGCAGCAGCGATGGCCCGGGGCTGCCCTTACCTTGAAGAAGCCCTTGCAGCCCTCGCAGGTGCGCACGCCGTAGTGCTGGCAGGACGCGTTGTCCCCGCAGACGGCGCAGCGGCCCTCGCCCGCCCCGGGGCTGCGCACCTTGGTGGGCGCCAGCGCCGGCCCCTCCAGCAGCGCCGAGCCGGGGGCCAGGGGCAGCCCCCCGAAACCCCTGGCAGGCCCCTGGCTCGGGGGGAAGGCGTCCGTGTCCAGCAGCCGCGGGTCCACGCGCGGCGAGGCGCCGAGCTGCCCCTTCAGGCTCGCGGGGGACCCACCGGGGCTGGGGGCCGGGGGTCCGAAGGCGAAGAAAGGCGGCTGCGACCCCCCGCCCTTGGCTGGCTCAGCCCAGGGCTGCCCACCCTCGTAGTTCGGCAGCGGCGAGTAGGGCCCGAAGGAGCCCTCCCAGCCCGGGGCCTGCGGGGGCTGGAAGCCCGGCGTGGCGGGCGAGGGGATGGAGCAGGGGCTCCCGTAGCAGTCCGAGCCGCTGGAGGACAGGGTCTCGTCCGGCTGCCCCCCGAAGGCGCTGGGGTAGCAGCCGTACACCTGGAAGTCCTCCAGCTTGAAGGCGGTGGTGGTGCTGGGCTGGCCGCTTGCTGGCAGCTGGTAGAGGAAGGCGTCGAACTCGCCGGCGTAGCCCTCCATGAAGGTGCTGAAGCTGGGCAGGGCTGGGGAAGACGCCAGATCGGCTCCAGAAACTTCCATGGGGAATCGGCCGCCCTCGGGGCTGAGCAGCTCGGCCGGGCAGCGCTCGCAGGGGCCGGCGCCCGTGGTGCTGCACTGCGCCTGGATGCAGGGCATCTCTGCGGGGAGAGAGGGGCGTCAGCGGCACCCCGACACCCGTCAGGGCATCCGGGCAGGGGATGGAGACCGGGTGGGAACCGTGGGAAGCGCCCCTCGTGCTGGAACCGCACCTCCATAGCCGCTGGCTGCGTGGTGGCGGCCACCGCCGTCCCTGGGAAAGGTCACGGCACAGCCAATGGGCGCAAAGGACATTCCCCAAAACGCTGGCTTAGCAAAAGCCCCCGAAAGGGAAGGAGGGAGGAATGTGGCCAGCAGATTCCCAAGCCCTAGGGCTGGCCAAGAGAGCCAGAGTTGGGGCTGAACTGGGTTCTGAGGATCTCACTTCCCCCGTAACCCCTGTTGGGGCTTTTTGGGAAAATCAGTGCAGGCAGCACTCCGGGTGAGGGGGAGAGGAGCCCACCCTCTGTCCCTGGAGCCCCCCGGGGCTGTGCGTGGATCTGGTGGGGCATAAGACAAGCAGAGTCCTGTGTCCAGCTGAAAGCCAAGCCAGAAGTGACCCCAATGGCAAGACGATAATGTAATTCATCTCGCAGACCTTTAAAGGTCACGCTGCACTGGCCCCCGGCCACGTCCTGGCACGGCCCTGCTGCCAGAGCCCCCGGATTCCCCCAGCCAAATCTGGGCAGCTCTCTGGGGCACCAAGAAAGCCGACACCCGCCAGGAGCTGGGTTTAAAAATATCCAGCGTGGGTCCGGCTCTGGTACCCACGGGATGGCATCAGCCCCCAGCCCCCTGCTGGTGGTCCCAGTGGAGTTTGTGCGTGTCCAGCTGGGTTAAGAGGGAACAGTGACCCCCGAGCTCCTCCTGTCCCCAATGAAGCCGAGGGGAGCTGAGGCCGTGCTGGGTACACGCCCCGGGGGCACTGTCTGTGCCAGTGGGAGTTTTCCTTGCCTGCATGAAACCCCAGGCAGATGCAACGCCTCGACCCTTCCTGTGCTCCTTGTTTGAAGCTTTTGGCTCTCACCCCCTCGCTGACAGCATTTGGGGTCCCCTCTGCCCTGTCCCCCTCAGGGACCGGGCACAGATTCCCGCAGCAGCCTTTGCTCTGCCCACGGCCGGGTTCTGTCTGCAGATTCCTGGTTTGGGAGCGCGGGCAGCCGCCTGTGCCCAGCCCCGAGGCTGCCGCCTGCACGGGCGGGTGGCAGCCGCTGGCACCGGGCCCCGGGCCGCGGGCGGGTGAGAGCAGCCGGTGGCACCGGGGGCGGCTCCCGCTGCCCACAGCCCTGCCGGCACCTGCTGCCCGGTAATGCCGCAGCGGCTGCTGCCAGGCCCGCGGGGGCAGCGGGGGTTTGCCCGCACGGGGCTGGCTGCCTGCACATCCCTGCTCGCGGTGCCGCGTTCCCGGTTCCGTGAGCGCTGCCTGCCCCGCTGCTGCCCTCTCCGGTTCCGTGACCGCTCTGCTCGGGGATCCCGGGGTGATGCCCGGTGTGGGGCGGCTCTGCCCCAGAGACGGGGCTGGCTGGGGTGCCGTGATGCGGGAACCAGCCCGCTCCCGCATGGAGCGGCTCCCGGTCCTGCGCAGCTCCTCACAGACGCGAGGGTGGTGTTGGGCTCTTCCCGGGACCCCCGGGGCCGGGACCTCTCGCCCTGCCAACTCCCGCCGGGTGGGGATTCCCGGCTTTTCCCGGTGCTACCGGCACTGCTGACCGGTTCCTCCCGGTGCTGCTGGGACGCCCGATCCCCTGCACCTCCCAGCGCCACGCGGGACGCCCGACTCGGCTCCTCCCGGTGCCATCGGATACCCACAAGGGGCAATCCCGCACAGCGCACACAGCCCGGTCCCTTCCACCGGGAACCCCGACTCTCGCCGGTGGCACCGGGGGTTCCTTCCACAGTGTCCTTCAGACACGCGAGCCCCGGCTCCACCGGGACGCGCGACCCGGTTGCCCGCGGTGCTACTGGGACACCCGACCACATCCATCCACCTTGCAGGACGCCCACCGCCCTGAGCCGCCGGTACCACCGGGATGCCCGACCCGGATCCCCTTGGCTCCACCTGACACGCCCGATCCGAATCCCTCCGGTGCCGCCCCGGACAACGGCTCCCGCTCCCCGGGTGCCACCGGGACACCCCACGCCGTGCGCCTCCCGCTGCCAGCACGACCCCCTGCCCCCGGTGCCCCCCGCCCGGTGCCCGCATCCCGGTGCCGCCCGTACCCGGGTGCCGGCGCGGCGGCGCTCCGGTTCCTGCTCCTGCCACCGCCGCTCCGCGGGCTCCGCCGGGCTCCGGCCCCGCCACTACTTTCTCTTAAGCGCTCGGTGACGCGCGGGGCGGCGCGGGGCCGGTGACGCACGGGGGGGGCGGCCCCGGCGGGGGCGCGGCCGTGACGCACGAGGGGTTCCATTGACGCACCCGCGGCCCCGGCTAAAAATACCCCCGCGGCCCCGGCTAAAAATAGCTCGGGCGCCCCTCGCTTCCCCACATATCCCCCCGGGGCACCGGGGGCCGCCGGCGGGGGCAGGGAGGCCCCGGTGTCAGGGGTATCCCCGGTGTCCCCGGAGCCGGTGGCTCCTCGGTATGCACGGTGTCTCCTCGCTGCTGGGAGCCCGGGGCTGGCGTCCCCCGGTGCCTCTATCCTCGCCGCTCTCTCGCTGCCGGTATTTCCGGTGTCCCCTCGTTGCTGGTACTCCGATGCGCCCACCCCCGATGCCCCCTCGGTGCTGGCATCACTTCAGTCCCCACCCCCGGTGGGCTCTCGGTGTCGGTATCCCCGGCGTCCCTTCGTTGCCGGTACCCCTATTCTCGGTGCTCTCTAGGCGTCAGTATCCCCGGTACCGTTATCCCCGGTACCGTTATCCCCGGTGTCCCCTCAGTGTTGGCATCCCCGAAGCCCCCTCGGTGTCGGTATCTTCACCGCCCCATTCCCGGTGTCCCCCCAATGCCGCCTTCCCCGGTGGTCTCCCGTACCCCCGGTGCCGCTATGCCCAGTGCCCACGCGGGTATCTCCGGTGCCCAGCGGCGCCGGTACCCCCGGGCTCCTCCCGCTCGGTGCCGGGTGCGGGGGTAGTGCCGCGGGGTCCCGCCCCCGCCCGGTCCCCGCGGGGAGCCCCTGGCCGGGCCGATGGAAAGAGCGGCGGCTGCTGGCGGGCGCCGGCGCCGGGAACAGCGCCCGCGGGCTGGAAAGATGAGCTCAGCCCGTGCGGAGCCGGCCCGGGCCCGCGGGAGGCCGAAGGGTGAACGGAAGGGACCCAGAAGTCCGCAGCACCCTCCGGTGCCACGCCGGTACCCCATCAGTACCCTCCGGTACCATCCCGGTACCCTTCGGTACGACTCCAGCACCTCCCGCGATGCCCTCCGGTAGCACCCGCAGCTTCCCAGCCGGTACCCTCCGGTACTACCCCGGTACTCCCTTGGTATCTCCTGGTACCGACCCGGTACACGTCGGTACCGGCTCGGTCCCGTCCCTCGCCGTACCCGCCGGTTTCTGCTCCCAGGGACGAACCGGGGGTCTGGGGACACCCGGTCCGCTGTGCCCGGGCTGGCAGCGCCCCCGGGGGTGGCAGCGCCGTTAGTGCTCCCCCGTTAGTGCCCCCGGCACGGTCCCACCGCGGGGCTGGTGCCGGTGCCCCGAGGGTGCCCCGGTGTCCCCGGAGCCGCAGCCGGCACCGGGGCTGCTGCCGGAACCTCCGGTACCGGGACCCTGCCTGGCCTCACGAAACCCCCGGCCCCGCGACCAGAGGGGTCCGGAGGGCGCACGGCGGTACCGGAGGCGGCGGTACCGGGACCGGGAGCCGTTCCCTCGCTCCGGCGCCGCTTCTGGCTGTCGCCCGCCCCCGACGGGATTCCGTGACATCACACCTGCCCGCTGACGTCACACCGGTCACTGACGTCTTGGGGATCCCGCGGCACCACCGGGGCCGCCCCCAAAGGGATCCCCCGGGCCCGGCGGGACTTGCCGAGGTCCCGGCGACGCGCGACGAGGGGCAGGGCCGGTGCCAGCCCGGGGATTCGGCCGCGAGTCCTCGGGACACGCCAGACAGGAGGGTCGCAGAGCTGCCGGGGGTCCCAAAGCCACCGGGGGCGCGGAGCTGGGGGTCGCAGCCCCCCGCATCCCTCGCTTGGTGGCGGCGGTACCGGAGGCAGGAGGGCGGTACCGGCGGCCCCCGCAGCCGGGATTAGCCGTACCCCGGGAGAGGTCGCGGGCACCGCGATGGCTTCGGGGGAGGAAACCCGAGCCCAGCCGCCCTGGCAAGGCCACGGGGGTGCAGGGGGGGACCCCTGTTCACATCAGCCCCAGGGATCCACCCCGACACCCAGGTGGGGACATGGGGACAGGATGACCGCCAGGCAGCCCCCGGGTGGGCGTTGGGGCTTGCAGGGTGCCCGTGCCCGGGCGGTGATCAGCCGGTGCCCACGGCTGCCCCTGGCTCCGTGCCCCGGGCCTATATTTATCGGTAATGACAGGCTGCTCCGGGGCGTTCCCGGTCCGTACCCCGCAGCCTCGGCCCCCCGGCCCTGCCCGGCTCAGCCGGTGCCACGCGTGACCCCGGTGTGCCACGGCCATCTGCCCATTGCCGGGCACACGCAGCCCCAGGTCGGGGCTATAAAAAGCTCAGCGTGGGGTGGCAGCTGCCACGGGGGGTGCCGCGGTGGCTCTGACAGGAACGGGATGCTCCGAGCCCGGCAGCACGCGGGAGGACACCGGGAGCCGCCGGGGCTGCGGGAGCCAGACCATAAATGTCCAGCACGGAGCTGCCCTGGAACGGGGACAAGGCAGGAGAGGGTGGGGGAGCCAGCTGAGCCCCCACGCCCGCTCCACGGCACGCACAGACACCTGCAGTTCTCCCCTCTGGGGGGCACGGGGAGGGCGAGGGGACACTTGGGGTCCCCAGACGTGCCACAGCTGGGACAGAGGGGAAACTGAGGCAGAGCAGAGGCCTGGGGGTGCTTTGTGCCCCCCAACTCCTCCGCGTGCTGCTTTGGTGGCTCTGGGGGACACTGAGGCATGTCGTGGGGGACCCCAGTGCCCGTCCCGCGTGGGCACCGTGTCCCCCGGCCGCGGAAGGGCTCGGGGTGGGACCCGCTTCCCGCCGGCTGCCGGAGGAAACGGGGCAGGAAGGGCCGGGCCGGGGCCCCGCAGCGCCGGGACGTGGCCGACGGCACCGGGGGCTGCGGCAGGCGGGGGGCACAGGGGGTCCCCGGGAGCTCGCTGACGGCCAAGGTGACATCAGGCGGTCACCCCAAGGCCACCCTGCCCGTCCTGGTCCCCACGGGGCTCTGTCCCCTCTCAGTCACAGCCACACATCGCCGCAAATCCTCTCTGTATTGGCGAGCACCGACGCGAACAACAGCCCGGGGGGGTTGTGGGGGGGCAGGGTGGGACCCCCCCAGGCTGCGGAGTGCGGGGCTCCCCCGGTGCTCCCCCCGTTCCCGAGGGTACAGCCGCTTCGGGAGGGTCCTCACGTCTGTCCCTTGGTGTCGTGTCCATCCCTCAGCATCGGCCCGGGGGGCAAATCAGAACCCCTGGGGCCAACCCAAAAACCCAAACCTCCTTCCCGGAGGAGCTTTGCAGCCCCCAGGGCCGGGGGCCGGGGGAACGAAGCCCCTGGCAATAAATAAATAAATAGTCCTGGGGGGCCGGGGGGGGCTAGAGGTGACTCTCCTCCTCCTCCAGCGCCCGGTTGAGCCCCGGGATGAACTTGAGCAGCCGCCGGCGGAAGCTGCTGTGCCGGTTCTTGCGGGGGGCGGCTGCTCCGTCCCCGGGGTCCCCGGCCCGGGCCCAAAGCCTCCCCGCAGCCCCCGGTGGCCCCGCACACTTGAGGCTGGCGCTGCGGGCCAGGGCGGGTCGGGGGCGCGGCGGAGGGGGCGCGGGACCCCCGCTGTCCTCATCCTTGTCCTTGTCGCCATCCTTGTCCCCGTCCAGGGAGCTGGAAGAGGCGAAGACGCAGGTCTGGTAGAGGGAATCATCGCTGCCGCTGGCACGGGAGGAGCCCCCCGGCAGTCCCTCCCCCTGCAGGCACCAGCGGATGGACTCCAGCGTGTCGTAGATGCTGGGGTCTTTGGCCACCACACCTGATGGGGGACACGGGGGTGTCAGGGAGGGCGGCCGGTACCCCAAAATCCTCCCGCCAGCCCCCCCGGCCCCCACTCACCCCGCACCAGCCGCTGCTCCTGCACCATCAGCGAGCGAAACTCCCCCCACTTCTCATAGAGGGTTTGCTGTGGGGAGGGTGAGGGGGTGAGGACCCGGCTGAGGGGGTCCCCAGCCCCCCCATAACCCCCGCCAGCCCCTGCCCACCTTCAGGTACTGCAGCCGGGCCTCCAGCTCGGCCCTGCGGATGGACGTGCCATAGAGCGTGTCGAGCCTGTGGGTCAGCAGCCGTCAGCAGTGGGGGGCTGCAGCCACCCGGGCCCCCCCTGCGCCCCCCAGCTCACCGGAGAACGTTGCCCGAGCTCTTGATGATCTCCACGATCTCCCGGTGCCGGATGCCCTCCACGTTCAGCCCGTTCACGCCCGTGATGGTGTCCCCTGGAGCCCAGGGTGAAGCGGGGTTCAGGGGGGCTGCTCCCCGCTGCCAGGGCACCCCCCAGCTCCCCCCAGGATGTTCTCACCAGCCTTGAGCCCCGCGGCCTCGGCCGGGCTCCCGTCGTGCACGCGGCACACGAAGGTGAACATCTCCACGCTGTTCCTGTCCTGGTGGTGCAGCCCGTAGGTCTGGAACGGGGGTCTGGTCAGGGCCACGGGGGCACCCCGACCCCCAGGAACCCCCCAGGAGCAGCCACAGGGCAGCAGGGCAGGGTTGCATTGCTGCTGGGTGAGCGGGGCAGCCCCGCAGCCCCTGGCAGGGGGGGTCTTGCCCTGCTGGCTGCACCCCGGGTGCCCCCCCGGCGGCACAGCCGGGGCAGGCTCGGTAACACGGCAACTCTGTCACCGCTAAAAATAACCCCCAGCTCAGAGACAACTTAAAAATACCCTCGATGCAAAGCAAGGTGCGGGTTGGAAGGGCGGGGAGCAGGGCACGGCGCGGCCAGGCTCAGCTCGGCTCAACACCCACCTGGATCTCGAAGCCGAAGGACTCCTCTGCCTTCTTCTCCAGCATCACCACCCTCCTGGGGGACACAGGGGTCAGGGGCAAGGCAGAGCCCCAGCACACCCAAACCTGCCCGTGCAAACCTCAGGCTCTTCTCAAAACGCTGCTTTGGCATCCCCAAGCACCTTTGCCTGAGATGGGATTCACCCCCCCTGCCCCAGGGATGAGACCTCCCCAAATTTGCTGTGGCCTGAATGCTTGGGGTGCCAGGCAGGATGCCCACAGGGTCTGGGGTGCCTGAGCCCACCAGGGAGCGAGCTGTGACCCCATGGCTACTCTCACCTCCCCCGTAAAACCCCCCGAATATCCAGCCCTCCCGGGGGATCCAGAGCGGAACAATGTCCCGGGGCCAAGCTCCAAGGCTCTGGGACAGGGACCCCAGCCCCACTCCTGTGCCCCCTGTCCCTACCTGTGCTCCTCTGGTGACTGGCTCGGGGATGCCCACTTGAACCCTGTGTCCTGCGGGAAAGGAAGAGCCATCAGCCCGAGGGGACACCCGAGGGGACATCCCTCACCTCCTCCAGGCTCGCGTGTCCCAGCAGGACAGCACCAAACCCCGGGGGAGCACCGTGCCAAGCCGGCACCGAACCAGCACCCGGGTGCCCCCCGGGCATAACGGGGCTTTGATCGGGGCTCAAAGGCACCCTCAGAGCTGCCCCGTGCTCGCCCCACGCTTTGACGTCAGCCGCGCCGCACCCACCCCACGCCGCGCTCCGAGGGGCCCCGGCACAGAGGGGCCCTGTTGTGGTCACAAAGTCGGGATTTTTGTGCAAAATCCACCCCCCCCCGGCCCAGACAATGTCCCTGTTGTGGCAGGCGCAGAGGCGTGGGCGGGTGGAGGGACTGGCAGGGCAGGACAGGACCCTCACCGCAGGGCAGGAGGTGACAGGGCTGTCCCCAAATGCCCCTGTGTGGCTGCCGGGCTCTGGCAGCTCCAGCGCCACCATAAGCTGCCCCTCGAGAGTGGCACATGGCACGCCCCGGTGGCAGCGGTTCCCTCTGCGCTCTGCCACACGGGTGTCACCAGATAGCGACCGACCTCCCCAATCGCACCCACGGGCGCAAAACCACCAGAACTGGGCGTGTTCACCAAAGGGAAAGTTGTCGCCTGTCACGCTGGGCCCCATGTCACCACAGTGACGGGAAGGTGACGTCCTGGACCCCTCAGGGACATGCCTGGTGGTGGCCTTGGCCGGTGAGTGGCAGCCAGGCCACCGAGCGGATCCGTGGCAGGCAGGGGGAGGCCACTTCTGCTCCGGATGTCGCTCTCGCTTCCCCCCAGCGCTCAGGAAGCACCACGGGCCCGGGGGGAGCGGCAGGGCGGTGTCGGTCCCAGCGTCACCACCGAGGAGTTTTTCCAGACCCGGGGTACTCTGTCACCCGGCCCTTACCCCCCTAAATCACACCCCGGGGTAGCCGGTGGCCGGTCCCTCGCCCTTCTCACCGGACAGAGCCCACGGGGCCGTGGGGTCACGCGTGTCCCACGGACAGAGCCACCAACGGCGGGGTGGGGGTCTGGCCCTGCGCCCTGAAAGCTGCGGGGCAGGACATGGAGAGGGACCAGCACAGGATGTGGGGCTTGGGGGACACGGGGAAGGGGCACAGGGAAAACACCTGAGGGAACGTGGGGAGGGACCCGAAAATGACGTGGGGCTTGGGGGGAAAGCAGGGTGGGGGTACAGGGATGATACCGGGGCAGGACCGGGCAGGATCCGGGACAGGATGTGACGCCTGGGGGGGACAACACGGAGCAAGCGGGACGGGGACACCGGGAAGATGCTGCGGAAGGATGGGACAGCGGTGAGGAGATGCTGGAGCAGGACAAGAGGCTGGGAGCGACCACCGGGGCAGGATCGGGACACCAGAGCGGGACGGGGACACAAGGAAAGCTCGGGCGGGTTCCCGGGGCAGGAGAAGAGCCCAGGAGGAGACACCGGAGCGGGACGGGGACACGAGGAAAGCTCGGGCGGGTTCCCGGGACAGGGGAAGAGCCCAGGAGGAGACACCAGAGCAAACCCGCGGGGCGCAGGCACCAGCGGCCGGGCGGGCCGGGGACACGGCGCAGCCCCGCTCCTCCCGCAGTCCGTTACCGCCCGCGGCGCCCCTTCCCCCTCCGGTGCCGGTGCACAACCGGGGGCGCTGGGGCGCCTCCCCCGCTTGCCCTGCAGCCCTACCTTGCGCACGCGGGGCAGGGTCCCGCCGGCCGCCGCCAGCGCTCGGTACAGCTCGGCGGGCCCGGGGTTCTCCGGGGCCACCGCCGGTGCCTCATCGTCCTTCGGCCGGAGCCGCCGCCGCCGCCGCCGCCGCAGGGTCATGGCCGGGCCGGGCCGGCCCGTGCGCCGCTATATGGCCCCCGGGGGCGGGGGCACGGCGGGGCGCGCCCCTTTCGGAGCCGAGCCCACCCACTTGGGCGTTAAACGCGGCTTTGGAGACAGACCACGCCCGGTGTCCGGCGGTGCCCGGCATCGCTCCGGGCCCGGGCCCCGAGTCGGGACCACGCGCAGCCCAGGGGGGATCCGGTGTGAGGGTCCTGCTCGGGTGCTCGGGGTCCCCATGGAGGTCTGGGGGGGGTCCGGTGTGAGGGTCCTGCTTGGGGACCCCATGGAGGTCTGGGGGGGTCCGGTGTGAGGGTCCTGCTCGGGTGCTCGGGGACCCCATGGAGGTCTGGGGTGGGGTCCAGCAGGATGAAACAATTTGGGTTCCCGCTTAGGGATCCCGTGGGGGTCCAGTGGGAGGGCCTTTCATGCAGTTCTGCACAGGGGGGGGGTCTAGAAGGAGGGTCCTGCGTGGGCGCATCCTCAGGGACACCACGGGGTTCAGCGCGGAGGTCTGGGCGCTTCTTGGGGCAGTAGAACCTGGGGTAGGCGGGATCCTGAGGGTGCAGGGTGGGATGCTGCTGGGAATGTCACGGAAGGCACCGTGGGGTGCCAAGGAGGGTTCCCAGGGATCACCCCCGGGATGATTTGGGGAGAAACCGGCGGGTTTTTCCCAGAGCAGAAGCAATGCCGCGCTCTGCGCTCCCCGACAGCCGCCACCACCCGCGGCCAAAGCCGCATTTGGGATTTAGCAGGAGGCAGGAGCTGGGGCAGGGGTGGCCCCAGCCCCCGGCCCGGCTCCCAGCGGGGGCAGCCGGAGGGATTGAAATCGTTCCTGCGGGATCTCTGCTGCGCTGAGCTGGGACACAGAACAATTCCCGGAGGCAGCCGCGGTGGCTGCTGCGGACACATCGAGAGGCTCCGGCAGCTCCTCGGTGCGCCCCGGCGGGAGGCAGCGGGAATTTTCCAGCCGGAGTTGAGAGCTTTGCCCAAATGTTTGTTTAAAATTTGCCAAAAAAAATGAAAATCGTAACAATCCCGCTGGCGTTCCACCCAAACCTCCCGCCCACAGCCTGGCCTGAGGTTCCCAGGAGACAAGTTTGCTCCAGGAGCAGAGCTGCTCCGGGCTGGAAGCGCTGGGGAAACGATGGGATTGAGCCCACCACCGACCCTGAGTCACCAAACCACCGGGAACCAAGAGGAACAGCCCGTTTTGTTCCCAAAATCTGGTAATGACTTGGCCCCTTGGCTGCAGCCACCCCAGACTGTTTTCCCGTTCCATCTCCTTGAGGAGCAGACAGGTTTTGCTTTAAAATTCCCCTTACTCTCATCCCTCTGCTGCCCACGTTTCCAGGATGGGGCTGGATTTTCCTGGGGACCACAGCAGGAGCTTCAGACAAAGCTGGGCATGAGGAAGGACAAGCCCAGATGGTGCCTCCCCCTCCCCACCGTGTCTGAGCCCGGGGGACCCCCAGGCCTCGGCAGATTTCCCCCTTGATCCGCTCACAACAGACTCATTTGCAGGAGGCTCTAATTAAGGAATTAGTAGGGGCAGTTCACGCAGCACCATTTACCCTCGGAGCAAACAGGATTTTGTAGGGGCATGGGGGGTGGTTTGCTGTGGGATTTATCTCTCCTTGAAGTGGGTCGATGTGGAGACTCGGAGATGCTCCAGGGAGATGCCCACTGTGCCCACCACACCCCCAGGGATGCCCGGAGGGGATCTCCAGGGTATTTCTTCTCTGTGACCCCTCCTGCTCTGTGCCTGTCTCCAGAGTGGGAGCCCCAAGTTCAGCTGCTCATCCCTGCATGGGTGGAAAATCCCACCTGCCGCCTCTTCATCTCACCTCCACTTTGCTGGTGGCACCTCCCGAGTGCTTGGTGGGTGTTGGAAGCTGCATATTCACTAAAAATGGGAATATTCAACATTAAAATGTTTTGACCAGGATTCCTAAGAGTTTATTCTAGCTGTAAGGGATGAGCCCCCCCCTCCCCAAACCCCTCTCTGAGGGACTGAGCTGTGCCCTGCAATTCCCACCCCTCCCAGTGAATTGAGATTGCAACACCTCACATGAATAAAACAAACTTTTAATAATGTACAGCAGAAATCGACAGCCTGGTTTTATATTAAACAAAAGATTTCCTATCTTACACCGTATGTACATTTGCATACTGAAGAGGTAAAGTGGCTAAGTGGCTATTTTCTTACAGTCCTTTGCTAAGAAAATGTACAAAACCAAACAAATCAAAGGGGCAGAGAAGTACCAAGAGTTCTGTCCTGCAGCCACGTACCGCTGATGGACCCCCCCCTCCTTGTCCTGCACCGGGCTCCCCTCGGAACTGCCTCGAATGCTGCTTTTTCCCAGAGCTGCTGCAACTTTTGGAGGCAGGCAGCGATTCCCCCGGCAGCTCGGCAAGCACTGGCGCCCCCGGGCACCGGTTTGCATGAAAAGTGCTGTGTAAATGCTACATGGTCAGCGTTCCTCCCGCTGGCTTTTCCCCATCTCTAAAATCCTGCTGCTAGGGACGTGCCCTGGCCTCATCCCTTGCCCACCCCTGTTTGGTTTGGCGCTGAGGCAGGTGCAGTGTGGCTACAGTTGGAGGGGGCGAGTTCAGTGCGAGTTCCCGAGCCGCCCGTGGGCACCGGGATGGGGGAGCCAGGGAGAGCCTCAAGTACCCAGAGCTGTGCCACGGCCCCCCTGGCTGCCCCAGCTCCTGTTCCAACGGCCTGGGAGTTCCTCGGGGCTTGCAAGTGCCCTCCTTGGCTTCTGACAGTTTTAACTGGGTGAAATCTGCATTTAGGGCTTGCAAGTGCCCTCCTTGGCTTCTGACAGTTTTAACTGGGTGAAATCTGCATTTAGGGCTTGCAAGTGCCCCCCTTGGCTTCTGACAGTTTTAACTGGGTGAAATCTGCTTTTAGGGCTTGCAAGTGCCCCCCTTGGCTTCTGACAGTTTTAACTGGGTGAAATCTGCTTTTAGGGCTTGCAAGTGCCCCCCTTGGCTTCTGACAGTTTTAACTGGGTGAAATCTGCTTTTAGGGCTTGCAAGTGCCCCCCTCTAAATGCAGGTTTAAGGGACACGTGCATGTGGGAACTTCTGGCTGAGATGTGACTCAGGACAAGCTGGGAAGGGACAGGGGATCCCCATCCCTGCTCCCACAGCAGATCCACGCTGCCAAAAACTCCTCGGGGGATGCAAAACGGCTCCTACCATGATTCAAAAACCACATTCCTCACTCTGTACAAGGTCACGGACACACAGGGAATCAGGAGAGAGGGACACATGGACAGGGACACAGACAGCAAGAACAGAGGGACTGAAATAAAAACAACCCTGGCAGCCAGAGCAGAGATGAAACCTCACCTTAGAGAGCAGGAGCAAGGTCAGAGTAGAAACAGTTCCAGTGTAAATCAAGCTGTGCATTTGGTTGTTTCTCTTTTTTTTTTTTTTTCAGTGATTTCTTTACAAACCAACAGGTCAAGAGGTAATAATTAGAGATTGTTTTTCTGCTCTTAGAAAGAATTAACAATATTCAAAAAAGTTAAAATCCAGACCCTCCCAGAAAACAACAACAACAATAATAATAATAACAATAATAATTAAAAAAATAATAATCAAAACCACTCCAGTTAAAAGTTATGGCTTCAGAGTTCTCTACTACAGACACTGACCTCCACACCACGGCTCTTCCTGACTGCCAAAGTCATCAGGGCAGCCACAGCCCTCACTTCCAGAGTCTCTGCAGTCACCCCACCTCTCCCTCACCTGGATTCGGCATTGAATCAAAAGAAAACCCATGCAGATCCCCCCACCCCACACTGAGACACAGCCACTTCCACATTAGGAGATATTTATACACCTATATTAAAAAGATGGATGTTGATTTCCCAGCCCACACCTGCTGCCAGATCCTGCCCAGCACCTCTGGGAGGTGCAGAGCACCCCCAGCACTCAGATCACAGAATCACAGAATGAGCCAGGTTGGAAAAGACCGGTGAGATCATCAAGTCCAACCTATGACCTAACCTAACACCTCCTCATCAACTAAACCACGGCACCGAGTGCCATGACCAGTCATTTTCAGACATGTCCAGGGACAGTGACTCCTGCACCTCCCTGGGCAGACGATTCCAGCATCCAGTCCCTCTTTCAGTGAAGGAATTTCTTCTCATGTCCAACCTAAACTTCCCCTGGGGCAGCTTAAGGCTGTGTCCTCTTGTTCTGTCAGCGGTTGTCTAGGAGCAGAGACCAACCCCTCACCTGGCTACAACCACCTTGCAGGGAGTTGGAGAGAGTGATAAGGTCTCCCCTGAGCCTCCCTTTTTCCAGGCTAAACAACTCCAGCTCCCTCAGTCATTCCTCACAGGGCACCAGCCTCTTTGGATGCTCCAGGCCCTCAGTGTCCTTCCTAAACTGAGGGTCCAGAACTGGGCACAGCACTCGAGGTGCTGCCCAACCAGTGCTGAGTACAGAGATGACCTCTCTGCTCCTGCTGGCCACACTATTCCTGACCCAGGCCAGGAGCCACTGGCCTTCTCAGCCAGCAGGGCACACTGCTGGCTCATGTTGAGTCAGCTGCCAACCAGTACCCCCAGGTCCATTTCTGCCTGGCCACTGTCCAGCCACTCTGTCCCCAGCCTGCAGCACTGCATCATCAGGCCCCCAGAGACCTGCCGGGGTGCAGGAGCTGGGAATTGTGTTCCCAGGAGAACCGAGTCCTGCATTTCCCCACGTGCCAGCCACAGCGCCTGCTCCACCTCTGACACAATCAGCTCCCCACTACCCCAAATTACAAACCCCAGGGGCTCAGGACAAAAAACCTGGATTCCAGGAGTGATTCTCAGTTCCTTATTTGTTTCATCTTAAAAAAGGGAAAGGGTGGCAGTGAGGCAACCTGATGGGACGTTGTGGCAGCCGGCGGCGGGGTCAGCAGCCTGTCCAAGCTCCACGACGCTCACGACTCAGCACGGAGAGCACCAGCGCAACAGCTCACACACGGGACACTCGAGATTTGCACATGCACAGGAAGCACGGACAGAGATGAGCCACCCACAGGCAGACACCGCACGGCTATGGAGGAGATGACCAGGCACGGGGACACGCGCACCTTGCGCATGCAGACACCGGCGCGCCCCGACGGCCGTCAGGGCGCTCACTTGGACTTTTTCAAGCTTAAGAAAAGGAGGGAGAACGGTTTTGTGAAGCTGATCAACTGTTCCGGCTCAGCCTCTTGGAAGAGAGCACCATTTGTTTTGCTTTTTCTGCATTAACGTGCCAGTCCCTGGAAAAATCCTCGAGAGTACGGCAAGAAAACCTTCCCTTTCCCTTCCTGCTCCCGGCACCAAGCACCCGGGGCTGGCTCCGGCCCCACCGACGGGTGCTCAACGCACACTGAACTTTACAGGGATTTCCTTTACAGGAACAAAAAGTTACGATCATGGCTGAGATCCCTCGGGTGAAGTCCCTCTCAAGTCTCCACGCTCTCAGGAGGTGATCACAAAAAGGTTTTGGATTGTTTCATACCCAAGCAGGGAAGAGAGCGGTTCCGTAGGCTCCGTCCCCCTGCCTAGCAGCCTGCAGGTCCCGCTGTCTGGTTGTAGCAGTAGGTTGGGCTGAAACACGAGGTAGGCCTCCATCACATATCTACTCTAGCACAGCATCTCCTGTGCAGTTTCCTCCTGCTGAGGCTCAGAGCCTAAATTTTCACATCTTCCTGGACGCTGAGCTGGGAGAGGGTTTTCTTAATGCGGAGGGCAGTGAGCCGAGCTGCTCCGTTGGCGTACCAGCACTCTCGCATCATCTTGCCCATCACCCGTAGTGCCTGGGCAAGAAACAACAGAAATGTCAGCGCTCTGCTCTTCCCCTGAGCCCACGAGGGTCTGCCAGGCTGCTGCTCTGTCTGGGCACTGACACAGCCTCCACATCCCCCAAAATCAGAGCGTATCTTACAGTACTTGTTACCTCATCCTGGGGGAAATCATGGAAAGGTTTGAGTTGGAAGAGACCCTAAAGCCCATCTCACTCCACCTTCCACTATCCCACGTTGCTCCAAGCCCCCTCCAACCTTGGACACTCCCAGGAAAGAGGCAGCCCCAGCTTCTCTGGGCAGCCTATGCCAGGGCCTCACCACCCTCACAAGAATTTCTTCCCAATATCCCATCTAACCCTGCCTTCTGGCATTGGGAATCCATTCTCTCTTGTCCTGGAACTCCTTGTAAAGATTCTCCCCCTCTTCTTTATTGCAGACTCCCTTCAAATACTGGAAGACCACAATCAGGTCACCCCAAAGCTTCTGTTCTCCAGGCTGGACAATCCCAATTCTCTCAGCCTTTCCTCAGAGGAGGGGAAGGGGACACAGAGATGAAAGCAGACCTTACCTCGTAGCTCTGCCACCAGTTTGGGATGTTTGGCCGTAATTTCTGGTCACACACAACCTTCCGCATCTCCTCAATTGAAGGATCAGAGGGTACAAGGTCATAGTAGGGAAGCTGATACTCCTCATGGATACCTGAAAGGCAGAGCAGGGAAAATCAAATTCCTGGGAAGAAGGAGCGTGGCCACTGTGCTTGCTAAAGGCAGACGGATAGAGCTTTGGGCTCCATGACTCACTGCTGAGATGCGTCAACACTTTGCAGTTATTTAGAACAGAAATGAAGAATCTGGAATTGGAGTTCACAAGAAAAATTCAGGGAAATAAAATGCAGCTGCCTAAACTGGAACGGAGTCAGCAGGCTGGGATCAACACCTCCCAGCAAGGCGCCAGGGTCACTGAACCTCCGTGGCAGCGGGACTGTCACACGTGGGATGATGCTGCAGCTGCACGTGCTGAGACATTTATACTGATCTGGGGGAGTTCCCCACCAACCAGCACCACCACTTCCTGAAAATCCATCCAAGGAACATCAGCCACCGCTGGGAGCACCAACACCCTTGACCCAACACTGCCTGGGCTTAGCAGCAGTCGTGGGTCACTTTTGTTACCTCCATTGGTGACAACACACAGGGACATGACCTCCCACAGCCCTGCTCGCCCTCAAACCTCCCAAACACCTGATCAGTGGAACCCCCAGGCTGGGAGAGCCAGGAGCAAGCCTGGCCACTGGCCCTGGCACACACAGGACTTTACCTCCTGCGTTGCACCTTCGGGCAATCTCCCAGTAGACCAAGCCCAAGGCGTAGATATCAGCACATTTAAACGAATCAAAATGCTTCATGTTGATGGTTTCATCCAGGACTTCTGGGGCCATGTATCTGCACAGAGAAAGGAAAAACATTTTCATTCTGAGAGGGAATTCTCTGGAAGACCGTAAATGATCAGTTTTCCCACACAGCACTTCACAGCAGAAAAAGCTCTGCTTGGCACAGCCACTATCAGAACAGAACTGGGCCCCGTGATCTAAGAGAGTGAAGAAAATAACTCAAGAAATAACAGCAAGCTGGGAAAACAGGTAGAAATGTCTCAAAACTACATCAGGCTCCCACCAGAAGGTCCCAAAGGCTTTAGTGAGGCCAGGCTTGTTGCTATGTATTAAATGAGCTCCTGGTGCCAGGTTTACAGGGCTGTCCCCTCCCAGCATGGTGACACCTGGAACATCCCTTTGGCATCAACTCAGGCACAAAACTGACGCTGCAAGACACTGGGAAACGCTAAATTTAGAGAATTCCCCCAGTGCTGAACCTGCAGCTCAGGCATTTGCAGCCACCCAAATGTCTGCACGTGCATTTTCCTACCGTTTGGTTCCAACCCTTTGGTTCGGTGCGATGTCGATCGTGTCTGTGACGGAGTCGTGCCGGACGGCCAGGCCGAGGTCAGCGATGGCACACGTGCCGTTCTTCTTCACCAAAATATTCTTGGATTTCAGGTCTCTGTGAGCGATCCCAGGTTTTCCTAGCAGACCAAAATAAAAAGCAGCAAGGGTCAAGCTGGGGAAATCCATTTGTCGAACTGGCACAGAGGCAGGACTGGATTTCAGGGCGTTAAACCCGCTGTTGCAACACTTTTTCCTGTTTAGCTTCATAAGGAATGGAGCAGGGAAAGGCTCCAATCGTGTTTTGGAAGCGCCACTGATGCAGTGGCACCCAGAGGCCTCAAGAGGGATGTAAACTCCACATCCCAGCATAGGCTCCGACGTCAGGAGTCTGTGATTCTGCCTCTGCCTGTGCTCACATCCCACCCAGGCAGCGCCAATTTTAGGATGGGATGTGAAATGGTGATATAACTCCTGGGAGCGAGCGCCAGGTTAACCCACTTCGCAGCCAGCCAAAGCAATCGCTCTATTTCTGGTCGATAACCACCAGATGAAGCCAGGCTGACTCAGGCAGGGTTTGCTGCACAGCACACCAGCTCCCTTCAGCAATCCTGTTTTAACCTCCCCTCAAGAATCCCCAACGCCTTTCCCAATTTAGCTTTTACCCTGAGTGCCCACGATCTCCATATGCAGGTGGGCCAGCCCGCTGGCAGCAGACAGGGCGAGCTTGATCATGCCCTCGATAGTCACCGTGTAGCGATTCAGGTAGTCAAAGAGAGACCCGTGCTCGTGGTAGTCAGAGACGAGCCACAGCTGAGTCCATGTCCCATTATCTGCAACGGGAAAGAGATGGAGCTCAGGCAGATCCAGTGAAGGGATGGCCACCGAGCATCCCACACGTTTTTGGGACAGAGCAGAGCTGCTACGTAAGGCTGCAGCTCAACAAGGGCAAGTAAGAAATGGCTCAAATCAGCCATAGAGTGGCCAGCAGGACCAGAGCAGCGACCTTCTCCCAGTGCAAGGCACTGGTGAGGCAGCAGCTTGAATCCTGGAGTCAGTTTTGGGCAGTGTAGAGGCCCAGAGAAGACAACTTAATCAGCTTCAGTCCCCCATGACAAGAAAGATGTGGAGGTGCTGGAGTGTGACCAGAGATGGGCAGTGGAGCTGGGGAAGGGTATGGATAACTTCTGAAGAGCAGTTGAGTGAACTGGAGGGCTCAACCTGAAGAAAAGGAGGCTCAGAGGTGACCTTCCCATGCTGTTCAACTTCTTGACAGGAGGATGGAGCAAGGTGGGGTAACAAGCAACAGCTGGAAATGGCCTAAAGTCACACCAGGGAAGGTTTAGATTGGATATCGGAGAAAACTCCTTGGAAAGGGTGGTGAGGCACTGGAACTGGGTGCACAGTGGTGAAGCCTCTGCTCTCAGACCCGAGGCACTTCTCACCTTTGTTATCTGCAGCAATGAATCCCAGGATGTTCTCGTGCCGCAGCATCACGGTTTGGTAGATCTCTGCCTCCCTGAACCAGGAACGCTCCTCACGAGACGAGAAGATCTTCACAGCCACGTCACCTCCACGCCACCTGCCCCGCCACACCTCCCCGAAGCGGCCTTTGCCGATGATCTCCTGAAGGACAATTGTCCGAGCCACGGTCCGCTGGACAAACAGAGGCAAGCCTGGGGACCAGGAATGGAAGAAATTAATCCCTGCAGTAGCAGAAAACCTCCTGAAACCCCAGAGGCTGAAGAATGTCCTCAAACCCAGCAGGCTCTACATTAGATAACAACTAGGAGCCTGAGCAAGACCCAAAGCAAGAAATGGTGGCAGCTCCTGTGTGGGATGTGCCACTGCTTGGGCAGCACCTGCATCTTGCTTTGAAGCAGAGATCCAGCCTGGAGCAGTGGGGGAACTTCTGCTCCACGACAGATGAAAGGAACTGCAGCCTCAATATGCAAAGAATGGAACTGGATGAAGTCAGTTTCTGCTAAAAAGCAGAAACTCCCCCAAATTTCTGTTAAGAAAGGAGTCCCAACATCGCTGCCATTGCTTACAGAAAGCACCAAGCTCACCTGCCCACAGCATGCATAGAAGAGATCCCAAGTATTTTATATACAGCAACAGATGTGCTGCTGAAGGTTTATTCCCTGGTCAAATACCAGGTTGTGACATTCTCTGCCTCTCTGGATTTTCCTACAGATTCCATCTGCTGCAGAATTCCTTTTATGCTTTAACCCCTCCTAGTTCAAAGCCACCACTAAATGGTGACTTTCCATCTATTCTGGGGATTCCTTTTAAGTGCTACAGAAGCAAACATTGCACATTATCCACCTGGGAAGACCCAAGGGTTCTTTGGGATGAAATAGGCTGTGCAAATGCACTATTTGCACTGTAAAATGTTGATGTGCTGGGATCTTCCCCATTTTCCTGCAGCTTTGATGCAGGTGCTGCCCTGCATTCTCCTCTGAAAGCCAACAATGCACAGGTTAGCAGTTAATGGCTGTTTCCAATCCAAATCCTGTTCCCAAGGCTAAACTGGGAACAGATGCAGCTGTTTGCTCTTGCAGTTAAGGAGGAGTTTAACTACTGCTCTTACCTGAACAGACATGAGACCACCACACAACTGAATTTAAACATTCCTCCAAGTTACTCCTGACAGACCCCCTGAACAGGCTCCGAGGCAGCAGCCTCGCTGCCCTGCCAAAGCTGTGGCAACCACTAGCCCAAAGAGACAACTACAAGTTCTCACTGGTCACGTCCCTCCGTCTCGCAATACCTGAGCCAGAGCCGGAGGTGGAGAGATCATAGACCAGATCCTGCAAGGTCTTGTCCTTGGAAAGGCACATTTCACAAGAAGGATCTTCCATGTCCAGCCGCTGGCGGTTGTGATAGACCCGTTGGTGGTGATGGAACACGAAGACCACGATGATCATGACAACAAACACGAGGAACACGGGCCCGGCAATCACCGCCACCAGCTCCACGGGACCCCAGCTTGACGGGGGCTCGTTGTCTTTCAGGTGGCCTTGGGAGGAAAGGGAGGAGAAAACCAGACATTTTGAGAAAATTACCCTTGCTTTGAGGACTTTGTGTGTTTTACTGTTCTCTCAGAGCCTGGAAAATTTTAGCCTGGGGACACATCAAACAGTATTAAGGTGGGGCTGATCATCAGGCAGGCAAAATGCAGCTGAAACCCCAAAAAGAAAATGGAGCTGCAATTGTGGGATCAGGGATTGTGGGCTGTTCATTCACTCTTTTAGACAGGAGTGTGTTCTGGGCTGATTTTCCAGAACAGCCTGCAGTTCACCTTCCATTTGAACGCAACCAGTCAGCCAGGGCTCCCTGCTCCCTCTTTCCTTTCGTCCTGCAACAGCCAGTGAACTTGTACCTGACAGCAATTATTTGTTGTTTTGAGCACAGATGAGACCTCCCCACTGCTCCCAAGGAAAATGACTCTGCAGTCTTCCCAGCACCCACTAAAAACCAGCCCAAAACAGAAAGTAGGAGGTGTGAGGAAGCACCACATGCCCTCTCTGTCCCAGGGATGAGAAGCAGAAGTTTCCCACGCCCTCACTCAGAGGCAGGGCTGCTTCCCTTGTGTTCTGAACACAGGCACCTTCCTCCCCACACACTTTGCTCTGAAGCTGCTGCAGTGTTCCTCTACTTGTGCTCAGCACTAAAAAGATTTGGAATCTTGGAAGGAAAGCAACACCAGCTGATAAAGGCAGGGCCAGCTCAGTGACAAAGGGAACATACACATTCCCATTTGAATTTGAAGTAGTTTGTTATTTCCACTTTACAGATGAAGGAAATAAACCCAGTGCTCAAGTTCATGCAGCAACTGAAGGGAAGAAGTGAAAACAGGGCCGAGAACTCCAAATTGCCAATCCCAAACAGACAGCTCCTCTCCTCCCACTTCAAACACATGATTTATCTGACTCTCTACTTACCACTGGGAACCATTAAATCAATTTTGTTGCAAAAATCGGAGTAGCAGCAGTGAGTATTACGCAGATCCTCTGAACTCAGACAATAGAAGGGTTTCCCAGCAGGAATCAATTTTGCCTCAGGAATGCAGGTCCGAACGTGGTGTTTGACACCATCCAGGTTGAATACTGAGACCATGCAGGCACCGTCTGTCTCACACGTGGAGTTGGCTTGTTTGCAGTCAGAGCACAGACATGTCAAAGCTGAAATCAAAACAAGATCAACCCCTTAAAACCCACAGAGAGCAGATGCTCGAACGAGAGGAAACCTTCTTTAAATTCTCCATTTCAGAAGGGCAGCTCTCAAGCCCTGGAAGAACCGGCTCTGCAAACAACACAAGTCATACTCTGTATTCCAGACCTGCAAGAATCCAATTTCGGCATGAAACAGACTGTGGAGGCAGAGGAGCCTTTCCAGGAGGTGCCTGTCCAGGCAGCCCTTTGCCTGCCCCTGTTGCAATCACCACCAGCCATGACCCAAGTCATGCCTGCAAACCGGGCGAGATCTGACCGAGATCCTCTCCCAGCCCAACCTCGGGTCAGACTCAACCCAAAAAGCAGCAATTACTCAAACTGACTGACCTGACTCCACCTGGGCTGACTGTCCAGGCTCCCTGCAGCTGCCTAATGTGGGCTGGCAAGGGACAACCACCCCAGCTCACAGAGACAAGGAGCAGCTGGCAGAGGCCAAACCAACCCCACGAGCCAAGCGTGCACACCCAGCTAGATCAGCCACTTATTTAATAACTGCTTTCCTGATCCGAGACACTACCTTGGGTCAAATAAATTCCTGGCTTTTTGCCTGCTCTCCACAAAGATTATTTGGATAAAGAGAAGGAGAAACTCTGAGGCAGATTCCCACATTTTTCCACCTCCCAGCTGTCATTGTAGTTTTCTCAAGCTGCCTGAAAAACTATAAGCAAATCCCCAGGCCTTGCCATCCTTGGGAACAAAGAGGAATCCAACAATGTCAAGAAGAAGGGTGGGGCTTGTTTAGCAGCAGGCTGGGTTTTCACCAGCTTTCATCAGCTCTCCCAGCCTTCCCAGAGGGAATCCAAAACATGTCCTTACCCGCTGCAGAAATGGGCTTTCAGGTAGGGAGGGTGTGAAGAGGGGTTTGAAAAGATACAAGTGCCACAGTTAACTCTGGCCAGGCTGATCTAAATCCTCTCAGTGTGAAGTCACACACAAAGTCACCCTCCACACTTGTGGTGTGGGGCCATTTTACCCTAAGCTTAATGAAAAACAAGCTGGTCCTGATTTACTCAGGGCTCCTTTAGGAGGAAGACACCCATTAGCCCTTATCCCAGAGACCTGGGTAAATCAATCAGGCTAATTGCATTACTATTCACTTAATTCTCTCTGGACGCTGCTCCTCCTTTTCCAGCTGCTGTTGTGAGCTGTTTCAGATGGGCTGAATGTGGGTGCTGGTTAGTTTGGAATCAACAGATTCAAAACTGCAGTGAAAAGCCAGTGACAAGAGCCAAGGGAACGTCTGGAGCTGTGTCAGGAGAGGTTTGGGATGGGCATCAGGGAAAGGTTCTTCCCCCAGAGGGTGCTGGCACTGCCCAGGCTCCCCAGGGAAGGGGCACAGCCCCGAGGCTGCCACAGCTCCAGGAGTGTTTGGACAGCGCTGCCAGGGATGCCCAGAGTGAGATTTTGGGATGTCTGCTCAAGACCAGGAATTGGACTGGATGATCCTGGTGGACCCTTTCCAACTCAGGACATTTCATGATTCTGTAACTGATCAAAAGCTGTTGAGTGAGACACCTTTAAAAAGCATCTCGAGTAAATGGAGCTAATTACCAGGTGCTCAGCACAGGCATGGGACAGAAAACGGACAGGGAAGACTGTCAGACTGATCTGTGTTGAGAAGGGTGGAGAACATCCATAGATTCTGAAGATTTTAAGAGGAAATGTTCTAATAAAAGAAAAAAAAACCCAAAAAACCTCCACTAACATGCACTTCGAACAGCTCCAAGATCAGTGTTCTCCCATGGTCAGCAGAGTGCAGAAAAGACAATTCTGAAAAATACATACACTTGAGAGAACAAAGGTTGGTGATAAAGGATGTTTTATGGAAATCTGAGATGCCAAAGAGCACCCAGGGCACATTCCTGCCTTCATGTCTACTTAAAAGGAAATGGTCTTTTAAAGCATCTCCCTTATTACTTATCAAAAGCTCGAGGTACAAATTAAAAACATTTAACCCACACACATTTCACTATGTAGGTTCTTTTCAGTTTGATTTAGATACAACAAAACTGAACTTTGTTCCTGTTAGACTCATTTTTGAGGTCTCAATTCCAAGATTTAGGCTGTGGCAGTTTTGCTTCCAGAAGCTACAAAGCAAACAAAACACTTCAATGCACTAATAAAACTGGTTTTGTAAACTTCTGAGTGAATTATCTGGTCTGAAACTGAGCATGCCTTTGAGAGTGAAAGCAGAGAGGCAGGTCGTGTCTGCTCAGTCTCATCTGTAGGATTAAAAAACAACCAAAAAAATCAGTTTACCTGCAAGGTATGATACCAGAGCCCCAGCTTTGAGACAGAGTGAGATCCTTATCTGCTCTGTGCAGAAAACGAAAATTTCCTGCTGAAGGAGGAGGATGCCCCATGGCTTCACCTCACCCTGTTTCTCCTCTGAGACAACTGCTCTTTTTAAACTGTAATTCTTATGTTTGCACCTCAAAAATCCCCAGGGTCAGAGAGCAGCTAGAACAAAGAGAATGGAGCCTTCAGCACATGACTGTCCTTCTCTCCACCTCTCATCACAGACCCTTGAGGGGCTTTCCAGGTATTGTTGGCCAGAACCTCCAGGCTGCAGGCAGGAATGCTCCAATTTTCTGTGTGTGCCAGGGAGGAAAGGCCTGTCTGCACCGGGGCTCACTGGGAAGCTCCTGGCAAAGAGAATTACAGAGCAACTCATGCGGGTCCAGTAACTCCAGTTTGCTTAACCAGAAATGCAAATTCTTCCATCAGAAACTTATCAGAAGCCAGGAAAAAGCAACTGTTGTTTGCCCTTGGGTGGGTGACAGAAGGTGGGCAGGGAAGCAGAGCCCCCCGCTGGTATCTCCTGGGTGCTCTCGAGAGCAGCCGGGGCAAAGCAGGAGACAGGAGTGGATAAAAGGATTTTTCATGCCAACAGCATTCTTTTTCCTTCGGGAAGAAAAGCTCCTATTGAGCCAAACGTATAATCTACTTAATAAAAAAACCGCCTGGGCTGAAGGAAATGGATGGGGTGAAGGGAAACAAAGAGCAGTTCCCAGAGCTGGGGCTGGGGCGGCGTGTTCCCCCCTCGCAGAGCGCCCGGGGATGCGTCTGCATGGAAGGTGCTGGAGCTGGAGCTGGAGCAGAGCCTCAATCTGCTCCCCACACCAACACCCTGAGCCCGGCCCAGCCCTCCAGAGACACTGCCTGAACAAGCCCAACATTCAGCTGCACATCCTGTGCATGAAAAGCTTTGTTCTCACTGGAGGGATGGAGCAGGTTGGAGCGAACCTTGCTGAGATTCGATCCCAGGCTGGGCCTCACTGCTCTTCCTCAAAACCGCAGAGGTCACTCAGCATTGACAATAAACAAAAAATTATTTGTTTATTGGCAGTTCTGAGTGACCTCTCCTTGATCTTCGACTATCCCAGCCCAGGGTTTGACTCCTTCAAGCCCAAGAGCTGGTTCTGCTCCCCACGAGGTTGCCAGGTCACAGTCCCAGCTCTGAAAGGATGCTGGGGCACAGAGGTGTCCACATCCCCCTGCATCAACCACAGAAAAAAGGAAAAAAGCAAAGGCTGGCTCTCTCCCTCCAAATCCCCCCATTAAAAGCAACCTGCATTCCCGAAATGGATCCAAACAAACAGGTGGGGGGCTGTAGATTTGAGCTCTGTGCTCCAGGGAGACTCAAACACTGAGCTCTGACAGGCAAAGAACATTTCTCCTCCTTTCCCAGCAACTCTCTGAGCTCATTTTGCACGTATTTATTCTCACACGGAGTTGCATGTGTCAAGATGTCTCTGCAGCTAGACAGAGGAAAGTTTCACAGCAGAATCTCCTGCAATGGTGTTAACCACCTTTTGGAATACATTTTCCAGCATCTCCCGAAGCTGCGCCTAAGAAAGATGCCATTTTCTCAGGGCTGAAATCTACCTGATCAATATGTATGAGGATAATTAACCTGAAGATGATCATTGGTAAAATTGCCAATAACCACCCACATATTTACCAGATAAACAGATTTTTGCAGGGATTGTAGCTGCTGTTCTTTTTCAACCATTTGAATCGAGGCTGGAAGAATGATTCCCCTGACTTTGAGCCTTTCCAAGGCTCTGGAACAGGAGCTGCAGCTGATTGTGTCTTTGTGCAGCACCAAACTTAATGAGCCCCACTCTGGGAGCACCAGTTTCATGCTACAGCAGCATAATGTTAGCAACAGAAACGGGGAACAATTGGCTTTGTAGCTCTGCTGCTTCTTCGGATGCTTTAATGAAGAGGGACGTGTGTAAACATGCTTGGAAGAAAGAAATACCTGTCAGTGTCTGGCTCTGTGCTGTGCCAAAATAAAGAGCAGCCTGTATCACACAGGGTTAGGAACAATATCCATTCCCTCGTGGTGAGGGAGCTGAGGTGTGTCCACGAGTCCCTGTGTGCTCCTTGTTCAGCTGGATAATGGAACAGAGCTCCAAGGAAACAACCAGCTCCCTTTCCCAGAGGCAATGATGAGGGGATACTGAGCCATCTGATGAAGGCTTTAAAGAATCAAGATTTACTTTCCATTATATTACCAAGGAATCCTGGAATGGTTTGGGTTGGAAGGGACCTTAAAATTCATTTTGTTCCACCCCACTGCCATGGGCAGGGACACCTTCCACTATCTCAGGTTGCTACAAGCCCCCTCCAACCTGGCCTTGGACATTCCTACAGAAGGGGCAGCTCCAGCTTCTCTGGGCATCCTGTGCCAGGGCCTCACCACCCTCAGAGGGAGAAACTCCTTCCCAATATCCCACCTAACCCTGCCCTCTGGCAGTGGGACGCCATTCCCTCTTGTCCTGGCACTCCAGGCCCTTGTAAAGAGCTTCTCCATCTTTCTTGCAGACTCCCTTCAAGTACTGGAAGGCCACAATCAGGTCACCCCAAAGCTTCTGTTCTCCAGGCTGGACAATCCCAATTCTCCCATCCTCTCCTCACAGGAGAGGTGCTCCATCCCTGTGCTCACCTTGATGGCCCTTCATACTCATATTCACCCTGACTGCTGTGCTGCTTGCTGTCCCTTGCTGGGACACATTCGAGTCCAAAGTGACTCCCCAGGTGTCCCCTCCAAACACCAGAGCCAGCTCACCTGCACCTACTGCCTCCAAAATCCAATGTTAGCCACTTCTGGATGCTGTCACTGCCCGTTTCCTTATTAAGGAGCTGGAGAAAGGAGCAGGGATCTGCCCTTCCATAGATACAGCACCACCACCTCGAGCACTTTCCCTACATCTCACTTCCTCTCCAATTTCTCCTCCTGTTCTGGATCAAAACATTTCTCTTTTGCTTCTTGCTGGTGCTTATGATATCTACTGACCCACTGCTGCTACGTGAAATGGAGTTAAAATTAGCTGCAAAGCACTATGAAAAACAAAGCACTTTAAAGCAAGTCATCCAGAAACTAAGCATTATCCTGGGATATTTCAAGTTGGAAGTAAGAGTCTCAACTTCTTTGAGTTGGCTGCAGTCCCCTGGCACAGGCTGGACCTGACGTGAAGGCAGAACGGCTGACCAGAAAACACACGAAATGGAAAAAAAAAAAAAAAGAAAAAAAGGCAGGAAGAATGTGGCTTTAAAGTGCAGAACTCTCCCTGCATCTACTCCAGGAACACAAAAGAGCTTCTGAATGAATTGTAAATAAGGAATTGAGAGGAGTCTCATCATTAAGAGGTTAATTAGAAGAAGCCTTGATGTTTCTGCTGTTGCTCTTCCACCTAGAACACGGACACACAGCTCCCCATTCCCTCTCTAGGCTCTGGTCTGACACCTATTTTGTGTTTTAATTTGCCAGAAAACCAGTTTAGGAGCCAACAGACCACACACACTGGTGCTGGGGAAGAACAGCCTGCACACCTGATGCCCAGGTTTATCAAGGTTCCAAGACTTCAGACCCATCCTGGCTTCTCTCAGGCAATTGGCTTTTCCAGAGTGGAAATACATTGTTTAACATGTGGTCTACATTCCCACATCCAGCAATCCACACTTCCAAGAAGGCCACAAAAAGGCAGCAAGACTTTATCGAGGGGATTTAAAGTGCAGAGAAGGCTCTTCTTCTGCTGAAAAGAAATAAATAAACAGCGGTGCACAAGAGAAGCACAGGGCAGCTGAGAGCCAGGGGCTTAAATAAGGAGGACAAAGGAACTCCCACTCAGCATTTCATCCCTGTAAAACCCTCCCGGAGGAGCAATCCCTGCCTGCTCTGCTCAGGGCAGGACACATTCCCCCTGTCACCACCCAGTGAACTTTGCTTGCTGCTAAGAGAACTGACGTTTGACTCCGCTCCTTTCGCAACAGCCATTTCCGGAGCATCCACTCCTGGCAGCTTATCCAGGGGAAAGAAAAAAACAACCCAAGCTGTCTGGCCAAGGAGCTGGACGAGTTCAGGAATGCTTGTTGGACACTGTTTTGAATTTCCAGTTAGAGAAAAGCTTTCTTGGAAAGTTGTAGGATATAACTGAAGGACCACGCAGAGTTTGCCTGATTTAACTGGGTAAATATTTGAAGCAGGTGTTAATAATAAAATCTGCTGCCCCGGAATTATTCCCCAGGGTGAGTTTTTTATTTATTTCAAGCAAAGCCGACCTGCAACACCCCTCTGCAAAGGAGCCTTGATTATTTTCCTTTTTTTTTTTTTTTTTTAAGAAGGGGCTGGGGAAGTGCTGTCTGCACTGTTTACTGGCACGCAGAGGTTCCCGGCTCCCCAGCACTGCAGAAATTCAGATGTTTTCCCAGCCCTTCCCGAAATAAGCAGCTGTTAAATCTCCAGTATGAGGCACAATAGCGAGGGCAGCCCCGGCATACCAAACGTGCATGATGGCTGCTGGAGCAGAGAACAATTCCCAGGGTGATCCCTGCCATCCTGCACCTCATTCCAGGAGTGCAACTCCCTCCAGCCCAGGCTGAGCTCACACCTTGCACTGAATGAAACCGCTCAGCACACACTGAGCGGAAACAATAGCCATTCACATAGAGCCCAAAATCAAAGGCACCGCGAGTCGCCAAGTTTCCAGGGGATTTGTACAGTCAATTGGTCCTTTCCTGTTTATTAATTATGATTTTTTTTTTTTAATAAACACCAGCTTTTACCTAAGCGAAAGCCTGAGAACAGCCGTGCCATGGGTCTCATCTGATCCTGCTCTGCCACTTATCACAGAGGAGCTGAAACACCCTTGTAAGGCTGGGTTTTACCTGAGGTTACAGCAAAACTCTCCTCCCAAAAGCACATTTCTATTCCCAAATTCCCAGAACTCCCAGGTAAACCTTCACCTGCTGCCCAGGTGAGGTTTGAAGCCATTTTCTGTGCTCTAACAAGCCCAGATCCGCACACACACACACACACACACACAGTTATTACCCTCCGACTGTCAGGTGGGAATGCAGAACACAAACGCTGAGAGGCTGGGGAGGAGAAAAATATTCCACAGTGGAACCTGTCAGAACAGGTACCCGAGTTACACAACAGTGATCATCCCGATGGCCTCAGAGCTGGACTGCTCTGGAGCCCTGGACACCGGAGGCAGCGGCCACCAGCCTGTCCTCTGTCCCCACGAGATGCTCGGGCAGGTTTTTCCTCTGGGGAAAAGGGCCCAGTTCACCCCAAATCAATTTCCTTCCTAAAACTGGAGCTGAGATCCTCTGCTTGCCTCAAGCCTGCAGCAAAGGCCTCCTGCTCCTCCCAAACCCAGAGCTGAGACCCCTCATTCTTCCCCCATGAGCAGCAGAACCAGGCCAGGGAAAGGAAAAGGATCAACACGGAACAAACAACCAACACAAAGAGTTTTTCCTCCCTCACCTCCCTCCAAACAAATATTTACAGTTGTTCCAGTCCAGAAGCTCAGGGTATGGAAAGGTTTCCTTAAAAGCCCAAAGTGCAGATGTTACAGACACACTGCCACCTCTAGGGCACGAGGGGCTGCCCATTTCACCCCGGCATGGGCCACAGGACAATGGGAAGAGGCCACAAAGTCCAGAAGTTTCACAACACGGTGGCACTTCCCACCTTGGGCTGATCCACACCTCCACGACAAGCCCAGAAAACACCTCTGAGACCTCCAAGTCCATCCTCTGTGAAACCCATAAATCCCAATTTCCATCGTGGTCTCCCAAAACCAGGCTGAAGGCTCTCAGATCTCCTTCCAAGGTGAGCACAGGCCTCTTCAGAGCATCCCCCGCCACTGGGAGCCAACCCCAGCCCCGATTGCTGCTGCCTCCTCTCCCCAACACATCTCCATCCCCTCTGTGGGGGAAAACCCCAAAGCAGCTCGGCTTCACACAAACCACACACCCCTGGCCAAGCCTGAACCCCCTAAACATCCAACACACGTCCTTGATGCCTTCAGAGCCCCCCCTGCTTCCAGAACCCCTAACCCCATGGATCCCACCCCCAAATCCTTCTCTTCACCCTGAAACACCCACACCTATCCACGCCCCAAACCCCTCTGGGGCCTCCTCACACCCTTGGGGGCACCTCCAGGCCCCTCCAACCCTCTCCCCACCCCAGTCCTTTTCGGCACCCTGGAACAGCCACCCCTGTATCCCACCGCCCCCAAATCCTCAGGGCCTCTCACACCCCCAGCCCTCCCTCACCCCCTTTCCCCGCCCCAGGCCCGTCCAAAATCCCCCTCGGCCTCACCCCTCACAGCCGCCCCCTGCCCCAGGCCCCCCGGCATCGCCTCCCTCCCGGTTCCCTCCATCGTCCCTCGCTCCCCCTCACGACCCCTCCCCGGCCCTGCCCGCTCCCCTCACGGCGGGGGCGGGGGCGCCGCCATGTTGTGCCCGGTGCGGGCCGGGTCCGGCGCCGCCGCTCACTCACCGCGGGCCCCGCCGAGCGGCCCGGCCAGGAGCAGGAGCAGCAGGAGCGGGAGGGCGGCGGGGCGCGGCGGGGAGCGGCGGGCGGCGGGAGGGCCCGCGGGGCGGCGGGCGGCCCGGGCGGCCATGGCGGGGACGCGCCGCGGCCTCGGAGCGGAGCGGCCGCAGCGCCGGCGGGCGGGGGAGCGGGGGCGGGGCCAGGGGAGGGGCGGGGCCAAGGGAGGGCGGGGCCAGACCGCGCCTGCGCACACGGGACGGGAGGGGAGGGACGAGGGAGGGGAGCCCGGGCTGGGGGGAGATATGGGTGAGATATGGGGGAGATAGGGGGGAGATAAGTGTGTGATAGGGGTGAGATATGGGGGAGATAAGGGGGAGATATGGGTGAGATATCAGTGTGATAGGGGTGAGATAAGGGTGAGATATGGGGGAGATAAGTGTGTGATAGGGATGAGATATGGGGGAGATATGGGGGAGATAAGGGGGAGATATCAGTGTGATAGGGGTGAGATATGGGGGCGATAGGGGTAAAATAAGTGTGTGATAGGGGTAAGATATGGGTAAGATAAGTGTGTGATAGGGGTGAGATATGGGTGTGATAAGTGTGTAAGAGATGTGTGAGATACCTGTGTGATAAGTGTGTAAGATATGTGTGATATATGTGTGAGATAACATTGGGTTAGCACCCCAAACCACGGGCTGAGCACCCCAAACCCTGGTTAGGGCACCTCAAACCACCATCTGAGCATCCCAAACCCTGGTAGAACACCCCAAACCATGGGCTGAGCACCCCAAACCCTGGTAGAACACCCCAAACCATGGGCTGAGCACCCCAAACCCTGGTAGAACACCCCAAACCATGGGCTGAGCACCCCAAACCCTGGTAGAACACCCCAAGCCCCAAGCTGAGCATTCCAAGCCCAGATTTAGGCACCCAAGACCCTCCAGAACCTCCTGCTGTGCCCAGAACCAGCAGCTGCCCTTTGCTGCCCAGTTCCTCCCAGTCTCTAACTGGGCACAGACCAAGGTGGCAGCTGCGATATGCTGAGAACATTTTGGAGCTGAAGCCATAAATTGGGCCAGGCAGGAGTGCCCAGTGCCCAGCATGGAAGGTTGGGCAGCTCTTAGGTGATAAAATAGCTTTACACTTTATTAAATATATTAAATCTTAATAATTAAATAGTTATGTGGCAAAGCTGGTTCTGCTGAACGTCCCATCCTGGTCATGTCCAAACATCTCCAAGCACGGGGTGGATTTTGGGATGGCGAGGAGCGACGCGGGATGAAGCCGGCCGAGCCAAAACACTTCGAAAAACACCAAAATGTTGGCAAAGACCCAAGAGGGCACTTCTTTGGCAAGGGGGATGCCACCTGCTTGGCAAGGAAAGATCACCACGGCACCCCCATCCACGCTCAGACCACACGGGACGCCGGCAGCTCCTCATTTTTGGGATTCCCACGATGCAGGGGGCGGATCTGGGGGATGCTGCCCTTGGACTATCCTTTCCCAGAAGATCCCATCGCTCCTTTAGCGGGACACCGGGCACCGCGGCTCTGCGGGGAATTCCTGCCCGGTGGCGGGCGGGCAGGTCCGGGCAGCGGGCAGAGCCGGAGCTCGCTGGGTGCCCCGAGGGCTGGGGCTGCTTCTGCCACCGGTGCCCCTCGCCGTGGGCTCGGGGTGGGCGACCAGCTGCCACCCTCGCTGTCGGATGACGGATCCAGGGGATATTTTTATTTTAAAAGATTCCTACTTTGGTGGTGGGTTTGGGTTTTTTTTTCTCCTATTTTTTTCGTGCTTGCAAATTCAACCGGCTCGAAGGAGGAGTGGCAGAGGCGGGAGCTGTGAGTAAATCCCCTCGGTGACCGGAGCCATCCCGTCCCCGGTGCAGCCGTCAGTGGCTCCGGTGCCCGGTTCCCGGCGCTCACTGCTCCAGTTTTGGCTTCTCGACGGAATTGCTCAGCTTCTTCAAGGTCTTTTTAATGCGCAGGGCGGTGAGACGGGCCGAGGGGCTCTGGTACCAACACTCCTTCATGACCTTCGCCAGCACCGACAGAACCTGCGGAGGCACAAAAAGAGCGAGAAACGGGATGGTTTAATGGAGAGGAAAGAGGCGGGATGGGGGCGATCCCCCCCCCCGGGACTCACCGGGTCGCAGAAGAGGCGGCCGGGGATAACGGGGGTCTGCTGGTCCACGCACACCACCTTCTTCATGTCCTCGAAGCTGGGGTCGCTGGGCACGGCGTCGAAGAAGGGCGGCCGGTACTCCTCCACCGTTCCTGCGGGAGAGGGGCGGCGTGAGGCCGGGGGAGAGCGGGGGGCTCACCCCCATCCTGCACATCGGGGGCGCTGGAGGCTCCCGGCACAGCCCAGCCGCTCCCCGCAGCCTTGCCGGTGGCATTTGTCTCTCCTGGGCACACGGGGCGGTGGCAGCTGCCTCTGGCACCACCAAGTGCAGCCCTGGCACCATCCAGCACCAGCCCCACCACGAAAATCATCGGCTCCAGCACCGATACCGGCCCTTGGCACTGCGGGCACCTCCGCTCAGCACCTGGTGGGTGCTCAGCCTGGCAGCTGGCCCAGTTCATCTCGCTTTAATGCTTGCATACATCCCTGTCCCAGTGGGATTTAATGTCTCTGGGAAGCCTCGAGCCCCCACCAGCTCTCTGCACCCCAAAACCTCAGAATCCCCTGCAGTTCCCCATCCCCGATCCCCTGAAGCCGTCCTGGAGAGTGAGGGATCCTGGAAGGGTTAAACCCAGCCGCCTGAAGGTCATTCATAAGCAAGGCTGGGGTAATTCGGAGTAAATGTGCAATCTGAGGGAGCGCTGGGGAGATAAATGAGATTATCCCGGCCAGACCGAGCCTGGAGGGACCCTCCCGCCCCATCCGCCAGCGCCCACCATTTAATTCATGCTCAAATGGACTTTGCCGCGATGAGCAGCACTGACCGGGCAACCCCAGTTAGGTTCATCCCCAGCGCGGGGGGACCCTTCCCCTTGCCCCAGGCCCGAGTTCCCGAGCCAAGCGGCGGCCGGAGGTCCCGGCCGTGGCCGCTTTCCAGGCAGCGCTTGAAGCCGCTTGTTTTCTAATCAGCGCTGAACAAACAAAGCACTGATTGAGTCTAATGGGCCCTTTAATCAGGGAGCCGGGTGCTGACACTAGATTACAGTGTTTATAATTTACAGCTAATCTTCTGGGCGAAGGAAAGGGGAGGAAGAAAAGGAACGAGGGAAGGAGGGAACGGGCACGGAGCCCCGCGGGGAGCCGGGAGCGAGCGGGGCCGGTGGCCGGGAGCTGCTCACCGTTCACCGCCGTGCGGCGGGTGATCTCCCAGAGCACCAGCCCGTACGCCCAGATGTCCGTCTTCTTGTAGGACTCGAAGCAGTCGGTGCGGATCTGCTCGCTCAGCACCTCCGGGGCCATGTAGCGCTTGGTGCCCACCCGGGGGTTGTTGCCAATGTCCAGGTAGTCGCTGCCCTGGGAGTGCATGACGGCCAGCCCTGGGGGGACAGGTCATAGAGGCATTTGGGATGACTTTTAAGGTCATCAATTCACCTATAAAATGCTGGGATACCGGCCCTGATCGGTGCTGTGCTGGCTCTGCATCCAGCATCCTGGGATCCTTGAGGTCCCAAAACTCCAGGACACCACATCCTTGTGGCACCACCACCCTGGGGCATCACGTCCCTGGAATGTTACATCCCCAGGGTACCCCGTTCCTGGAGCATCACATCTGTGGGGTTCCACAGCCCCGGAGCACCGTGTCCCTGGGGTTCCACAAGCCTGGGATACCTCATCCCTTGGGTACCTCATCCCTGGGGTAGCACAGCCCTGGGTACCCTTGGGTGCTGCTGCAGCCCTGGGTACCACATTACTGGGGTACCACACTCCTAAGTGCCCCATCCCGAGGTACTTCATGCCTGGGGTACCACACCCCTAAGTGCCCCATCCCTGGGGTGCTTCATCCCTGGGGTACCACACCCCATGGTACCCTTGGGTGCTGCTGCAGCCCTGGGTACCTCATCCCTGGGGTACCACCCCCCTAAGTGTCCCATCCCTGGGGTACCTCATCCCCGGAGCAGCACACCCCTGGGTACCCTTGGGTGCTGCAGCTCTGGGTGCCACACTCCTGGGGTTTCACAGCCCCGAGTGCCCCACCCCTGGGGCTCCACATCCCAGCCCTCCGCCTCACCCAGGTCTGCGATGCAGCACTGCCGGTTGCTCTTCACCAGGATGTTCCTGCTCTTCAGGTCACGGTGGGCGATGGCAGGCTTGCCCTGCGTGCCAAAAATCTCCACGTGGAGGTGGACGAGGCCACAGATGATGGAGGAGGCCAAGCCCAGGCAGGTGTCCACATCCAGGGCCGTCCTCTGCAGGTAGTCGTAGAGGGAGCCGTTCTCGTGGTAGTGGGTGATGAGCCAGAGCTGCGTGCTGGAGTTCCTGGACGTCATGTCAGAGGCGATGAAACCTGGGCAGGGAGAAACTCCTGGGATCAGGGACCTGGGAAATACCTGGATCAGGGACAGGGAGAAACTCCTGGGATCAGAGACCTGGGAAATAGCTGGGGACACAGACCTTGGGTAACACCTGGGGTCAGGGACAGGGAAAAACATCTGGGATCAGGGACAGGGAGAAACACCTGGATCAGGGACCTGGGAAATACCTGGGGTCAGGGACAGGGAAAAACATCTGGATCAGGGACCTGGGAAACTCCTGTGGACACAGACCTTGGATAACACCTGGGATCAGGGACAGGGAGAAACTCCTGGGATCAGGGACCTGGGAAACTCCTGGGATCAGGGACAGGAAGAAATACCTGGGATCAGGGACAGGGAAAAACATCTAGGATAAGGGGATCTGGGAAACACCTGGGATCAGGGACAGGGAAAAACCTCTGGGATCAGGGACAAGGAGAAACCCCTGGGATCATGGGCCCACCCCACAGCTGCCCCCTGCTCCCCAGCCCTCCTGCCCCTGCTCACCCAGGATGTTGTCGTGCCGGAGGAGGACGGTGTTGTAGATCTCCGTCTCGCGGAACCACGACTGCTCGTCGCGGGAGGAGAAGATCTTCACGGCCACGCTCTCCCCGTGCCACACGCCTCGCCACACCTCACCGTAGCGCCCTTTGCCTGCCACAGCCGTGCCACCGCGTCACCAAGTGCCCCCAGGACCCGCTGTGAGCACCAGGATCCCGTGTGGGAGAGCGATGGGGCAGCATTGGCCAACACTCCTCACCCACCCAGCCGCTCCCTCCCTCCCCGGGCAGCAGGACAGGGGAAGAACGTGGGGTGGCTGCTGGGTTTTGGCTGACACGGCCGGGTCCAGCCTTACCCACGCACTCCATGAGGGTGATCTGCCGAGCCACCGTCCTCTGGACAAGGAAAGGCAGCCCGGAACCGCTGCCCGTGGTGCAGTCATCGTTCAGCAGGTCCTGCGCAAACAGGGCGGCCACGGGGTCGGCGTGGTGGCCATCCCCACCCACACACACGCCTTGGGGACATCGAGGGTCCCTCACGAAGCTCACCCACCTCTAAGGTGCTGTCTCCCATCATGGACGCCTTCAGCATGAGGTCGGTGTCCCCAAAGTCACTGTGCTTGTGGCGGTGCCGCGCCACCTTCCAGCAGAAAAGCGCCGCGAGCGCCGCGAGGATGAGGAGGGAGAGCAGGGGGACGAAGATCAGCAGGAGGAGGTTGGGTAGGGAAGGCGTCTTCACCAGGGCATCTTCACCTGGGTGGGGGGAACGAGGGATGGGAGCGTGAGGGTGGACCTGGAAGGGCGGAGGTCCGGGGTTGGGGCTCGGATCTGGGGACAGCGTCCCTGCACTGGGATCAACCCCACGGACGGAGCTCTGCAGGCACAGCCCGAGGAGGGACACCTGAGGACATCTGGGTGGCTCTGTAGGTGCTGAGTGAGGACAGGGACGATCTTGAGACCCAACCACATCTCCAGCCACGTGGGCAGCTCGGCCCCCGTCCCCTCGCCCGTGTACCTTGCAGGAAGATCTCCAGCTCGGCGTTGCACATGTGGAAGTTGCAGCACCTGGTGCCGTAGTGCTCCGTGACGGACGCGTGGCAGTGCTCCAGAACGTTCTGGGAGAAGCAGCCCCGGTGCTGGGTGATGGTGCCCTCCTCCTTCCTCTTGCTGACGAAGCACACCTGGCCCGTGCAGTTGGGCTGGCTGCAGTGGGGCACGTCGCAGGCACACAGCAGCTCCTCTGCGGGCACCAGGAGGGGACACATTGTGCCACGGGGTCACCCTGCTGCCCACCCGCCAGCTGGGGTGGCTTTGGGGACAGGGACATCCTCCTGAACACTCCTGAACCAAACTTTGAGGGGACACATTGTGCCACAGGGTCACCCCGCTGCCGACCCCCCAGCTTGGGTGGCTTTGGGGATAGGGCAGCGTGTGGGGCTCTGCCCTCAGTGGGATGGTACAAACATTATATATTAGAAACTACGTGTACTATATTTACAATAATGTGCTAATATCTATCATTTGTGTTGAACAGTGTGTTCTTAGTCTAAACTAATAGAAAAATGCCAACACTACAGTGAAACATGGAGGGCATGAAAAAGGAGGAAAAGGACAAGACACACCTAATTTCTTCTGTCTCCTCTGAACTCTTAATCTAAAAACTTAAAATTTTACTTTTGCACTTGTGTTACACTTAATTATTACTTATATCAAACACTCAGAGCTGGTAATTCATCCTGTAAGATTGAAAACTCTTTTCCATGGCCAGAGATCACAGCCAGTGTCTCTGGGGGCTCTGTCCAGGGGGGTTCCTGACCCCTGCCAGGGTCCCAGGCAATCCAGGGCAGACAGAGGGAAGCCCTGGATTCCCACACTGGACCTCCCTTCAAGAGCGCCCAGCCTGGTCACCTGGTGCTCCCCTGGGATGCTGAGCAGCTCCTCCTGCTTCCCACCACCATCATCATCATCATCATCATCATCACCACCCCTGGGAAAACCCACAGGATTTGGAATGTGCTACCAGCCTTTCCCCATCTCCCCTCCGGTGACACCAAAGCACTGGATCAACCACAATTAATGAAGCTGAGATCCTCTCTGGGGGATGGGTCACCACACCACAGTCCCTGAGGAGCCCAACTCCCTCCCTGGATTTTCTTTTGGGCAGAGATGCTCCCGAAAAACCGAGGGTTTCTTTTTAGCTGCTGTCACCCCCCTGCACCGACACTCACCGGCGGCGAGGCCGAAGGACAGGGTCATCAGTGCCAGCACCGCCCGGTCACCAGCGCCACACGGCATCATCCTGCGGAGAGAGGAGGGTCAGAGCAGCCCCTGCGCCCCCAGGGCCCCTCCCCAACCCTGGGGGGCTTTGGGAGGGCAGGGGGGGCTTGCAGAGGGCAGGCACAGACAGAGCGAGGTGGGATGTGCGGAGTTTGGCCCTGAGAACAGATCCTGGCACCTCCCAAGCTCAGGGGACCTCCCTGCCGTAGCGTGGGGTGCCACTCGTGGCCCCACAGCGCCCAGGGATGTGCTGGAACCCGGCCCTTGCCATGTCCGAGCTCCTTCCTTTCTCCCAGTGATCCCTACACCAGCACCTCCTGCTGTTCCCAGGGCTCCTGCTCCCTAAAAACGCTGCCCCTGTGGGCTTGGCAGCCCTGATGATGCCAGGGCATCCCAGATTTGGGAAGACCCGAGCATGGCATGGAGCCCAAACCCCCCCCAGCACGTTCAGCCCCATGGGCAGGGGCTCAGTGCTGGGGGTGCTTTTGTGTGGAGCTTCTCAATGACACAAACAGAGGTGCTGGGACAGCCAAAAATTCCTTGCTGAGCCTTTGGGGGAAGTTTGGCTATTTTTAATCTTCCTTTTTTTTTTTCCTCCTTGTGAAAGAAACGTTTCTGCCAAGGCAAACACGGCGATCCCCCCGCTGCCCCCCACCTCCTGCCCCTCCTCGGCTCATTCTTCGTGTTCCCGACACAAACATGCCAAAGGCTCCGTTTCCTGCAATTGAAGAGCCCAGCCCAGCGCTGCTGGGACAGGAATCAAGATTGTTTAGATTCTGCCCTTGATGGGGAAGCGCAGTCACGCAAGCCCGGCCCTCGGGAGTGCTCGCAGACGTGGCTGACCCCAGCAGGCTCCAGCCACGCTGCAAATCGGGCTTTTCCTCCCCAAAATAACTCACTCAGTCGTGGCTCGAGGGGAGGAAACAGTGACCAGGTCCTGGGGTCACTGGGGCTGGAGGGCAGGTCCTTGGTGCCCGGTGTAGGAGCGATGCCAGGCTGATCCATCCGACCCTCGCTGGGGCAGGATCAGCTTTGTTTTAAATCCCAATTCCCCTAGGGCTGGGCTAGGATCTGCTTTATCCTAAAACTTCATTTTTATCTTAATACTTAACCCCTCCGAGCTGGGCCTCTGATTCCTGACCAGCAGCACCTCACCTCTCGCAGTTCTGAGAGCTCCAGGATGCACGACTGGAAAGGGAAGCTGAGTCTCCCAGGTGGTGAATTCCTTCCCTGGAGCCACTTCCCCAAAATCCTGAACCATCAGACAGCTGCAGGATATTTGCCATGAAACACAAAGCAAGCAGGGCCTCACCCAAAACTCTGCTGCATAGGAAACATCCCGTGGATTGTTGTTGTTACTGAGAGCAAAGCTTCGTCCAGAGCTGCTCCCGGCATCCCACAGGAAAAACATCCCAGATGCTTCAGAGGTGGCACCAAGCAGGCCTGGCATACCCACCCTGTCCCTTCCTTCCTCCTTGCCCACCAGGAACTGCTGCTCACGCTCCCTCCTGACACCCAGAGCATCTCGCCCTGCCTGCCTGGGCGCTGGGTGATATTCCCTGGCATTTGTAGCATCAGGAGAAGGAAAAAACCCCCACGGGAAACCTCTGGCGTGGGGTGTGGGTGCTGGCAGCAGTGGCTGGGAGCAGCAGGCAGCTGTGCTGCAGCTCGAGGCTCTGGAGCAAAGCCCAGGGAAGGGGAAATTCCCCATCACCCCCCTGGAGGGAAAAGCAAAAGGAAAATAGAGCAGAAGACAAGAGGAGTCCGGGGAAGGGTGGCTGGGCACAGCCATGGGGTGTGCGGGGTGGTTCAGGGGGCACTGCTCTTACCAGGGCAGCTCGGCCAGGCTCCTCAATCCCAGCTCTTCCTCCTCCCCCCGCAGGTCCTGCTGCTGACAGGGGGTTTAGCCACGGGATGTGGCTCAGGGCTCAGTTCCCTGTGCTGCCTCCTCACAGGGAGTCACACACAGCCCAGCCCCTCGTGCCACTGCCGGTGCCAGCCAGGCGTGTGCCAGCTGCAGGGACGCCAGGGCACAGCTGCCAGGAGCTTTGCCACAGACCCCAGACTTGGTTTCAGGCACAGGTGGAGGGTTTCCTTGCCCTGTCTGCAGCTGCAGGTGGGTCACAGCAAGGCTGGGCTCACCCACAGCAGGCCCCACCAGCCCAGCCCCTCTCACTGAGAGGCATTTCCACTCCATGAACGTGCACCACACAAAGAGAGCAGCAAACCCACTCAAGAGAGAGGCAAACCCACTCAGGAGAGCAGCAAACCCGCTCAGGAGAGCAGCAAACCCACTCAGGAGAGTGGAAAACCCACTGAGGAGAGCGGCAAACCCACTCAGGAGAGTGGAAAACCCACTCAGCAGAGCAGCAAACCCACTCAGGAGAGCAGCAAACCCACTCAGGAGAGCAGCAAATCCCCTCAGGAGAGCAACAAACCCACTCAGGAGAGCACCAAGCCCACTCAGGAGAGCACCAAACCCGCTCAGGCCCACCCTGGCGCAGGGTTGGCACGGCCGGGGGCTCCTGGCGCGGGGCAGGGATGGGCAGCGTGGCCGGCCCGGCCTCTCTGGAGGCTCCAGCGCCAGCACCGGGGGGAAGGAGCTCCATCCATGGTGGCTTTGGAGCTGGAGCCTCTTCAGTGACCATTTGGGTCCTCCTTGCTGGAATTTGGCTGGGCAGCAGGAGGTGGCACGCTCTGTGCCCCTGGTGCCCACTGCAGCCCCCGTTTTTCCCCGTGCCTTTTCAAAACACACCCAAATTTCTCATCTCCCGTGTCGATCCCAGCCTTTCCACTGCAGTTTTTTATTATTTCAGCTCTTTAGCGAGGACCTGGGGACAGGTCCTGCTACCCCCACTCTGACCTGAGCCCTGATTTGTGCCCCTGGACACAATTCCAGCCTCTCCAACCCTGATGTCAACACCGCAGTCCCACGGAACACAAAGGAAGCGGGGCCAAATCCTGATTTTCGGGGGTCAGCATGAAGGGAAGCCCTGAGCTGGGTGCACCCCCAGACCCCAGCAGCACGAGGCTCTTCCCTGCTCACCTCCAGCATCCAGGTCCTGCAGGAGCCCACGGCACTGCCCGGCCCTGGCAGGGCTCTCCCGGCCACGATCCCGCTCCTGGATCCGCCTCAGCCGGGGCAGCTTCGCTCCTGAGCCCCAACTCTGAGGGTCTTCATGGATCTGCTCCCCTCCCAGCACCCATCCTGCCACCCAGGGGCTCCCACGGCCGTGGCCGTCCCACTGGGGGAGGGACCGTCACCCTTCCCCGGCTTCGAGGGTCCAACGCAGCCGCTTGGCAGCTGCTCTGCGCTCTGGATGTGGGAGAAGTCAAAAAAATGTTTCTTATTACTGCCTCTTCCTGCCTGGCTTGTCTCCACCACTCCCAGCTAATAAAGCATTTCCTATTGCTGAGCACACAGCCACCACCAGCCTCCCTTCCTCCCGCTCACCGGGCCCCAGCTCCATCCTGCTCGCTTTCCCTGGCCTGTCCCTCCCTCCTCGTCCTTCCCCCAGCGCTTTCCCACCCCATCTCCCGGTTCTCATGGCAAACCCTACCCCGTGGCACGGGCACTGCCAGCAGCACTTCACCCTGAGCGTGGCAAGGCCCTCAGCAGGAGCACAGGGTTCTGGCAGGGATGGGGATGGGTGGGAATCCAGAGCATCCCTCTGGCTGCCCTGGCAGGGGTCAGGAACCCCCCTGGACAGAGCCCCCAGAGACACTGGCTGTGATCTCTGCCCATGGAAAAGAGTTTTCAATCTTACAGGATGAATTACCAGCTCTGAGTGTTTGATATGAGTAATAATTAAGTGTGGCATGGGTGCAAAAATAAAATTTTAGGATTTTAGATAAGGGGTCCAAAGGGGACAAGATGGAGGAAATTGGGTGTGTCTTGTCCTTTTTCTCCTTCTTCATGCCCTCCATGTTTCACTGTGGTGTTGGCATTTTTCTGTTGGTTCAGGCTGGGGACACACTGTCCAACGTAGGTGACAGATATTGGCACGTTATTGTAAATGCAGCACAGGTAGTTTGTGGTATTTAATGTTTGTACCATCCCACTGAGGGCAGAGCCCCACACGCTGCCCTGCAGGACAGAGCTGCGGCAGGGCAGCAGAACATGTTAGAGATAAACAGAATAAACAACCTTGAAACAGCACAGACCAATTATGGCTTCTGCTTTGGCAGCGGGGCTGACAGACAGAGACTTTCTACAATCTGGGAATCATCAATACCTCAGATTCTGAGAGGGATGGAATGTTCTAGGAGGTGCTGTGGCAATGACCTTGAGCTGCTTGGCCACCCCTCTGCTCCAGCCCTCCTGGGGCTCCGTGCCCTGCTCTGTGCCCACCGTGTCCTGCTCCATGCCCTGATCCCTGCCCTGATCCATGCCCTTCGTGCCCTCCTCCATGCCCTGCTCCGTGCCCTGCTCCATGCCCACCATGCCCTGCTCCAGCCCTCCTGGGGATGGAGCACCCTGGCAGAGCCAAGGGGCTCCCTGGCTGTTCCATGCTGGTCCCAGGGGCAGAGCTGAATGATGCCTTCCTTGGGCTGTCTAAAAACAGAGGCCAGACAAAATTAAGGGAATAAAAAGCAGGGCACGGAGCAGGGCATGGTGGGCACGGAGCAGGGCATGGAGCAGGGCACAGTGGGCAGGGAGCAGGGTCAGGGCACGGTGGGCACGGAGCAGGGCACGGTGGGCAGGGAACAGGGCACGGTGGGCACGGAGCAGGGAACGAAGCAGGGTATGGAGCAGGGCACGGAGCAGGGCACGGTGGGCATGGAGCAGGGCACGGACCAGGGCACGGAGCACGGCACGGAGCAGGGCACAGTGGGCACAGAGCAGGACCCGGTGGGCACGGAGCAGGGCACGGAGCATGGCACGGAGCAGGACACGGAGAAGGGCACGGAGCAGGACATGGAACAGGGCACGGTGGACATGGAGCACGGCATGGAGCAGGGCACGGTGGGCACGGAGCAGGGCACGGAGCAGGGCACGGTGGACATGGAGCACGGCATGGAGCAGGGCACGGTGGTCACGGAGCAGGGCACTGTGGGCACGGAGCAGGGCACAGGAGCCCTGCACTGGCACGTCCCCGCTGTCCCGGGCTGGCGGGCACTGGGACACCGCCGGCAGCGCCGTTCCCACGGCCGGGGCCGGGCACTTCCCGCTGCCCCGGAGCACACGGGACCCTGGGCAGAGGAAGCGCCGCTTCCCCTTTTGCCACTTTCAGGGCTGTTCTTTGGGCCAACCCAATCTCAGCCCGCATCTTCTCCCCCCAGCGCCATCCCAAGCCCCATGCCCGCCTTTCTGCCGGCCGGCTTTTGGCAGAAAAGCGACATTACACACTTCTAATCAACGACACCGCCGTAATCTCGGTGCTATCAATCCCTTTTGGGAGCTTTTTCCAATGCCGTGTTCTCCCGGGAGTCCGAGTCTGTTAGCACAGAAAGCCCAAAATCCTCAGTATCTACAACTCCAACATCTGCCAGCTGTTTCCCTGGCACGGTGACCCTCTCCAGCATCGCAGCCTCTTTGCCAAGAGGTGCCAGGACTGATTTACCTCCTCCCTGCCATTGCAGCACCAGCCCCAGCTCCATCCCGAACGCTCCCGGAGCCTCCCGGAGCCTCCCGGAGCCTCCCGGGCACCGCGGCGGCGGAGCTTTGAGTCTCGCCAGCCCTATCAGCCGGGATCTCGGAAGTTTAAACAAACAAAAAGCACAAAACCAGGATAAAACACGAAGGAGCTGCAGCGGCGGCATTGCCCGTGCGGGGGAAGCGGGCGGGTTCCATCAGACCGGAGCTGCCCGCAGGAAGGCGATGCCTGCAGACGTTTTTATCTCCGTGACCATCTCTGCTCCGGCTCTCAGTGACCCGGCCGGATCGGCCCCTCCCGGGTTTATTCCCGGGTGGTTCCTGCAGCCCTTCCATGGGAGCAGAGACGGAGCATCCTGCGGGCGGGCAGCTCCCCAGATCCCTGCAACGCCGCCTTTCGAACGGGCCACCTTCCTTCTTGAAATCAGAATTATCGCCGAGGGGATGAACGCTGCTTTAAAACTCCGGAAAGGTCCTAAATCCTAATCCCGGGTGTCTGGAAGGGCAAGGATGGGTGGGAGCCCCGGGCTCAGCCGCAGCTCTGGCGCTGTCGCCGTGGGGAAGCGAATTCCTCCCGAGTGGGATTAACTGCAGAGGTTCGGGATGGGCAAATCAAGCCCAGCGCGGGCTCCTGCTCCCCTTCCTGCCCTTGTCTGGGCACACGGGGGGAATCAGAGGGGCTGGGCACCACCACAGCCCCGTGCCAGCCCTGCTCCAGCCTCCCGCCACCCCCTGAGGCCACAGTGAGACTTTCCTTCATCGTCGCTGGGATTTCACCCTGGGGAAGGGAAGGGAAGGGAAGGGAAGGGAAGGGAAGGGAAGGGAAGGGAAGGGAAGGGAAGGGAAGGGAAGGGAAGGGAAGGGAAGGAAGGGAAGGGAAGGAAGGGAAGGGAAGGGAAGGGAAGGGAAGGGAGGAAGGGAAGGGAAGGGAAGGGAAGGGAAGGGAAGGGAAGGGAAGGGAAGGGAAGGGAAGGGAAGGAGGGAAGGGAAGGGAAGGGAAGGGAGGGAAGGGAAGGGAAGGGAAGGGAAGGGAAGGGAAGGGAAGGAAGGGAAGGGAAGGGAAGGGAAGGGAAGGGAAGGGAAGGGAAGGAAGGGAAGGGAAGGGAAGGGAAGGGGCTTCCCTGGACCACAGCCGGACCCTCCCCAGGTGCACCGAGCCATCCCTTCGGGTCCCACTGAGCCATCCTGATGATGGCAGGGGGCTGAGGGGCCGGTGGGGGCCCGTCCCTCCCTTCCCCCTGCGTGGCAGGAGCCAGGCTGGCACGGCTGATGCCACGGCTGCTCCATGTGCCGCCCGCCCCCGGCTCAGCTGCGAGCAGAGCCGCAGGGAGCTGGCGAAGCAGGGCAGCCACGTGGGAGCCCAAGCGAGCCAGGGATGGAGGGGAACAGACGGGGAGGCTGCAGCTCCTTCCCCACGGGAATCCTTCCCTGCCTGCGGCCCAGCCCCACAAAGGGCAGAGATGCAGCCTCAGAGGGGGAGTGGGGACTCCTGTCTCCCCAAAAACGGGGTGGTGCAGGGAGGGGCTCCACACGTGGAGGAGAATTAATTATGACCTGGGTGACTTTTGCTCTGAGCATTGTGACACTGCCCGCTGCCCTCCTGGAGTCAAACTCTGCCCGTGCTGCAGGAGGCAGCAGCCCAGCCCCACATTCCTGCGCTCTGGGATGGAGCTGGGCTTAAGGGAATGTCAAAATCTGGGAACGGCAGCGCCCTGCTGCTGCTGCTGCTGCTGCTCAGCAGTGCCGGAGCTCTGGGGGCAGCTGGGCTGGAGCCCCTGAGCAGCCCAAGTTTCGCTTCCAGCCTGTGCCTGCAGTTTGGAGCTCCTTCCACAGCACGGAGCTGTGCTAATCCACCACACAGGAGCGGGGAATGTCACTGAGGAGGTGACAGGGTGGCCAGGGGACACTGGCAGCAAAGGAGGAGCACTCCTGCCAGCCCCACAGCGACCCTGAGCTTTATTCACGGAATCAATCCTGTTAACATGGCAACCACTTCCATTTTAATTTGCTCAGCCACATTCCGACGCACGCCGTGGAATCAAGAGCTTGGGAAAATCAAAGGGGCCAAAAAAAGAGAAAAAAAATAAAAGGGACAAAAAAAAAAAAGGAAAAACAGGAAGGGCTTGTGCCACAGTTTTGCTCGCTGGCATTCCTGGAGCTGGCTCCAGGGTCTCAGGACATCGGTGCCCAGCACGACATGTCCCATGAGAGGGTGGCCACCCTTGGGGTGGAGAGGACGAGAGGCCAGGCAGGGGTTTGTGAACCCTCGGGGACATTTCATTCCCATCCACCGGGAACAAAACCACCCCCATGCCAGAGAAGTCAGCAGATCCAAGGGGACAGCAAGAACCTTGTCCCCACCCCGACACCTCCTGCCTTAACCTTTCTTTTTCTTTTTCTTCTTCTCCCCGGTCTTGGCCTGCTCGGCCGCTTTCTTCTCCTCCTTCAGCACCTTGTACCTCCACTGGGGCGGCTGCAGGAGGTGCTTGTCCTTCACGCGGGGCTTCCTCTCGCCGGCAGACGAGCCGGAGGCTTTGCTCACCCTGATTTTGGGGACGGGCTCCCCGGGGCAGACGCTGTTCCCCCGCCGCAGCCACAGCGGCAGGAGGCTCAGCAGGCGGCCGGGCGGTCGCCGGAGCTCGGATCCCCCCGAGCAGGAGGATCCCCCCAAACTGGAGGATCCCCCCAAACTGGAGGATCTCCCTGAGTAGGAGGATCCCCCCGAGCTGGAGGATCCCCCCGAGCAGGAGGATCCCCCCAAACTGGAGGATCCCCCCAAACTGGAGGATCCCCCAGAGTAGGAGGATCCCCCCGAGCCGGGTCGTGAGGATGACTCCGGTTCTTCCTCCGGCTCCGACACGCGCTGCCCGAGGATCTCGGGCACCGACAGCCGGCGCTTGCCCACCTCGGGCGGGCTGTCGGGGCAGACGGTTTGGCAAGCGGTGGCCACGAAAGGGCTGGCGAGGGCCGTGGTCATCCTCACCATGTGGTCCAGCACGCCGTCCTCCTCGGGGTCGCGGGGGATGCTGAAGGTGAAAAAGGATCGGATCTTCTCCAACAGCCTCTTGCTCCTGGATTTGGGGCTCAGGGCTTTGGCCACCAGCTGGGCCAGGGCCGGCCACTCGGGCCGGTAGCGGGCCGTGAACTGCTCGGCGCGCGGGCGCCGCAGGAGGCTCCGGATGCGCGCGGTGGTCTCGAAGCGGCCGGTGAAAGTCGCCCATTCCTTGGCTGTCTTCCCCTTGATGGCATCCACGGCTTGCAGGTCAGCTCCTGGGGACACAGAGAGCACCACGGCGCCTCAGGAATTTGGGTTTTATGCTTTTCAAATCCATTGGTGCATAACTCTAAACTCCATGGAAAGTGGTAGCTACTGTCTTCGTGTTTTGGTCAGACAAAGCGATTCCTCTAGGCCTGAATCTCAAGGGCACCCAACAGCCTCAGGCCCCAAAAAGTATAAACAAGAGTGAATTGAGGGGGTGCAAACTGGTGGAATATGATTTAATTAGCTGAAGGTAATTGGAGGATTAATCCCTGATATATAAATGGACCAAACTTCGATCTGTCTGAAAAACTCATGCCCATCATCCATCTGGGGTGAAGCCTCTGGGAGGTTTTACTGCCCGATTGTTTCTATTTATAACAGAAATGGTAAATTGAAGGCCTTTAATGAATTCCCACTTTATCCTTGACCTTTGTCTGTTCCTTGTCCTTTGAAGTTGTCTGACCTCTGTTCTAGGCAGCCACTCCAAGGCATCATCACCACCCTGGGCGGCAGTGCCACCCTGAGCAGCAGTATCACCCTGGGCAGCAGTGCCACCCTGGGGAGCAGTGCCACCCTGTGCCAGCCGTGCCACCCCAAGCAGCAGTGCCACCCTGGGCAGCAGTGCCACCCTGGGCAGCAGTGCCACCCTGAGCAGCAGTGCCACCCTGGGGAGCAGTGCCACCCCGAGCAGCAGTGCCACCCCGAGCAGCAGTGTCACCCTGGCCAGCAGTGCCACCCTGAGCAGCAGTGCCACCCTGAGCAGCAGTGCCACCCTGAGCAGCAGTGCCACCCTGTGCCAGCCGTGCCAGCCCCCCAGGACCCCCGCAGCCCGCGCCCTCTCACCCGCCAGCAGCAGCGCAGCCACGCAGTCCTGCCGCCCCTGCAGCGCCGCCTTCATCAGCGCCGTCAGCCCGCGGGGGTCGCGCCGCTCCAGCTGCAGCGCGGGGTAATAGTTCAGCAGGTAGTTCACGATGGTGATGTGCCCTTCAAGCACAGGGAGCCGCGTTAGAGCTGCCGCAGCTCACGGGGAGCGCGGCTGGGGCCGCCCGGACAAAGAATCCGGCAGCTGCGCTCCGGGAGGATGCAGGTGTGGGAGGTGGAAGGGTCAGTGTGGGGCTCAGACTCAGCCAAAGAAAGAAACGGAGAGTTTCTAGCCAGGCAAAGCCTGGGAAAGAGCTGGAGAGAGTGTAAATAATTCTTTATCTCTCTTGTTCTCACATTGTTTATAGTTAAGTTGTATCACTGTGCGTCAAGCACTGTGCACCAATGCTGTGGCTTGTTTTCACTTCAGAACCAATGGGTTTGGCCTTTGTGAAGCTCTGTATAAAAGAGCGGTGTATTTTGAATAAATCAGAGTTTTACTTTCAGCAGCCTTCTGAGTGAGTCTTCTCATTCCCGTCCTGCCTCAACAGCGACATGTAAATAATTCTTTATCTCTATTGTTGCTCACATTATTTATAGTTAAGTTATATCACTGTGCGTCAAGCACTGTACACCAATGCTGTGTGTTGTTTTCACTTCAGAACCAATGGGTTTGGCCTTTGTGAAGCTCTGTATAAAAGAGCGGTGTATTTTGAATAAATCAGAGTTTTACTCTCAGCAGCCTTCTGAGTGAGTCTTCTCATTCCCGTCCTGCCTCAACAGCGACATGTAAATAATTCTTTATCTCTATTGTTGCTCACATTATTTATAGTTAAGTTATATCACTGTGCGTCAAGCACTGTACACCAATGCTGTGTGTTGTTTTCACTTCAGAACCAATGGGTTTGGCCTTTGTGAAGCTCTGTATAAAAGAGCGGTGTATTTTGAATAAATCAGAGTTTTACTCTCAGCAGCCTTCTCATTCCCGTCCTGCCTCGACAGCGACAGGTCAGGATTGAAAGGGTTTGGGTCTGTTTTGGGTTGGATTTATTTTGGGTTGGGCACGGAGGGAGCAGCGATGATGAACCAGCTGCTTTAGTGGAAAGCACAGAAAAGAGTCAAAAAATGGAAAAAAAACCTCCAGAAAATCATGAATTCTAGCAAGGATACAACGGGAATCAAGGGTGATCCCCATTTTGGGACCCTTCCCCTCCTGGTAAATCTAGGGGAGGGAACCAGACTGGAATTTTGGGTCCAACACAGAGCTCGGAGCTTTCAGAGCCAGACTGGAATTTTGGGTCCAACACAGAGCTCGGAGCTTTCAGAACCAGACTGGAATTTTGGGCCAACACAGAGCTCGGAGCTTTCAGAACCAGACTGGAATTTTGGGTCCAACACAGAGCTCGGAGCCTTTCGGCAGGAAAATCCCTGCGACTCCTGGGGCACAAGGGGCACCCCCAGTCCAGCTCCGCCACTCAACACGGCACCACTGCAGGAATCTCCATTCCCACATATTTTTAAAGCAGAGATGATGTCACACACGCCCTGGGAGCACACGACAGCTCGTTTTGGGGTTTTTGGGGGAAGCACAGGGGGTCACATCTCTTCCTGAGGATGCTGACCTGCCTGGGCTGCCATCATGAGAGCCGTGTTGCCATCGTTGTCCTGCTGGTTGATGTTGATGTAGGGACACTTCTGCAGCAGCGGCACGATGTCCACGAAGCCCTTGGAGCAGGCCACCATCAGCCCGTTCTGCAGAGGGAACAACACTCAGCACCACACTGCTCCCATGGCCCTCCCGAATTGTCCCCGTGTCAGGGTCAGCTGGTGAGACCCCAGCAGTGTGAAAATCCACTTTTTTAGCCTGAGCAGTTAGAGAAGGAGCTTGGAATGCATCTGGTTGTGTGTTCAAAGTTTATTTTTTCTTATTTATAACGTTCTTTTTCTGACTTGCTGAGTTCTGTCTAGAAAGGAACAATGCCTTACCTGCTGTGAGCCTTGGGCAGCTCTCATATTATATACTCAAAACTACGTACCGTGTGTTTATAATTTCTTTACTAATATCTATCACTTATGTTAGACTTTGAATCTCTACTTTGACCAATAGAAAAGTGTCACCATCACACTAAGACATGGAGGATAAGAAGAAAGGAAAGAAGGTCAGGACACACCTAAATTCTTCTATCGACCCCCTGAATTATATTCTAAAAAATGCCCAAATTTCTACTTTTCTACCCTATGTTAATTCAAGTATCACACTACTCAAACCTTTGTGGTTTGTAATTCTTCATACAAAGCTGGCAATTTTTTCCACGGGCTAAAATCAAAGCCACAGCTGGTTTTGACTTCTTGCCAAGGTCTCCAAGCCCCCTGCAAGGGTCTGGAGCCAGCCAGGGCAGGCAGAGGGATGTGCTGGACTCCGACATCCCTGCACCCAAACCAGGCAGGTGCAGGGTGGGAGAGCAGACCAGGTTCTGCTCCAAGTTTGGATCAACCCCAGGACACCCATCCCACCCTCCTGCCCCTCTTTTGGCAGTTTGGATCAATGCCATGACACCCATCCCACCCTCCTGCCCCTCTTTTGGCAGTTTGGATCAATGCCAGGACACCCATCCCACCCTCCTGCCCCTCTTTTGGCAGTTTGGATCAACCTCAGTACACCCATCCCACCCTCCTGCCCCTCTTTTGGCAGTTTGGATCAATGCCAGGACACCCATCCCACCCTCCTGCCCCTCTTTTGGCAGTTTGGATCAACCTCAGTACACCCATCCCACCCTCCTGCCCCTCTTTTGGCAGTTTGGATCAACACCAGGACACCCATCCCACCCTCCTGCCCCAATTTTAGCATCCCCCAGCTGGATTTGCCAGCTCCAGGAGGAGCCCTGTCCAGCCCTGCAGGGTGCACCCCCCAGCCGCTCACCCTCCCGTTGATGTCCAGCTCCGTGGCCTCGCTGCGGGTCACGCCGCGCTCCAGCCTCTCCCACAGCAGCTTGGCATCGTTCCTGGCACAGCACTGGTAGAGACTGAGGAGCCCGGCGCCCTCAGCCTCGGGGGACACCTCGTAGCAGGGGTAGACAGAGTCGTCAGAGAAGATGCTGCAGGTGTCCGAGGGCTGCGAGGATCCTGGTGCCTCCTCCTCCTCCTCCTCCTCATAGTGCAGCTCCGGGTCGGAGGCATCCAGGCTGGCAGCGGGAGCTGCAGCACGTTCTCCTCCAGTGCAGGCATCTGTCATCCGGCCCGGGCGGGGGCAGCGAGCCCAGCCTGGGGCCAGGAGCCTCTCCCGGGCGGCCGAGGGGGCACTGGGGCTGTCACCCCCCCTGGGCAGACACAGAGGGGGCGTGGGAACGGCTGGGAACCAGCTCAGCCCAGCTCAGAACAGCTCAGCCCAGCACATCCCAGCACATCCCAGCCCAGCCCAGCACAGCCCAGCACAGCCCAGCACATCCCAGCACATCCCATCCCATCCCAGTTTAACCCAGCCCAGCCCAGTTTAACCCATCCCATCCCAGTTTAACCCAGCCCAGCCCAGCCAACGCTCTGGGGGTGTCTGACAGCTGTGACCCCCCCAGGACAGAGCAGCCCCCCCGTGGCCAAACCAGTGGGAGCCCTGTGGGACCGAGCCCTTTTCTGACCCCACTTTTATTCCATTTTCAGTCCCATGTGAAGGGTGAGACAATACAGATGTTACCATTCACGCCATCACAATTAGAAGCTAATTATTTCCTAATTGCAACACACTATAAACATTTCTTGGCCTATCAGTTTCTGCCACACCACGCTGTAGATGCCTTAAAGCCAACAATCTAAAATTCCCCTCGTGGCTGCCACTACGATGCATCTTTCACAGTTCCAGTTCTCCAAAGTTTCCTGTCTTATTTGCAAAGGCACCCACTGAACCTTGGTTTTAGTTCCATTCCTCTCTCAGCAATCTCTGCCCTGTTCCAGGGCATTTCTAAGTCAGAATTTCTTATTTTGCACACGGGTGTGTGAGCCTTCTGTCAGGCTTTGGGAATTCTCTGTAAATCCATTTCCCACATTTCTCCCCATCTCTCGCTGACGGGCTGGGTGAGCGTGGCACAGCTGGGCAGGGCGGTGCAGATGCAGGGGGAGCTGAACATCTGGGCAGCTGTGCAGAGCACAGCCCCCTCCCCGCTCATCCAGGGCACATCCCAGCAGGATGAGGATTTCCCAGGGGAGCAGCAGCTCCCCAGGACACAGAGCTGTGGGCAGGGACACCCAGACTGTCCCAGCAGGATGAGGATTTTCCCAGGGGAGCAGCAGCTCCCCAGGACACAGAGCCCTGGAACAGGGACACCCAGACTGTCCCAGCAGGATGAGGATTTCCAAGGGGAGCAGCAGCTCAGGGACACCCCAGCAGCTCAGGGACACCCCGACTGTCCCATCAGGATGAGGATTTCCCAGGGGAGCAGCAGCTCAGGGACACCCAGACTGTCCCAGCAGGATGAGGATTTCCCAGCGGAGCAGCAGCTCCCCAGGACACAGAGCCCTGGAACAGGGACTCACAGACTGTCCCAGCAGGATGAGGATTTCCCAGCGGAGCAGCAGCTCCCCCAGCACAGAGGAGCTGTGGGAAGGGACATCCAGACTGTCCCAGCAGGATGAGGATTTCCCAGGGGAGCAGCAGCTCCCCCAGCACACAGAGCCCTGGAACAGGAGCTGTGGGCAGGGACATCCAGGCTCAGCCCAGCTCAGCAGGGATCAAACCCTTTTGCTTCTAAGCAGAAGCCAGCAATGGATTAATGGGTGCCATCAAAGGAGGAAAATCAAAATCCCACTGAACTTCCCCACCCCTGAGATGCCGCCGGTGCTCCTCTCACCTGGATCTTCCCCGGGGCTGCTCAGATCTTCCCCCTGGTGCCTCCTCAGCTGGGCAGCATCCCGGCCACAAGCAGGAGGGAGAACTCACCGAGCAGCCACAAAATGTCCCTCTGGACCCTCGGCAGGGCAAAAGAGCTTTGTGCTCTGTGGCTGAGGTGGCCTTTTGGCACCCAAGCTGTGACAACCTGCACGTTGATGTGGGCTCAGCTACCCAAGAGATCTTAAATTAAACTGTTGCTTAAAATGGCTGCATCCAGCCTGAGCAGGATCAGGACAGGATTTAGTGTCTTGAGTCCAGGAGCTGCTGGGAGCCCCGGGCTGTATTTTTATTCCTGTCTCACTTTGGTGTGGCAGCGCTGCCTGGGCAGTCCCACGGGCTCAGCTGCAGCCCTGACAACTCCTTCCACCTGACTTTCCAGCCAGGTGAATCGGCTGAGCAGATAATTCTGGGAAGCTGCTGCTCCAGGTTTGGACATCTGAAATGTCCACGTGCATTCGATAAACTCTGTGATTTCCCCTTAGAGGTGCCTTGGAGTTTCCATCCCTCCTGCTCCACCAGGAATGAATTCCAAAGCTCTCAGGGGAGCCTAAACCCAGGAGCTGCAAAAATTGTTTCCCAAATTACACGTGAAGCCTGATTGTTCTCTTCTCTTCACCTTTAAAGGGCTTTTTGGTGTTGTTGTTTGTGTGTTGTTGAGGTTTTAATGTGTTTCCTGAAGTTCAGGGGCCATCTGGACTGTGAGATCTACAAAAGGACATTCCCAAACCCTGGATCAGATATTTTCTTGCCAAAAAAGGATGGAATTTGGTGCCAAGGCACATGGTGGGAGGCCGTGCTCCCCGTTTTCAGCAGAGCCCCAGAGGGCATTTCACTGCACCCTTCAACATGAAAATATGGCACAGAGGAAGGATCCCAACTGCTCCCCCCGTGCTGGGAAGCAGGAGCTGGGAATTCTGGAGCTGAATATAAAGATCCTGGAGGTGAATATAAAAATCCTGGTGCTGAAGGTGCAGATCCCAGACAGGGCATGGCCACCACGGCGTCACCCTGCTGTGACACCTCCTGCCACCCTCCTGCTCTGCCTCACCTCAGGGAAGGACAGGGAGCAGATTTAGGGCTTAAGGAGTCACCCTGGGAGCCACGTGCCGTAATCTGCAGCTGGAAAAGTCAGGAGGAGCTGAGACAGTTATGTAAAAACAGGGCTGGGTGCTGAAATGGGTGCCCAGGTGGGTGCCAGGGCTGGGGGACAGCAGAAAAAGGTTTTGCTGGTTATTACATACAACAGGCAGCCCCTAATCTGCACCTGAAACATTGGGGTAAAGTGCTTTTATTATGTGGAAAAGATCAGCAATTCTCCTGCAGGAGCTCATGGCAGAAAATTAAATGTCAACTCCAAAACTCAATACAAGAAAAAGCAGCCAGGACAAACAGGACCTGAATCACCCCAAAATAATACCCTGTCCCTGAAAATCTAACCTTAACCAAACCGAGCACTAAGCTATAAGCAGAAAACAAAGCCCAAACATAACTGTAAAGCTAAAAAAAAACCTATATCCAAAAAAAACCCCAAAGACTTCCTCAAAATCTCACCCTAAAGACAATGCTACCAATAATCCTAACAAAATCCCTAAACTGAATCCAAATCCAAATCCAAATCCAAACCCGAAGGGGAAGGGAAGGGAAGGGAAGGGAAGGGAAGGGAAGGGAAGGGAAGGGAAGGGAAGGGAAGGGAAGGGAAGGGAAGGGAAGGGAAGGGAAGGGAAGGGAAGGGAAGGGAAGGGAAGGGAAGGGAAGGGAAGGGAAGGGAAGGGAAGGAGAAGCAGGGAAGGGGCAAAAAGGGCAAGGCAAGGAAATGGAAATAGCTTGCACTGCCTTGCTTGCCCCTCCTTCCTCTTGCCTGCTCTAACCCTGCTCTGCCCTACCCACCCCTCTGTGTCCCCTTTCCATTCCCTGCTCACCCATCCCCACCCTGGTTCCCCCGGTGCCTTTTCCCGGCCGTGCCCTGCCCTGCTCTGCCACAGCTGCCATGGCCTTGCTCACCTGGCATTTGCCTTGCTTGGGAAACCCACCTTGTGCCCTCCTTTGCCCTGCCCAGCCCTCTGGTGTGTTCCACTGCCTCTCACATCCATCCTCCATCCTGCCCTGCCTGTGCTTTCCTCCCTGGCCTTGACTGGACCTGCCTGACCCCGCTGAGACCTGCCTCACCATTCCTGATCCTCCTGGGACATCCCTGGCCATTCCTGCCCCACCTGAGACCTGCCTGGCCATTCCTGACCCCCTGAGATCTCCCTGACCATTCCTGATCCTCCTGGGACATCCCTGGCCATTCCTGCTCCACCTGAGATCTCCCTGACCATTCCTGATCCTCCTGGGACATCCCTGGCCATTCCTGCCCCACCTGAGATCTCCCTGACCATTCCTGATCCTCCTGGGACATCCCTGGCCATTCCTGCCCCACCTGAGACCTGCCTGGCCATTCCTGACCCCCTGAGATCTCCCTGGCCATTCCTGACCCCCTGAGATCTCCCTGACCATTCCTGAACCCCTGAAATCTCCCTGACCATTCCTGATCCTCCTGGGACATCCCTGGCCATTCCTGCTCCACCTGAGACCTGCCTGACCATTCCTGATCCTCCTGGGACATCCCTGGCCATTCCTGCCCCACCTGAGACCTGCCTGGCCATTCCTGACCCCCCTGAGACCTCCCTGGATTCACCAGTCCAGGTGCCTGATGTCAGTTTGTAGGGCTCCCCTGGGACTGTCAGGGCAGCACAAGTATGAGGTGGGGGCAGTCCCGGTTTGGGATTTATCCTTCGATATTTGGATTTTTTGCAATCAGCTGCCCGCTCAGGGCTCCCTAATTACCATTACCCACGCGTGGCCACGCCCCTTTCTTTGGGGCCACGCCCCTTTCTTTGGGGCCACGCCCCCAGCGCGCCGCCGCCGTTGCGTCACTTCCGGGGCGCAAAGATGGCGACGCCCTATGTGACGGACGCGACCGGTGAGCGCGGGGGGGCCCCGGGGGGCGGGGGGGGCTCCGGGACCCCCCCCCGGGGCTGCGCCGGCACCCCCGAGACCCCCCCCAGAACCCGCGCGGGGCTCCCGGCGGCGGGAACGGCACAAAGGGGGGGGATGGGGCGGGCGGGACCCCCGTGAGGGGCTTGGGGGGGGCGGGGTTCAGGGGGGGGAAGGATTTTGGGGAGGGGTCTTGGGGGTTTCCGTGAGGGGTTTGGGGTCTCCGTGAGAATTTGGGGTCTCCGTGAGGGATTTGGGGTCTCCGTGAGAGTTTGGGGTCTCCGTGAGGCGTTTTGGGGTGTCTGAGGGGGGGTTTGGATTTGAGGAGGGGTCCCGGGACCCCCGTAAAGGGCCTGGGGGGGGCGGGGTTTGGGGAGGGGGATGATTTTGGGGAGGGGTCCTGGGGGTGTCCGTGAGGGGTTGGGGGTCCCCATAAGGAGTTTGGGGTCTCTGAGGGGGGGTTTGGGGTCCCACTGAGGGGTTTTGGGATCTCTGAGGGGTGGTTTGGATTTGGGGAGGGTTTTGGGGTCTCCATGAGGGGTTTTGAGGTGTCTGCGGGGGGGTTTGGATGTGGGGAGGGGTCCCGGGACCCCTTGAGGGGTCCTGGGGTATTTGGGGAGGGGTCCCGGAGGTCCCCGTGAGGATTTGGGGTCCCCGTGAGGGGTTTGGGGTCTCTGGGAGGGTTTTGGGGTGTCTGAGGGGGGGGTTTGGATTTGGGGGGGTGGCCCTGGGGGTGGTCCCCGGGAATGTCCCCGAGCCCCCCTGGGGGTCCTGGCAGGGCCTTGGGGGTGTCCCAGGGTCCTTCTGGTGTCCAGGGGTGTCCCCAGGGTGTCCCCATGTCCCCAGGATGTCCCTGGGTGTCCCCAGGGTGTTCCCAGGATGTCCCCAGGTGTCCCCAGGGTCTCCCAGGTTGTTCCCGTGTCCGCCCCGTGTCCCCAGAGTGTCCCCAGGGTGTCCCCAAGGTGTCCCCAGGGTGTCCCCAGGTTGTCCCAGAGTGTCCCAGGATGTCCCCGTGTCCCCCCCCGTGTCCCCAGGGTGTCCCCAGGGTGTTCCTGTGTCTGTGGAGGTGTCCCCACGGTGTCCCCAGGGTGTCCCCACAGTGTCCCCAGGGTGTCCCTACAGTGTCCCCAGGGTGTCCCCAAGTCTCTGGGGTGTTTGTGGGGCTGTCCCTGTGGTGCCCCCATGTCCCAGGTCTGTCCCCAGGCTGTACCCTCGGTGTCCCTGCGCTGTCCCCAAGCTGTCCCCATGTCCCATGGTTTGTCCCAAGGCTGTCCCCGTGTCCCCAAGCTGTCCCCGTGTCCCAGGGCGGTCCCCGTGTCCCTGTCCTCATGTCCCAGGGCTGTCCCCGTGTCCCTGTCCCCGTGTCCCCAGGCTGTCCCCACAGTGTCCCCGTGTCCCCAGGCAGGTACATCCCGTCCACGCAGCGCCCGGACGGGACCTGGCGGAAGCAGCGCCGGGTCAAGGAGGGCTACGTGCCCCAGGAGGAGGTGCCCGTGTGAGTGGGGGTCCTGGGGGGTCCCCAGGGTGTGGGGAGGGGTCCTGGGAGTCCCCAGGGTGTGGGGAGGGGTCCTGGGGGGGGTCCCAGAGGGATCCTGGGGGGTCCCCAGGGTGTGGGGAGGGGTCCTGGGGTGTCCCAGGGGTGTCATGGGGGGTCCCCAGGGTGTGGGGAGGGGTCCTGGGGGGGTCCCAGAGGGGTCCTGAGGGTCCCCGGTGTGTGGAGAAGGGTCCTGGGGGGGTCCTGGGGGGTCCCAGGGTGTGGGGAGGGGTCCCCAGGGTGTGGAGAAGGGTCCTGGGGGGATCATGGGGGTCCCAGGGGTGTGGGGAGGGGTCAGGTCCCACCCATGCCTGGCTCTGGGTCCTCCCTGGGTCCCCCAGAGCCCTCAAATCCCCCCCAGGACCCCTCAAATCCTCCTCAGGACCCCCCCAAACCCCTCCAGGACCCCTCCTGTCCCCCCTAAACCCCTCAAATCCCCTCCTGGACCCCCCCCAAACTCTCCAGGACCCCTCCAGATCCTTCCTGTCCCCTCAAATTCCCTCCTGTCTCCCCCAAAGTCCTCCAGGACCACTCCAGAACCCCCCCAAACCCCTCCAGGACCCCCCTAAACCCCTCCAGGACCCCCCCAAATGCAGCCTGTCTCCCCTAAACCCCTCCAGGACCCCCCCAAACCCCTCCAGGACCCCCCCAAACCCCTCCAGGATCCCCCCAAACCCCTCCAGGACCCCCCCAAACGCAGCCTGGTTCCCCTAAACCCCTCCAGGACACCCCCAAACCCCTCCAGAACCTCCCCCAAACCCATCCTGTGCCCCCCCAAACCCCTCAAATCCCCTCCTGTCCCCCCCAAACCCCTCCAGAACCCCCCCAAAACGCCTCCACGCCCTCCCCCCCGCCCCCCAAAACCCCCTGACCCTTTTTTTCCCCCCCTGCACCACAGCTACGAGAACAAATACGTGAAATTCTTCCGGAGCAAACCCGAACTGCCCCCGGGTTTAAACCCCGAGGCCGCCCCTTCCCCATCGAGCCGAGGGAACCCCCCCGGGGGGCGGCCCGAGGGCTGCGACCCCTCCCCGACTTTATCCAAAAGCGCCCGGAGGAACCTGAAACGCAAAGAGAAAAGGAAACAGCAGCAGGAAAAGGAAAAAGATCGGGAAAACGGTGGCGGCGACGGACTGAGCCAGGCGCTGGAAAAAATCGGGCTGGGAGGAGGAGGAGGAGGGACAGCGGGGGAGAAGGGAGGGGAGAAAAACGTGGAAAATCCTGGGAATTCCGGCAAGAATTCCAGCAAGAATCCCGCCGATTCCAGCAAGAACCCCGGGGTTAATTCCGGGAGTAATTCCAGGGATAATTCCGGGAATAATTCGGGGAAGAATTTGGGGAGGAATTCGGGGATTAATTCAGGGAGTAACGTCGGGAATAGCTGCGGGGATAATTCCAGGAATAATTTAGGGAAGAATTCGGGGAGCAACTCCAGGAATAATTCGGGGAATAATGCCGGGATTAATTCGGGAAGCAACTCCGGGAATATTTTGGGGAGTCACGTCGGGAGTAACGTCGGGAATAGCTCCGGAGATAATTCCGGGAAGAATTTGGGGAAGAATTCAGGGAGCAACTCGGGGAATAACATCGGGATGAATTCAGGGTGCAACATCGGGAATAGCTCCGGAGATAATACCGGGAAGAATTCAGGGAGCAACCCCGGGGATATTTCGGGAAGCAACGCCGGGAATATTGCGGGGGATAACCCCGGCAGCTCGGAGCGCGGGCGGCGCATGAAGAGCCTGCGGAAGAAGCTGCGGCAGGTGGAGGAGCTGCGGCGGCGGCTGGAGGGCGGCGCGGGGCCCCGGCCCAGCCCCGAGCAGCTGCAGAAGCTGGCGCGGCGCGGGGCGCTGGAGGCCGAGCTGCGGGCGCTGGAGCTCGGCTCCTAACCGCGGCTTTCGGGCTTTTTTTTGGGGTTTTTTTGGGGTTTTTCGTTAGTTTTGTAAAGGTTTTTTGGGGTTTTTTTGTTGTTTTTTCTCGGGGGGGGTTATTTTGTTTTATTTCGTTTGTTATTTTAATTGAAATTGTATTTTGAATATTATTTTTCTTCTGGTTTGTTTCGTTTATTATTTTAATTTGAATTTTAGTTTGAATATTAGTTTCTTTATATTTTGTTTTATTTCGTTTATTTTAATTTTATTTTTAATTTTTTGTTTGTTTATGACATTTTGTTCTTTTGCTTAATTTATTTTATTTTTGTTTCATTACTTTATTTTTGTTTCATTATTTTATTTTGTTTATTTTATTTTGTTTTTTTATTTTGTTTATTTTATTTTGTTTATTTAGTTTATTTTATTTTGTTTTATTATTTTATTTTTATTTTATTTCATTATTTTGTTTATTTTGTTTGTTTTATTTTGTTCATTTAAATTTCATTTGTTTTATTTTACTTTGTTTTGTTTATTTCATTTAATTTCATTTATTTTATTTTGTTTATTTTATTTAATTTCTTTTATTTTAATTTCATGTTTCCATTTTTAGTTTATTTCGTTTCAGTTTAAATTTTTGTTTATTTTTATTTTGGTTTTGGTTATTTTTTATTTAATTTTACTGATTTTTTTTTGCTTTTTGTTTTGGGGTTTTTTGCTTTCTTTTTTTCATTTCTTTTGGCCTTTTTTTGGGGGGTTGGATTTTTTGGGTTGTTTTTTTTTTTTTAATTGGGGTTTTAATTTTTTTATTATTTTAAATTTTCTTTCCATTGTTTTTCCTTTTTTTCCTCAAATTTTTCCCCTAATTTTATTTTCTTTTTTTTTTTTTTTTTTTCCCTTTGGCCTCCTTCTTCCTGAATCGATTCCCTCTTTTTATTGGGATTGAAAAATGGGGGTAAAAACCCAAAAATCGGGGCCGTGCCCCCTCCCCTCCCTCTGTGCCCCTCCCCCCACCCCGATTTTCTCTTTTTTTGCCTTTTTTTGGCTTCGGTTTTTCCCAACGTGGAGGAATAAAAAAAAAAAAAAAACAGACCCAGAGGGGCCCGATGGAACTGGGGGCACTGGGACAACTGGGAGGGGGAACTGGGAGAGACCCCAAACTGGGAGGGGGAACTGAGGGAATTGGGAGCACTTGGAGAGACCCCGAACTGGGAGAACTGGGAGGGGGAACTGGGAGAGGGCACTGGGGGAACTGGGAGCACTGGGAAGGGCACTGGGGCCCACCTCGGTGACGGGATGGCGGCGTTGCCCCTTTAAGGGGCGTGACTCTATGCAAATAAGTAGCGTGGCTATGCAGATTAAAATCATCACTTAGGGGGCGTGGCCATGCCCATGTAGGGACGGGCTCGCGCCGTTAGGGGGCGTGGCTTTTACCTTTTAAGGAAATGACCGCGCGGTGCTGTCCCACCCCGGAAGAGGGCGTGGCAGCGCGTGCGGCTGGCGGGAAGCGGAAGTGCAGCCGTGAGGGGACCCCGGGGGGGGTGGCGGAGCGACCCCCCCGGAACCCCCCCGGTACCGGAATGGTGAGTCCCGAACCCCCCCGGTACCGGCACGGTGAGTCTCGAACTCCTCCGGACCCCTCCGAACCCTCCCGGTACCGGAGCTCCGAGAGCCGCTCCGAGCGTCCGGGGCTCCCGGGCCGGTTTGGGGGGTCCCGGTTCCGTTCGCGGAGGGGTCAGGGGGTCCCCGGTACCGGATTTCGGGGGTCCCGGGGCCGTTCTGTGGTTCCCGGGGCTCGGTTCGGGGGTCCCGGTCCGTTCCGGTGTCCCGTGGCCGTACCGGGGGCCCTGACGCCGCTGTCCCCGCTCTGTCCCAGGGGTGGCTGTGACCTAACGCCGGTCCGATGGAGCGGCCCCGGTACCGGGAGGCGGCCGGGGGCGTCCTCGGGGGGGGCTCCAGCGCCGCCTGCAACGGGAGCTGTGGCCACCCCCCCGCTGCCACCGGCATCGACACCGGCTCCGGGACTGGCACCGGGAATGGCACCGGGACTGGCACCGGCGCCGGCACGGCGGGCGGCAGCGGCGAGCGCGACCCTCCTGTCACCGGCCCCGGTGGCGTCCGCGGTCCCGGGAGTGTCCCCAACTCTGAGGGTGTCCCTGAGAGTGTCCCCAATACCGGGAGTGTCCCTGGTCCCGGGGTTGTCCCCAACCTCTCCAATGTCCCCAACCCTCGGGGTGTCCTCACCCCTGGCAGTGTCCCCACCCCCGGCTGTGTCCCCGCTCCCGGCTGTGTCCCCACCCCCGGGGGTCGCTGCGGCTGCCGGTCCCCCCCGGCCGCTCCCCCGAGCCCCTCCCGGGACCTCCCGTGCGGCCCCGGCTGCCGCCACCGGGGACCCCCGGACGACACCGGCGACACCCGCGGGGCGCGGCGGCGACCGCGACAACGCCACGACGACACCGGGAGGGGACACCGGGTGTCCCTACGGGTGGCCCGGGCGGGGGTCGCGCTGTTCCTCCGCCTCCTCGGGGCTCTCCTGCCGCTGCTCTTCCTCCTCCTCCTCCTCCTCCTCGGGGGGCTCCGCTCCTTCCTCCGCGGCGCCTCCTCGGGGCTCCGCCGCTCCCGGGAGCTGCTGGGCGAGTGGCTACGGCGGCGGGCGAGCCACGCCGGTGTCACCGGAGGTGGTGGCGGCCACCAGGAGGAGGAGGAGGTGACACGTTTGGTGGCCATGGTGGCCGAGGAGGAGCCGGACCCGTTCCGGGTGCTCGGCGTGGAGCCCACGGCCAGCGACACCGAGCTGAGGAGGGCGTACCGGAGGCTGGCGGTGCTGGTGGGTGTCGGGGACACTTTGGGGACATCTTGGGGACAATTTGGGGACGCTGAGGGTCGTGACTTGGCAGGTGCACCCCGACAAGAGCCGCGACCCCCGGGCGGAGGCGGCGTTCAAGGTGCTGCGGGCGGGCTGGGAGCGGGTGAGCAGCCCCGAGAGGCGGCGCGAGTTCCAAGCGTGAGTTTGGGGCGAAAATCCCAATTTTTGGGGTGTAAATCCCAATTTTTGGGGTGTAAATCCCATTTTTAGGGTGTAAATCACAAATTTTGGGATGTAAATCCCGGGTTTTGGGGTGTAAATCCCAGATTTTGGGGTGTAAATCCCAGATTTTGTGTTGTAAATTCTGGGTTTTGGGGCGGGCTGGGAGCGGGTGAGCAGCTCCAAGAGACAGCGCGAGTTCCAGGCATGAGTTTGGGGTGAAAATCCCAAATTTTGGGGTGTAAATGCCATTTTTGAGGTAGAAATCTCAGGTTTTGGGATGCCCATCCCATTTTTCAGGGTGCCAATCCCATTTTTTGGGTTCTAATTCCCGTTTTTTGGGCCGCAGGAAGCAGCTGGCACGGTCAGAGCTGGTGCGGTGCTGGGCGCTTTTTTGGGGCTGTCGCTCCCATTTTTCAGGGTGCCAATCCCTTTTTTTTTTTACAAATCCCATTTTTTGGGATGCCCATCCCATTTTTCAGGGTGCCAATCGCATTTTTTGGGTTCTAATTCCCGTTTTTTGGGCGGCAGGAAGCAGCTGGCACGGTCGGAGCTGGCGCGGGCGCTGGGCGCGTTCCTGGCCCGGCTGCAGGAGGAGCTCAGGGACGCCATGGGCTGCACCCGCTGCGGGGGGCGGCACAGGTGGGGACATTGTGGGGACACCGGGGACACTGTGGGGACAGCAGGGACAGTGGGGACACTGGGGACAGCAGGACAGTGGGGACACTGGACACCAGGGACAGTGGGGACAGTGGGTGTCACAATGTGCCCATATTTTCAATGTCCCCAGTGTCCCCAGTGTCCCAAATGTCCCCATGTCCCCAGTGTCCCCAGTGTCCCAAATGTCCCCATGTCCCCAGTGTCCCTGAGAATGTCACAGTGTCCCGATGTCCCCAATGTCCGCATGTCCCCAGTGTCCCTGGTGGTGTCCCAGTGTCCCCATGTCCTCAATGTCCCCAATGTCCAAAATGTCCCCAATGTCCCCAGTGTCTCTGAGAATGCCACAGTGTCCCCATGTCCCCAATGTCCCCAATGTCCCAAATCTCCCCAATGTCCTCAATGTCCCCAATGTCCCCATGTCCCCACATCCCAAATGTCCCCAATATCCCCAATGTCCCAAATATTCCCCAATATTCCCCAATGACCCCAATGTCCCCATGTCCCTGGAGGTGTCTCAGTGTCCCCAATGTCCCCACGTCCCCAATGTCCCCAATCTCCCCAATGTCCTCATATCCCCTGTATCCCCAATATCCCCAATGTCTCCATATCCCCAATGTCCCCAACGTCCCAAATCTCCCCAACGTCCCCAAATGTCCCCAAATGTCCCCGCAGGCGGTTCCAGCTGGACAGGGACCCCGGCGGTGGCCGTTACTGTGCCAGCTGCGGGGGGTGGCACGCGGCCGAGGAGGGCGACCTGTGGGCAGAGTCCAGCCTGCTCGGCCTCAGGGTCACCTACCTGGCCTGCATGGACGGCCACATCTACGATGTCACCGGTGAGGGACACCCGCGGGGGACACCGGCACGGACACGCCTGGGGGGGACAGACAGGTCCCAGGGGGTGGCAGGTCCCAGGGTCACCATGACCAGAGGTCACCGTGGTCACCCCAGGTCATCTGGGGGGAGGTCAGCATGATCAAGGGGTCACCATGGCCACCTCGGGTCACTTTGGTGTCACCATGACCACCCCAGGTCATTTGGAGGGGTCACCATGACCAAGGGGTCACCATGGCCACCCCGGGGTCACCATGGCCACCCCAGGGTCACTCTGGTGTCACCATGACCACCCCAGGTCATTTGGAGGGGTCACCATGACCAAGGGGTCACCATGGCCACCCCGGGTCACTCTTGGTCACCATGGCCACCCCGGGTCACCCTGGGGTCACCCTGGGGTCACCGTGTCCCCCATGTGTCCCCAGAGTGGGCGGGCTGCCAGCGCGTGGTCATCTCCCCGGACAGCCACCGTGTCCCCTGCCACCTGTCCTGCAGCGCCAGGACAGCCACACCGGCCGGCCGCCAGCGGTCAGTCCTGGGGTGGTCAGTCCTGGGGTGTCCTGGGGGTACCCAGGGGTGTCCTGGGGGTGTCCTGGGTACCTGGGGGTGTCCTGGGGGTACCCAGGGGTGTCCTGGGGGTGTCCTGGGATGTCCTGGGGTGTCCTGGGGTGTCCTGGGGGTGGACACCGGTGGTCAGTCCTGGGGAGGGGGTGGTCAGGAGTGTCCTGGTGTGCCCAGGGATGTTCTGGGGGTGCCCAGGCAGTGCCCAGGTACATCCAGGTGTGCCCAGCTGTGCCCCAACCCCTTTTCTCTCCCTCCCCAGGCCCCCCCACAAGGGCAGCGCCCCCTCCCCCAGCACCCCCCAGGATTTCCTGGCCCGCCTTTTCCAGGGACCCCCCCAGGGACCCCCCCAAGGCCAGGGGGGTCCCCCCAGGGGGGACACGAAGCACAAGAGGAGGAAGAAGGGGCGACGGCCGCAGCCGCGCTGAGGAAACCCTCCCCCAGACCCCCACCCCAAAAAACCAAAAACCTCAAAAAGAAAAACCCCAAAAAAACAAACACAACCAAAAAAAAGGGCTTGGAATTAAAAAAAAATCTATTTTTTTTCTTTTATTTTATTTGGGTTTCTTTAAATAAAATCGAGTGGTGGTTTTTGTATTTAAAATTTAAAAAGAGGGAGTGTGGAAATTTGGGGGTCCCCAAATCACGATATGGCGGCACTACTTCCGGTATGCGCAGGAAAAAGAATGGCGTCACTGACGCCGTTGTGGGTGCCGCCATGTTGGAGGGTTCTGCGAGGGCTCAGGGCGCGGTGCCATCTTGGGTGTGGGCAGGGCGACGCTTCAGGCGCCGGTACCGGAGTTGTGGCGGGGCCGGAGCGGCCCGGACCGACCCGTGAGGGGAGGGAGTGTCCGGTTAGGCCGGGAGATCCGGTTTGGGGCGACGGGGAAGCGGCCGCTGCCCACACGTACATGATGGATGCGTCCATCATGGCTGCCCAAATCAATCATGGCGGCCGCCACATCCATCATGGCGCATGGACACGCTCATGGTAGCTGCCACACCAATCATGGTGGCCACACCCATCACAGTGGTCACTACACCCATCATGGCGGCCACCCCTGGACACCAAAGGAGCACACGGGGTCAGGGTCAGTGTGGGGTCAGCGCCTTTTATTGGGGACAAAAAGTGACCCATGGGGACAAAAAGTGACCCCTGGGGGCAGACTGACCCCTGGGGCCGTGGCTCAGTCTGGCCACTGCCCATCCTCAGAGCTCCAGGACATGGCGGGGCCTCCATGGAGCCTTCTTGTATCTGTGTCCCCTGTCCTGTGTCCAGCCTGTGTCCATCTGTCCATCCCCCTGTCCATCTGTCCAGCCGTGTCCGTCAGTCCCTTGGTGTCCATCAGGTGTGTCCTGGTGCAGCGCTGTCCCCATCCCTGTCCCTCCCATGTCCACCCTGTGTCCATCTGTCCGTCTGTGCTGTGTCCATCTGTCCATGCCGTGTCTGTCTGTCCATGGGTGCTGTGTCCATCTGTGCCATGCCCATCTGTCCAGCTGTGTCCATCTGTCCATGGGTGCCATGTCCATCCATCCGTGCTGTGTCCATCCGTCTGTCCGTGCCATGTCCGTCTGTCCGTGGGTGCCATGTCCATCCGTCCATGCCGTGTCCATCTGTCCGTCCGTGTCCATCCGTCCGTGGGTGCCGTGTCCATCCGTCTGTGAGCGCCATGTCCCTCTGTCCATCCCGTGTCCATCCGTCCGTCCGTGTCCGTCCGTCCCGGGTGCCGGTCAGGCCGTTCCCGGCGCGGCGCCGCGGCGGTCAGCGGCTCCGGCCGCCCAGTGCGGCCGCCGGACGGTGCCGGTGCGGCCGTCGCTGGCCTGCGGCCGCTGCTCCTGGGGGATGCGCACGGCGCGGAACCGCGGCACGGCCGGCGGCGGCGCCCGGCGGAAAAACCCGGCCTGAGACAGGGAGAGAGGCACCGGGCATGTCGCGACAGGGCATGGACAAGTGGGGGAGGTATCACGACATGGCACCGGGCGTGTTGCGACATGGCAGCGGGGGATATCGCGATATGGCATGGACAGCGGGGAATATATCGCGATATGGCAGTAGACAGAGTGAGATATCACTATATGGGATATATCGCAGGATATATCGCGACATGGCACTGGAGAGTGTGATATCATGATATGGCACTGGGCAGCATGGGATTCATCGTGACATGGCACTGGAGAGTGTGATATCGCGATATGGCACCAGACAGTGTGGGATATTGTTATATGGGATATATCGTGGGATATATTGCGATATATCACGGGCTATATCATGACATGCCACGCTCTATATCGCGATATGCCCGGCTCTATCGCGCCATACTGCAATATGCTGCACTCTGTGATGCCATATTGCGACACACCATGCTCTGTATTGAGACATGCCACTCTCTATCGTGCCATATCGCGACATGCCATGCTCTATGTCGTGATATGCCATGCTCTATCACGCCATATCGCGACACGCCCGCTCTCTATCGCGACACGGGCTCTGCCTCACCTTGCGCAGCGCCAGCACCAGCAGCCCCAGCAGCGCCAGCCCCAGCAGCGCCGCCAGCGGCAGAACCCACCAGGGCACGGCGGGCACGGCCACGCCCGGCTCCGCGTGCACCGACAGCGACATCTGCGGGTCACACCGGGGTCACACGGGGGTCACAGGGTCACACCGGGGTCACACAGGGGTCATTGGGGTCACAGGGGGAGTCACGGGGGCATCAATGGGGCCATGGGGACATCAAGGTGTCCCCAGCTGTCCCCAGATGTCCCCAGATGTCTCCAGGTGTCCTCAGGTGTCCCCCTGGAGATGTCCCCAGCTGTCCCCAGCTGTCCCCAGGGGTGTCCCAGGGGTGTCCCCAGGTGTCTCCAAGTGTCCCCAGGTGTACCCGGGGGTGTCCCAGGTGTCCCCGGGTGTCCCCAGGTGTCCCCAGAGGTGTCTGGATACCCCCAGGGTTGTCCCCAGCTGTCCCCAGCTGTCCCCAAAGGTTTCTCTGGATGTCCCCAGATGTCCCCAGGTGTCCCCAGCTGTCCCCAGCTGTCCCCAGTTGTCCCCAGATGTCCCCACAGGTGTCCCCAGGTGTGTCCCCAGCTGTCCCCAGGTGTCCCCAGGTGTGTCCCCATCTGTCCCCAGCTGTCCCCACCTGCGCCACCGGGTCCCTGATGAGGACGTTGCCGCGGGGGGAGGTGACCGAGACCTCGGCACGCACGATCAGCTCCAGGTGCTGCACGCCCAGGAACTCCTGGGGTTGGGAATTCGGGATTCGGGATTCGGGATTCGGGATTCGGGATTTGGGGTTTGGGATTTGGGGTTTGGGGGTTCGGGATTTGGGATTTGGGAATCAGGACTTGGGAATTCGGGAATTCGGGATTCAGGAATTCGGGGATTTGGGATTTGTGGATTTGGGAATTCGGGATCTGGGAACTCAGGAATTCAGGAATTCGGGATTTGGGAATTCGGGATTCATAAGTTTGGGATTCAGGATTTGGGAATTTGGGATTTGGGAATTCAGGATTCGGAATTCAGGATTCAGGAATTTGGGATTTGGGAACTCAGGAATTCGGGATTTGGGAACTCAGGATTCAGGAATTCGGGATTGGGGATTTGGGGTTCGGGAATTCGGGATTCGGGAATTCAGGATTCAGGAATTCGGGATTGGGAATTTGGGGTTCGAGAATTCGGGATTCGGGAATTCGGGGTGCGGGGTCCCTCCGGCTGCCCACCTCCAGGAAGGTCCCGTTCCAGAGGCGCCCCCGCGCCCGCAGCTCCGAGCGCTCCAGCGACGGCAGCGGGCACCGGAACGGGCGGCAGCGCGCGGTGCCCAGGGCACAGTCCTGGAACGGGGCACCCCGAAATGGGGACACCCCGAAACGGGGACACCCGGGATTGGGGACACCCCAAAACAGGGACACCCGGGATTGGGGACACCCAAAAACAGGGACACCCAGGATTGGGGGGACACCCGGGATTGGGAAGGACAGTGCAGGGACATCCCGGGAATCGGGGAGACACCCCGGGGACACCCCGGGAATAGGGGTACCCCCAACCCCCCGAGCAGGGCCCCCCCAAACCCCAAACCCCCCCAAACTCACCAGGGTCACGTTCCTCCTCCTCCTCCCCGCGGGCACTGACCAGGGCCGGGCCGGGGGCTCCTGGGGGGGGTCCCCCTGGCCGGGTGGCTCCTGGGGGACAAGAGGGGGTTTGGGTGGGGGGCAGGGACCCCCGGGACACCACCGGGCACCTCCTGGACACCCCTGGGTACCCCTGGCCACCCCAAGGACACCCCTGGACAGCTCCAGAACACCTCTGGCCACCCCTGGACACTCCCTGGCAACCCCCCCAACATTCCTGGACATCTCTGGACACCTTTGGACACCTCTGAGCACCTCTGGCCACCCACAGGACACCCCTGGACACCACCCAAACATTCCTGGACACCCCTTGGACACTTCTGAATCCCTCTGAACACCTTTGGACCGCCCCGGACACCCCCAGGACCCCCCCGGCCCCCCGGATCTCACCAGGGCGAGGCGCAGGGGGTTGGCCGGGGGGCTGCAGGGCACGGGGGGGGTGCCCAGCTCCAGGCTCAGGGGGTACAGGAGCCACTTCCCGTTGGGCAGCTCCAGCGGCCACTGCACGGTCAGCGCGGCCGAGCCGGGGGTCTTCAGCAGCGGCCCCCGCTGAGAGACCTGGGGGGCACAGCCAGGACCCCCAAAAATAACCCCAGCCCCAAAAATAACCCTGGCCCCAAAAATAACCCCAGCCCCAAAAATAACCCCGGCCCCAAAGATAACCCCAGCCCCAAAAATAACCCCAGCCCCAAAAATAACCCTGGCCCCAAAAATAACCGCAGCCCCAAAAATAACCCCAGCCCCTAAAACAACCCGGGCCCCAAAAATGACCCCGGCCCCAAAAATAACCCCAACCCCAAAAACAGCCCGGCCCCAAAAATAACCCCAACCCCAAAAATAGCCCTGACCCCTGGGGGGGGGGTCTCTGTTTTTGGGGTCCATAATTTTGGGGTCTGTAATTTCAGGGGTCTCTGTTTTTGGGAGTCCATAATTTTGGGGTCTGTAATTTCAGGGGTCTCTGTTTTTGGGAGTCTGTAATTTCTGGGGTCTGTAATTTTGGGGGTCTCTGTTTTTGGGGGTCTGTAATTTTGGGGTCTGTAATTTTTGGGGTCTGTAATTTTGGGGGTCTGTTTTGGGGGGTCTGTAATTTTGGGGTCTGTAATTTTGGGGGTCTCTGTTTTTGGGGGTCTGTAATTTTTGGGGGTCTGTAATTTTTGGGGTCTGTAATTTCGGGGGTTCTCTCACCGTGACCTCGAAGCTGACGGCGCTCCCCACCTGGCTCTCCCTCTTCACCGCGCTCTCCCCCACCACCTGCCCCCCAAAAAACACCCGGGGGGGCACGGCCACGCTGCGGGGAGAGCCCGGCTGTGAGGGGGGGTCCCTGACCCCAAAACCGCCCCCCCGGCACCCCAAAACCCCCTCCCCACTCACCCCATCACGGCCAGGGGCAGCTCGATCACCACGCGGGCACGGACGACCACCGGCTCCAGCCCCGGCTGCTCGCTGGTGCTGGGGGCGAATTTGGGGTCGTGGCGGGGGGTGAGACCCCCCCAAAAAAACCCCAAGGGCCGTGCAGGGGGATTGAACCCCAAATTGCAGCCCCCCGACCCTAAATGTTGGGGGGCCGGACTCTAAAACTGCCTGGGTGTTGTTAAATCCTCCAGGGTCTGATCCCCAAAGTCTGGGGGGTCTGAACCCCGAATTCCCCAGGGCTTCACCTCAGATCCGGGGGGCTCTGACCCCAAATCCCCGGGGGGCACCGAACCCCAAATCCCCTGGGATTCCAGCCCCCAAATCCTCGGGTCTCTGGCCCCAAATCCTGGGGATTCCAAACCCCAAATTTCCCGGGGCTCTCACTCTCAACACCCCCCCCGGGTTCTGGCCCCCAATCCCGGGGGTCTCACCCCCAATCCCGGAGGTCCCATCCCCCAATCCCGGGGGTCCCATCCCCACCCCGGGGGTCCCATCCCCACCCCGGGGGTCCCACCCCCCAATTCCGGGGGTCGCAGCCCCCCGCCCGGCTCACGTGGACAGCTCCAGCTGCACCGCCAGCTCCGTGGTGTGGATGGAGATGCCCGAGGTGCTGAGGATGAGGAAGAACCGCACCTGGGGGGGCGCAGGTGAGCGCTGGGGGGGGGCCGGGGGAGGGGTCGGGGTCGGGGAGCGTTGGGGAGGGGTCGGGGGGCGTTGGGGAGGGGGCTGCGCCCACCTGGGCCCCGCGTTTGAGGGGGTTCCCCAGCTCGCACTCCACCCTGGAGCCGTTCTGGTTGGCCAAGCAGAGCACCTTGTCCTGGGTGGGGGGACAGGGCTGAGACCTGTCCCTCTGTCCCCCCTGTCCCTCTGTCCCCCCTGTCCCTCTGTCGCCCCTGTCCCTCTGTCCTCCCTGTCCCAATGTCCCCTCCGTCCCTCTGTCCCCCCCGTCCCCCCTGTCTCCCCTGTCCCACCCCATCCCTCTGTCCCCCACCACCCCTCCTGTCCTATCTGTCCCCCCATCCCCTCCTACCCCGCCGCCCCCCGTGTCCCCCGTCCCCCTCCTGTCCCCTGTCCCCCTCTGTCCCTCTGTTCCCCTGTCTTCTCCTGTCCCCCTCTGTCCCCCTCTGTCCCTCTGTCCCCTGTCCCCACACCCCCCATGTCCCGTCTGTACCTTCCTGTCCCCTGTCCCCGCACCCCTCCTGTCCCTCTGTCACCTGTCCCCCCGTCCCCTCCTGTCCCCTGTGCCTTGTCCCCTGTTCCCTCCTGTCCCTCCCTGTCCCCTGTCCCCTGTGCCCCCCCGTCCCCTCCATCCCCTCCATCCCCTCCATCCCCTCCTGTCCCCTCTGCCCCTGTCCCCTGTCCCTGCCCCTGTGCCCGCACCCCTCCTGTCCCCTGTCCCCTCCATCCCCTCCTGTCCCTGTCCCTGTCCCTGTCCCCGTGCCCACCCCGTGCCCGTCCCTGTCCCCGCTGTCCCCGCTGTCCCCGTGCCCACCCCGTGCCCGTCGCCGCGCAGGCCGGCGTAGGGCAGCTCCGGGGGGAAGGTGGCCGCCAGCAGGGCCTGGTGGGCATCGTCCCCGTCCCGCTGCGGCTCCGCGGGGTCCGAGGGCTCGTTGGTCACCCGCACCTCCAGCGCCACGTCCTTCTGCTCACTGACGGCGAAGGTGGCAGTGCCATCCTCGTCCCTGTGGGCACGGCCACCGTGGGGACATCCCCGGGCACTCACTGAGAGGTGGCAGTGCCATCCTCACCCCTGTGACTGCCTTGGGGACATCCCCGGGCACTCAGCATGAAGGTGGCAGTGCCATCCTGGCAGATGTCACCCTTTGGGGACATCCCCCGGCACCTAGGGTGAAGGTGGCAGTGCCATCCTCGCTTCTGTGACCCCTTGGAGACCCCTCCGGTCCCTCACAGAGAGGTGGCAGTGCCACCCTCACCCCTGTCACTCCCTTGGGGACACCCGCGGTCCCTCAGGGTGCAGTGGCAGTGCCACCCCGGGCCCGGCGCTGGCACAGCGCGGTGGCCGCTGTCCCCTGACCTGGGCAGGGGCACGAAGTCGCTGTCCCCCAAGCGGGCGCAGAAGCGCGGCCACAGCTCCAGGTGGCTCTGGCAGATTTGGTCATCGCCGCAGCCCTGGCGCAGGAAATGCACCTGGGGACACCGGGGACAGTGAGGGGACAACCCGGGACAGCGGGGGGACAGCGGGGGGACACTGAGGGGACACTGAGGGGACACTGAGGGGACACTGGGGTGGCACAGGTGACACAGGTGACACAGGAGGTGACACGGGTGACACAGGTGCCCACCTCGGCGCGCAGCGAGCTGGGCTGGCGTGGGCTGAGCACGGGGGGCAGCGGGGGCAGCGCCGCGCCCCGCGCCCCACGGTGCCCGGCCCGGTGCCCGCCCGCGATGGCGAAGTCCAGACTGAGCCCGATCGGCCGCAGCTTGTCCCGGATCCCGTCCTGAGGCAGGAGGAGGAGGAGGAGGCGGGAGGAAGGTCAGGGCGGCGCTCGGGGACGCACCTGACGGGGGCATGGGGAGGAAGGAGAGGAGGAGGAGGAGGGGATGGGGACAGGGCTGGGGGTGAGGAGGGTGAGGGTGAGGAGGGTGAGAACAAGGAGACTGAGGATGAGGAAGAAGAGGCTGAGGAGGCTGCGGATGAGGAAGGTGAGGGTGAGGAAGATGAGGATAAAGAGGCTGAGGAGGCTGAGGATGAGGAGGGCAAGGCTGAGGAAGATGAGGCTGAGAAGGCTGAGGATGAGGAAGGTGGGGCTGAAGAAGGTGAGGATAAGAAGGCTGAGGATGGATGAGAATGAGGAAGGTGAGGAGGAGGAGGAAGATGAGGCTGAGGATAAGGAGGCTGAGGATAAGGAGGCTGAGGAAGGTGAGGAGGAGGAAGATGACGATGAGGAAGATGAGGATAAGGAGGCTGGGGAAGGTGAGGATGAGGAGACTGAGGAAGGTGAGGAGGAGGAAGATGAGGAGTCTGGGGCGGGGGACGAGGCCGAAGCACGCACGTGCAGGCGGAAGGTGGCGGGCACGCAGCGCCGCTCGCGCTGCCGCGGCAGCTCCAGGATCCCCGAGATGCGGGACCCGAGCTCCGAGGTGCGGGGTTCAGGGGTCTCGGGGGTCTCGGGGCCCCACGCCACGAAGGAGCCCCGGGGCACCAGGCCCCGCCGCCGCCGCTCCCCGTCCGCCTCCAGCTCGTAGCGCAGCTCTGCGGGCACCGGCGGCGTCACCGGCACCGGGGGGACCGGACCGGGCAGGGCCAAGGGATGGGGGGCGCAGGGACTGGGGGTACCCAGGGATTGGGGGGCTCCGAAGGATGGGGGGTACCCAGGGACTGGGGGTACCCAGGGATTGGGGGTACCCAGGGATTGGGGGAGTCCCCAGGGATTGGGGGGATCCCAGGGGCTGGGGGGGCTCCGAAGGATGGGGGGTCCCCAGGGATTGGGGGGGGCTGGGGGATGCTCAGGGACTGGGGGGACTCCAAGGGATTGGGGGGTCCCCAGGGATTGGGGGGGCTCTGGAGGATTGGGGTTCTGGGGGATTGGGGGATCCCCGTGGATTGGGGCCACTCCAAAGGATGTGAGGTCTCCAGGGATTGGGGGTCCTGGGGTTTGGGGTCCCCCAGAACTCGGGGCGTCTCAGGAACGGGGGGACGCCCAGGAACGGGGGGTCCCCCGGGGGTTCGGGTCCCGCAGGGCTCGGGGGTTCCCAGGAACGGGGGAATCCCCAGGAACGGGGGTACCCCGGGGTTTGGGGTGTCCCAGGAATGGGGAGAATGCCTGGAACGGGGCGAACACCGGGTTTTGGGGTCCCAGGGCTCGGAAGTTCTCAGGAACGGGGTGACCCCCGGGTTTTGGGGTCCCCCGGGGTTTGGGGTCCCAGGAATGGGGGCGATGCCCAGGAACGGGGTGACCCGCGGGTTTTGGGGTCCCCCCGGGTTTGGGGTCCCCACTCACCCAGCGGGGCGCTGTCGTTGCCCGGGCCCGTGTAGCTGAAACACGCGCGCACCTCCACGCTGGGGGGGGCGGGGGTCACCGGGGGGATCCCGCAGCCCCCCCGCGGTGGGGCCGGGATGGGGACACGGGTGGGGGACACGGGGGGGGGGACACGGAGGGACACGGGGGGGACAAAGGGACACAGGGGGACACGGGGGGGACACGGGGGGACACGGGTGGGGGGACACAGGGGCACACGGGGGGGCACAAAGGGACACAGGGGGACACGAGGGGGACACGGGGGGACACGGGTGGGAGCCGGTGCCACCCACCAGACGCCGCGGCCGTGGCGGCAGTTGCTCCGCTCCAGGTCGATGTGCGGCGGCAGCAGCGACACGTCCCGGGACAAGTGCACCACCGGCCGCGCCCTACGGGGGGAATCGGGGGTCCCGGGGGGAGCCCCCCACTCCTCAGTGCGCCCCGGCAGGAGCAGAGGGACCCCCGAGGGGCGGGGGGCGCGGGGGGGTGGTTCTGAGGGATTTGGGGGTCCCTCGGGGTGGGGAATTGCTGCGGGGGGGGGGGAGCGCTTCAGGGATTTGGGGGTCCGCAGGGATTTGGGGGATTTTGGGGTCCCAGGGCTGGGGGGCTGCTCTTGGGATTTGGGATTGTCGGGAATTGGGGGGTTCCGGGGGTCTGGGGGGGTCCCAGCAATCGGGGGATGCTCCGGGGATTTGGGATTGTCAGGAATGGGGGATTCTGGGGATCGCAGAGCTGGGGATTTGGGATTCTCGAATATTCAGGGATTCCGGTGGTCCCAGGGCTGGGGGGCTGCTCGGGGGATTTGGGATTCTCGGGAATTGGGGAATTCTGGGGGTCCCAGGTCCTGGGATTTGGGATTATCGGGAATTGGGAGGTTCCGGGGGTCCCTGCTCAGGGGATTTGGGATTGTCGGGAACTGGGGGGTTCCGGGGGTCGCAGGGCCGGGGGGCCGCTCGGGGGGCGGGGGTCTCACCTGTAGAGCACCACGGTGTCGGACAGGGACCCCACCAGCAGATCGGGGTACAGGTTCCCATCCACATCCAGCCCCCCCGAGAGCGAGTAGCCAAAAGCCGAGACCCCCACGGCCTCCCCGTCCAAGACCTGGGCCGGGGGCGGCTCGGGGTCAGCCGGGACCCCCCCGGGGACCCCCTCGGGGACCCCCCGGACCCCCCCGGGGACCCCCCGGACCCCCCCGGGGACCCCTCACCTGCGCCGGGCGGGTGACGATGCCCAGGGCGCTGCCGTGGTAAATGAAAACTTTGCCCGCGCCGTCAAAAGGAGCCCCCACGGCCAGGTCTGGGGGAAAAGGGGGATTTGGGGGGATTTTGGGGGACTTGGGAGGGATTTGGGGGCCCAGACCCCTCCCCGAGGACCCCCTTGGGGTGCAGCCCTCTCCCCACCCAAGGTGGCCCCAGCAGCTCGACCTGGACCCCCAAAAGCCCCCGAGCCCCCCCCAGGCTCGGTTGTGCCCCATGGGTTCCTCCCCAGATCTTGGGGACCCCCAAAAAAACCCCCAAAATCCGCCCCCCCCCACCAAAACCCCTCACCCGAAATTCTGTCGTGGTCGAGGGGTGCAATTCTGCCATGGCCTGCCCTTGGAGACCCCAAATCCCCCCAAAACCACCCCAAATCCCCCCGAAGCCACTCACCCTCAAACTCGTCAAGGTTTTGGTCCATCCCCAGACCCCAAAAGCCCCGAAAATCCCCCAAATCCCCCCCAAATCCCCCCGAAGCCACTCACCCTCAAACCCATCGCGGTTGAGGTCCATCCCCAGACCCCAAATCACCCCAAAACCCCCCTTAAATCACCCCAAAACCCCTGAAATCCCCCCGAAACTCCCCCGAAACTCCCCCAAATCCCCCCGAAACCCCCCTGAAACTCCCCCCAAACCCCTCCAAAATCCCCCAAACCCCCCTCCCCGAAGCCCTTCACCCTCAAACCCATCGTGGTTGAGGTCCATCCCCAGACCCCAAAGCCCCCCAAAACCCCCTGAAACCGCCCGAAACCCCCTGAAATCCCCCGAAACCCCCCCTGAAATCCCCCTAAAACCCCCCGGAGCCCCCCAGCCCCCTCCCCCGAAGCCCCCTGACCCTCGAAGCCGTCGCGGTCCAGGTCCCCGGCGGAGCAGAGCGCGGTGCCGAAGGCGGAGCCCCGGGGGCCGTTCAGCCGCACGGGGGTCGCGCTGTCCCACCGCCCCTCCGGGTTCAGGTACACGTACACGGCCCCCCCGATCTCCTCCTGCCGCTCGAAAAAGTGGGGGGCCCCCACGGCCAGGTCCATCCAGCTGGGGGGGGGGGACACGGAGATGTCACCCCCGAACAGCGGCGGGGATGGATTCGCCCGGCCGAGGGGTGGGGAGGGGGTTCGGGGGGTGGGGAGGGGGTTTGGGGGGGAGGGGGTTCAGGGGGTGGGGGGGGGTTCAAGGGGTTGGGGAGGGGATTTTGGGGGGTTCAAGGGGTGGGGAGGGGGCACGTGCCACAGGGTCACCCCTGCAGGTGCCACGCGTGCCCAGCTCCAGGGCTGGCACAATCACACCCGGTGCCCCCCGTACCCCCCGTGCCCCCCGATGCCCCTGATCCCCCCCATGCCCCCCATGCCCCCCGTGCCCCCCGTGTCCCCGGTGCCCCCCTTGCCCCCCGTGCCCCCCGTGCCCCCAATGCCCCCCATGCCCCCGGTGCCTCCCATGCCCCCGTGTCCCCCATGTCCCCGTGCCCCCCGTGCCCCCCATGCCCCCAATGCCCATCCATGCCCCTGATCCCCCCCGTGTCCCCCATGCCCCCCGTGCCCCCCGTGCCCCCCCATGCCCCAATGCCCCTGATCCCCCCCATACCCTCCGTGCCCCCCCATGCCCCAATGCCCCCCATGCCCCCCATGCCCCCCGTGCCCCCCGTGCCCCCAATGCCCCCCCATGCCCCCAATGCCCCCAATGCCCCCCGTGTCCCCGCACCCGTCGCTGTTGAGGTCCAGCAGTGCCAGCGCGTGCCCGAAGGCCGAGCTGAGCTGGTGCCCGGGCAGCAGCGCCTCCGCCCGCAGCAGGTTGGCCCCGTCCCGCCGCAGGATCAGCACCGCGCCCGTGTGGTTGGCACGGGGGGCGCCGCTCACAAAGCTCAGCTGCTGCCGCCGCGTCAGGCCCGGCCCCGAGTCCACCGAGAACCCTGCGGGGCACCGGGACGGCGCGCTCAGCACCGGGACCAGCAACGGGACCAGTACCGGAACACCGGGACACACCGGGACACACCGGGCACCCCGGCCCCGGGACCCCTGCGGGACACCGGGACCCTGCGGGGCACCGGGACGGCGCGCTCAGCACCGGGACCAGCACCGGGACACCGGGACACACCGGGCACCACCGGGACAGCCCGGTCAGCACCGGGACCAGCACCGGGACCAGCACCGGGACACCGGGACACACCGGGCACCCCGGCCCCGGGACCCCTGCGAGACACCGGGACCCTGCGGGGCACCGGGACAGCCCGGTCAGCACCGGGACACCGGGAACCCTGCGGGACACCGGGAACTCTGCAGGACACCGGGACGGCCCGGTCAGCACCGGGACCAGCACCGGGACACCGGGACAGAGCGGTCACCCCAGCCCCGGGACCACCGAGAGCCCGGCGGGGACACCGGCACAGCCCGTGAATTCCCAGTAGGGCAGATTTTGGGGGGGAAATGGCAGAATTTAGGGGGGAAATGGCAAATTTTAGTGGAAAAGGGCAAAATTGTGGATAAAAAGGGCAGAATTTGGGTGGGAATGGCAGATTTGGGGATGAAAAGGGTAGATTTGGGGAGAAATGTCAAATTTTAGAGGAAAGGGGCAGAATTTGTGGGAAAAGGGCAGAATTTGGGCGAAAAGTGCAGAATTTGGGGGTCAGAGCAGCAAAATCCAGAGCGCAGCCCCCTCCCCACATGCCGTGGTTGCCGTGAGCAGCCCCCCGAGCCCCCCCAAAGCCCCCCGAGCCCCCCCAAAGCCCCCCGAGCCCCCCCAAAGACCCCCACATTCCATGCACCCCCCATGCAAAACCAGCGGGGGACAAGCGGGGACGGGGGGGTGCGGGGACACGCCAGGCTCTGAGACCCCCAAAAAACTCTGGGACACCCCCAAAAAACTCTGGGACACCCCCAAAAAAACTCTGAGACACCCCCAAAAAAACTCTGAGACACCCCCCAAAGCTCTGGGACCCCCCCAAAAAAAACTCTGGGACACCCCCCAAGCCCGGCAGTGCCCCCAGCACAGCCCCAGCACAACGACGGGACAGGGACAGGGATTTGGGGACAGAAATGGGGATTTGGGGACAGAAATGGGGATTTGGGGACAAAAGAGGGGCGGGGCCGTGCAGCGGCGGGGGAGGGGAGGGGGTGATGCGGCCACACGCGCGTGTGCGGGGGTGACACGCGGGGGGTGACACGAGTGGGGACAGGGGCGCGTCTGGGGACACGGGAGGGGGGGCCCGTGTGCAGGACACGGACACGCGGGCACAGGTGACACCTGAGTGTGTGCAGGTGACACCTGAGTGTGCACAGGTGACACCCGAGCGTGTCACTGCCACCTCTGTGCAGGCGCCACCCGCACCACGGCCACGCGTGACAAAGGGACACCCCCGAAGGCGACACGCGTGTGCACGGGGACACCCACCGAGGGGACACGCGGCACGGGTGACACCCGTGGGGACAGCGCCACACGCGTGGGCCCGCGGGACCCTTCCTGGGATGGTGGGGGAGGGCGGCAGGGCACGGGGCGAGGGTCACACGAGGCACAGACACACACGCGTGGCACACGGGTGGCACACGCGGGTCCCACACGCGGGTGGGCACAGGCGTGGCACACGCGTGGGCCCGCAGGACCCTCCCGGAGGGGAGGGGAGGTGGGGGAGGGTCACGCAGGGCACGGGGGGAGGGTCACACGCTGCACACACACACGCGGGTGGCACCCACGCGCCTTACACGCGTGGCACACGCGTGGCACGCACGAACCCAGGTAGGAATTGTGCCCCACGTCCGCGGCCGCGCCGGGGACCCTCTCTCCGGGCTGGGGGGTGCGGAAGACCCTCAGGTCGGGGGTCGCGCTCTCCACGTTTGTCACAAAGAGCAGCCCTGCCACGGCCACGCACACGCGGGGGGAGGGGGGTCAGGGCGGCGTGGGGGCGCCCCTCCCCCCGTACCGAGGTAGCTGTGGGCGGGCAGGGGGATCAGGGAGGGGTCCTGCGCCTTCTCGCCCCCCGCCTCGAAGGGGCCCGAGTCCGGCAGCAGCAGGTCCAGGGAGCTCCGGGGGAGCCGCTCCACGCGCAGCGTGCCTGGGGGCCCGCGGGACCCTCAGAGACCCCCGGGAACCGACCCCTCCCCAGGGACCCCCAGAGACCCCCGGGCACCGGCCCCTCCCCAAGGACCCCCAGAGACCCCCGGGCAGGGACCCCCCCGCGGGACCCCCGGGCACCAACCCCCCCCAGAGACCCCCAGAGACCCCCGGGCAGGGACCACCCCCAAGGACCCCCAGAGACCCCCGGGCACCAATCCCCCCCCCCGCCCAGGGACACACGGGGGGACAGTGGGGACACATCCAGCCCCGGCATCCCCCGGGCACCCCTGGGTGCACCTGGGCACCCCTGGGCCCCCTCCCCGGGCAGGTGTACCCCCCCCACACGCCCCTCCGTTCCCCAGGGCAGCCCCGAGCCCCCTTTTTGCCCTACAGGGGGGGTCCCAGCGCCCCCCCCCCCCAGTTGTGGGTGCCACAGACCCTCAAACTACCCCAAGGGGGGGTCCCAGTGCCTTTTACCCTCCCAATGGTGGGTGCCACCCCCAACCCCACCCCGGGGAGGGTCCCCGTGCCCCTCACCCTCCCAATGGTGGGTGCCACACCCCTGACACCCCCAAATCCCTCTGGGGGGGGGTCCCACTGCCTTTTACCCTCCCAATTGGGGGTGCCACCCCCAAATCCCCCCGGGGGGCTCTCCCCGCCCCTCACCCTTCCAGTTGTAGGTGCCACACCCTTGACACCCCCAAATCCCCCCGGGGGTCTCCCCGCGCCCCTCACCCTTCCAGTTGTGGGTGCCACACCCCTGACACCCCCAACCCCACCCCGGGGGGGGTCCCCGCGCCCCTCACCCTTCCAGTTGTAGGTGCCGGGCGCCCCGAGCAGGAGGTAGCGGCGGTCGGGGCTGAAGGCGGCGGCCAGGCCCTGCTGGCAGAGCCCGAAGCGCTCGTGGCCCGGCGGGCGGCCCCGGCAGAACCGCCACTCGCCGCCGTCCAGCTCGTCCCGCTCCTGCAGGTCCTGGCTCAGCACGAAGCAGCGCCCGATCACGTCCCGCGTCTCCAGCGGCGTCCGCACCCGGTGCCGCACCTCGTACCGGTGGGCGCAGGTCTGGGGGGGCACCCCGGGGGTCACCGAGAGCCGGGGGAACCCCGAGCCCACCCGGTTTGAGGTGTCCCTGGTGTCCCCCGGTGTCCCCCGGTGTCCCCCGGTGTTCCCCGTGTGTTCCCCAGTGTCCCCCAGTGCCCTCCGGGGGACACGGAGAGCCGGGACACACCAAGCCCACCCGGTTCGAGGTGTCCCCGGTGTCCCCCGGTGTTTCCCGGGTATTCCCCAGTGCCCTCCGGTGCCTCCCGGGGGTCACGGAGGGTCGGGTCACCCCGAGCCCACGCGGTTTGAGTGCCCCCGGTGTCCCCCGGGGGTCACGGAGAGCCGGGACACGCCAAGCCCACCCGGTTTGAGGTGCCCCCGGTGCCCCCGGTGCCCCCGGTGCTCACCACGACCTTGCCGCCGGGCCCTTGGCTCCTGACGCTGACCCCCAGCCACTGGTTCTCTTTGCTCTCGCGCTGCGGGTCCCCTGCGGGGCACCGGGAGGGGTCAGCCCCGCCGGGACCCCCCCCCGCAGCCCCTCCCGGTGCCCCGCTGACCTCCCTGGTCGATGGGCAGCCGGCGGCAGTCGGTGGGCTCGGCGCTCAGCGGGCAGGCGAACAGGGCCCCGCTCCGGTTGGCGCCTTGGCCGGGCAGTGCCAGCGCCTGGGGGGCTCCCACCAGCAGCCTGGCAGTGTGGGGACCCCCACGTCAGGGATCGGGGGGTCCCCGAGGGTCGCTGAGACCCGCCCGGGACCCCCCGTGCCATCTGTGCCACCCCCGTGCCAGCCGTGCCACCCCCGGGTGCAGCTGTGCCACCCCCGTGCCAACCGTGCCACCCCCGTGCCAGCGCGGTGCCAGCCCGGCCGGGCAGCTGCTGGCCCGTGACACGTGTGGGGACAGCAGGGGACACCCCGGACTCCCCCAAAACCCCCGGACAGCCCGGACATCCCCCGGACCCCCGGAAACCCCAAAATCCCCGGACACCCCCGGACACCCCCCGGACACCCCCAAAACCCCCGGACGTCCCCCGGACACCCCCGGACACCCCGAAAACCCCCGGACCCCCCCCCAAACCCCCGCCAGGGCACTCGGGGCGCTCCCCGCGGGACCGGCGCGGTGCCACCGGCGCTTCCCCGGTGGCCGCGGGGCGCTCGTGGCCGGCGCGGCCCGGGCTGCCGGTGGCCCGGGGACACGGCGGCGCCCACGGGGGGTGGCGGGGAGGGAGAGGCGGTAAAAATAAACCGGAATTCCCTCAAAATAACCGCGCTGCAACATGCCCGAAAAAGGACGGAGCGCACAGAGGCACCGGGTGCCCCACCGGGAGCGGGGCCGGGGCGGCCCGCGAGGGGACAGCGCGACAAAGGCGGCCCCAGCCCCGCCGGGGACAGCGGGGGACAGCGGGGACAAACCGGGGGACAGCGGGGAAAACCGGGGGGGCAACCGGGGGACATCGGGAAAAACCGGGGGGACAACCGGGGGACATCGGCGGACAGCGGGGGACAGCGGGGGACACCGAGGGACAACCGGGGGACACCGGGGGACACCGGGGGACATCGGGGGACATCGGGGGACATCGGGGCCGCGTCGGTGCAGCCGAGCCCAGCGCGGCCCCGCAAACACCCGCAGCGGGCACCGGCGGCCAGAGCCGCCCTCGGTGCCAAGAACGCGGCGCGGGCGGCAGCGGCGACACCGCGGCGACAGCGGGGACACCGGGAGGGCGGGGACACGGAGGGAGACAGGGGAGGGGGGACGCGGGTGACAGCGAGCGGGGAGCTGCCCGCTCCGGGGGTCGCCATGGCTGAGATCCCCGGTAACGGCCCGAGAGGCCCGGGGGATGGCGGGGGGACAGGGGGACACGGGGACACGGGGACACGGGGACACGGGGCCGTGGCCGGCAGTCTCGGGTGGGCGTTCGCCGCACGGCCCGGGGGGTCCCAGCCGGGGGGTCCCTCCAGCCGAGCGCTCCGGGGCAGCGCTGCCCCCCGAGCCCCCCGTGTCCCCCCCGAGCGGCCCCAGAGCCCCCCCAGAGCCCCCCCGCCCCACTAATGCCGAGTAATGCCGGGCGGCCTCCGCTGTCCCCGTCCTGTGCCACTGTCACTGTCCCCTCTGCCACCGTCTCTGTCCCCTCTGCCACTGTCACTGTCCTCCTGCCATTGTCCCTGTCCCCTCTGCCGCTGTCACTGTCCCCTCTGCCACCGTCCCCTCCTTCTGCCGTGCCCCGGGCTCGGCCCCGGGGGTCCCGGTCCCCCTCAGCCCCGCGGCCGGTTCGGTTCTCCCGTTCTCCCCATTCCCGCGGCTCTCGGTGCTCTGGATTCCCCCCAAATCCCGGCAATAGGATCCCCCAAACCCCTGAACCCCCCAATCCTCTCCACAGGATCCCCCCAACCCCCGAACCCCCCAAAACCCCCAAATCCCCGCACCCATGGGCGCTCCCACCTCCTCTCCCCTCCGCCCCCCAATTCCCGGGGGTCTCCCCGCCCTGCCCAGCCCAGCCCAGCCCGGGGGTCCCGTTCCCCCCGCGCCCCCCGAGCCCCGCGCTCACCACCCGGCGGGCTCGGGGCTCAGCTGCCGGTGCAGCGCCACGGCCGCACCGAACAGGCTGCCCCGCTCGCCGTCCTTCAGCACCGGGCTGCTCCCGGCCAGGTTGAAGGCGGCGGCCGCCGGTAGCCACGGGAACAGCCCCGGTAGCCACGGGAGCAGCCCCGGTAGCCACGGGAACAGCCCCGGTAGCCACAGGAGCAGCCCCGGTAGCCACGGGAACAGCCCCGGTAGCCACAGGAACAGCCCCGGTAGCCACCGGAGCAGCCCCGGTAGCCGCCGGCAGCCCGAGCTCGCCATCCCCGCGCTGCCGCCGCCGCCGCCCGCGGGAGGAGCCCCGGAGCTCCCGAGGGGCGGCCCCGGCCCGGCCCCGGTCCCGCCCGCAGCACCGGGGAAACCCCCGGAGACCCCACCCCGGGGTGCGGCCGGGCGGGACCGGAGCCGGGAGAGACCCCGGGGGCGGGAGGGGCACCGGATAACGGGAGGGACCCAAAATACCGGGAGGGGCACGGGATAGCGGGAATGATCCCGAATACCGGGAGGGACCCAAAGTACCGGGAGGGGCACCGGATAGCGGGAATGATCCCGAATACCGGGAGCGGCACGGGATAGCGGGAACGATCCCGAATACCGGGAGGGACCCAAAGTACCGGGAGGGGCACCGGATAGCGGGAACGATGCCGAATACCGGGAGCGGCACCGGATAACGGGAGGGACCCAAAATATCGGGAAGGGCACGGGATAGCGGGAACGATCCCGAATACCGGGAGGGGCACCGGATAACGGGAATGATCCCGAATACCGGGAGGGGCACCGGATAACGGGGGGGACCCCGGATACCGGGAGGGACCCAAAATACCGGGAGGGGCACCAGATAGCGGGAACGATCCCAAATACCGGGAGGGGCACCGGATAACGGGAATGATCCCAAATACCGGGAGGGACCCAAAATACCGGGAGGGGCACGGGATAGCGGGAACGATCCCAAATACCGGGAGCGGCACCGGATAACGGGGGGGACCCCGGATACCGGGAGGGACCCAAAATCCAGGGAGGGACCCCAAATCCCGGGAGGGACCCCGAACACCGGGACTGGGGGGGTTTGGGGGGTCCTGGGTGGGTTTGGGGGGGTCCTAGAGCTCCAGGGGACCCCCTGAACCCCAAAACCTGGAGGGGAGAGCCCCAACCCAAGGGGGGATCAGCGATATCGCGACCCCCCAAAATTAACCGGGACATTTTTTTTGGGGGGGGGGGGTCAGGGATATTGCGACCCCCCAAAATTAACCGGGACATTTTTGGGGGGCTCAGCGATGTCGCGACTTCCGTGCCCCCCCCTCCCGCCGCCCCCGGAGATATTTTGGGGTGATCGGGGATTTTGTCACTTTTTCCAGGCTATTTTTAGCCCCTCTCCAAAGCCCCCGGGGATTTTCGGGAGCCGCCAGGGCCGTGGGAACCGTGGAGGGTTATTTTTATTTATTTTTAAATTTTAGTTTTATTTGGGGGTTTAATTTTTATTTCTCTTTTAATTTTATTTTTATTTTGGGGGTGGTTAATTTTTATTTCTTTCTAATTTTATTTTTAGTTGGGGGGGTTCACTTTTATTTATTTTTGAGGGTTTAATTTTTATTTATTTCTAATTTTATTTTCATTTGAGGGGGTTCATTTTTTATTTTTGGGGGCTTTATTTTAATTTATTTTCAGTTTATTTTTATTTCTGGGGTTTTTGTTTCGGGTGTTTATTTCTAGGATTTGGGGTTTTTTTTGGGGGGGGATTCTTTTCGGGGTTTATTTTCGGGATTTAGTGTCAGGATTTATTTTGGGGGATTATTTTTGGGGGTTTATTTTCGGGACTTATTGTCAGGATTTATTTTCGGGGGGTTGTTTCAGGGTTTATTTTTGGGGGGTTATTTCTGGCCTTTATTTCAGGATGAGCATCCCAAATTTTATTTTTCCTCATTCCCGGATTATTTCCTCCCATTCCCAGGTTATTTTCCCGCTATCCCAGGATATTTTCCCCATTCCCGGGTTATTTTTCCCCCTATCCCAGGACATTTTTTCCCATTCCAGGACATTTTTTCCCATTCCAAGATATTTTTTCCCCATTCCCGGGTTTATTTTTGGCCGCGGTTCCCACTCGAATTCCTGAGGCCAGAACTGCCTGAGCTACTGGGAGAACTGGGAGGGAACTGGGAGGGACTGGGATGAACTGGGAGGGAACTGGGAGGGAACAGAATGTACTGGGATAAACTGGGAGGGACTGGGAGCACTGGGAGGGACTGGGAGCACTGGGATAAACTGGGATGAACTGGGATGAACTGGGAAAACTGGGAGGGAACGGGATGAACTGGGATGAACTGGGATGAACTGGGAGGGAACTGGGAGGGAACTGGGAACACTGGGATATACTGTGAGGGAACTGGAAGGGAACTGGGATGAACTGGGATAAACTGGGATAAAATGGGAGAATTGGGAGCACTGGGATGAACTGGGAGCACTGGGATGAACTGGGAGCACTGGGATGAACTGGGATGAACTGGGAGGGAACTGGGATGAACTGGGATGAACTGGGAGGGAACTGAGAGCACTGGGATGAACTGGGAGGGAACTGGGAGGGAACTGGGAGGGAACTGGGAGCACTGGTACGAACTGGGAGGGAACTGGGAGGGAACTGGGAGCACTGGTACGAACTGGGAGGGAACTGGGAGGGAACTGGGAGGGAACTGGGAGCACTGGGAGGGAACTGAGAGGCACTGGGATGGAACTGGGAGCACTGGGATGAACTGGGAGGGAACTGGGAGGGAACTGAGAGGCACTGGGATGAACTGGGAGCACTGGGATGAACTGGGAGGGAACTGGGAGCACTGGGAGGGAACTGGGAGCACTGGTACGAACTGGGAGGGAACTGGGATGAACTGGGAGGGAACTGGGAGCACTGGGACGAACTGGGATAAACTGGGATGAACTGGGAGGGAACTGGGATGAACTGGGAGGGAACTGGGAGCACTGGGACGAACTGGGATGAACTGGGAGGGAACTGGGAGCACTGGGATGAACTGGACCCCCCAATCCCCCCCAAATCCCCCCAGGTCACGTGTCCCTCCCCGTCACGCGCCGGTGACGCGCAGGGGGCGGGGCCTGCGCGTGTCACGTGCCCCGGGGCGGTCACGTGGTGCGGCGGCCGCCATGCTGTCCCGGCTGCTGAAGGAGCACCAGGCCCGCCAGAGCGAGCGGCGCGAGCTGCAGGGTGAGCCCCGCCCCCGTCCCCATGGCAACCGCCGCAACCGCCGGCTCCCATTGGCCAGCGCGGGCGGGGAGCGGCGCGCCATTGGCTGGCGCGGCTGTCCGTCAAAGCTGGGGTGGGGGGAAAGGGCGGGAAGTCTGAGGGGATTGGGGGGGGGTGAGGTCACGGCTCCGCGCGGTGACGTCACGGGTGAGGGTGCTGACGTCATGCGAGGGGGTGCTGACGTCACGGGGGTCCCCGCGCAGAGCGGCGCCGCAGGGACGCCATCGCCGCCGCCACCCGCCTGACCGAGGCCCTGGTGGATCACCTGAACGTGGGGTGAGCGCCGGGACCCCCCCCAATACCCCAAATCCAACTGGGACCCCCCCTCCAATACCCCAAATCCAACTGGGACCCCCCCAAACCCCAGATCCAACTGGGACCCCCCCGGGAACCCCAAATCCAACTGGGACCCCCCCCCAATACCCCAAATCCAACTGGGACCCCCCCAAACCCCAGATCCAACTGGGGACCCCCCTCAAAACCAAAATCCAACTGGGACACCCCCAAAACCGCAAACGTGAACCCCAAATCCAACTGGGACCCCCGCCCAATACCCCAAATCCAACTGGGACCCCCCGGGAACCCCAAATCCAACTGGGACCGACCCCCAAACCCCAAATCCAACTGGGACACCCCCAAAACCCCAAACCTGAACCCCGATGTCCCCAAATGCCCCCAGTGTCCCCAATGCCCCCAGTGTCCCCATGTCCCCGTGGTGTCCCCAGGGTGGCACAGGCCTACGTGACCCCCATGACCCCCATATTCCCAATGCCCCCAGTGCCCCCAGTGCCCCCAATGTCCCCGATGCCCCCAGTGTCCCCAGTGTCCCCAGTGTCCCAAATCCCCCCAGTGTCCCCATGTCCCCGCGTGTCCCCAGGGTGGCGCAGGCCTACGTGAACCAGCGCAAGCTGGAGCAGGAGGTGAAGACGCTGCAGGCGCAGGCGGCGCAGTTCGCCCGCCAGAGCGGCCACTGGATCGCCATGGTGGAGAGCTTCAACCAGGCCCTCAAGGTGGGGACCCCCCCCAAAACCCCCCGGGGGCGGGGGAGTCCCACCCCGACCTGCCAGTGGGGAGGGGGCTCACAGGGACCCCCGGGGTGGGCCCAACCCCGGCCTGGCACTGGGGAGGGGTCCCACCCCTGGGGAGGGGGTCCCACCCCTGGGGAGGGGGCTCACTGGGACCCTCTAGGATGGAGGAGGAGCTGTGTAGGACCAGTTGAGCTACTGGGCATACTGGGGTAGGGGGGAAAATGAAGCCCCCAGACCCATTTGGAGGGGGGGATGAAGCCCCCAGACCCCTGGTTTGTGCTGGAGTGGTTGGGGAGCACCCAGGGGGTCTTGAGGAGCACCTTGGGGGTCTTGAGGAGCACCCAGAGGGTCTTGGAGAACATCTTGGGGGTCCTGGGGAGCATCTTGGGGGTTTTGGGGAGCACCTTGGGGTCTTGAGGAAAATCCAGGGGGTCTCGAGGAACATCTTGGGGGTCTTGGGGAACATCCAGGGGGTCTTGAGGAGAGCCCAGAGGGTCTTGGGGAGCACCCAGGGGTCTTGGGGAGCACCCAGGAGATCTTGAGGAACATCTTGGGGGTCTTGGGGAGCACCTTGGGGGTCTCGGGCAGCACCCAGGGGGTCCTGGAGTGTCTTGAGCAGCACCCAGAGGTTCTCAGTGCAATGGGCTGGGTGGGACCCCCCCCGTGGGGTGAGCCCCCCTCCCCAAACCCCTGCCCTGGGAGCCCCCTCCCCAAATTCCCCCCCCCAGGAGATCGGCGACGTGGAGAACTGGGCCAGGAGCATCGAGCTGGACATGAGGACCATCGCCACCGCCCTCGAGTACGTCCACAGGGGGCAGCTGCAGCCCCCCTGCTCCTGAGGGACCCCCCAAACCCCGCCGGACCCCCCGGAGCCCCCGGAACCCCCAAAATAACGGCGGACGGGGGTCTCACCGCGGCGTCCTCGGCTCCCCTGGTGCTGGCAGCGGTGCAATAAATCGGGGGGGGGGGGGCCCGGGGGGGTGAGGGGGGTCAGGCCGGGCCGGGGGGACCCTGGCACAGCCCCCCCAAATCCCCCCTAAGCCCCCTGATCCTCCTTAGCGCTCAGCCGGGCTCTGAGGCTGCTTTCAGCGGGGACAAAGGGGCCCTGTGCCACCCCAAATCCGGGGGGGTTCCACCCAAATCCGGGGGGCAGGGCTTTCGTTTTGGGGTGATTTTCCCCCGTGGCGGGGGGTCAGGGCCCATTTTGGGGTGATTTCCCCCAAATCCGGGGTGCCATGGTTTTCATTCCTTGGGGGGGGGGGCTCAGGGCCCATTTTGGGGTGATTTTCCCCCATGGGGGGGTCAGGGCCCATTTTGGGGTGATTTCCTCCAAATCCGGGGACTGACAGGGCTTTAATTCCCTTTGGGGGGGGGGGGTCTCAGCCCCCCAAGTCCAAGCTCTGCCCCCCATCTCCCAGCACTGGGGGGGGTCCCGGGGTGGGGGTCTCATCCAGGGTGGGGGTCCCCCACAAGGCCGGGGGCCCCAAAATCTGCCCAACCCCCCCCGGAGCGTTTGGGGAGGGGTCTGGGGGGGCGGGGGGTGGGTTGTACCCCCGCGAATTTGGCCGTGCCAGGCGTGGGGAGGAGCGAGCCTGGCCCCCCCCCCAAAATCCCCCCGACCCCTCCCCTGCTCCCCACCCCCCCCGAGCTCAGACGGCCCCGAGGCCGCGGCCGGAGCAGCGCCCGCAGCCCCCCGACCCCCGAGGTAGGTGGGGACCCCCAAAGGGACGTGGGGACCCCCCCCGAGGTAGGTGGGGACCCCCCCAGGGACGTGGGGACCCCCGCTACCCCAGGAAGGAGGTGGGGACCCCCCTCAATGGGGATCCTGAGACGCCCCCAAACCCCCTCAATGGGGGTCCTGACACCCCAAACCCCACCGGATGGGGGTCCTGACACCCCAAACCCCCTCAATGGGGGTCCTGACACCCCAAACCCCACCGGATGGGGGTCATGACACCCCCAAACCCCCCCGGATGGGGGTCCTGACACCCCAAATCTCCCCGGACGGGGGTCCCGGAGGGGGTCTCGGGGCCCTGCCGGGGGTCTCGGCCCCCCCTCGTCCCTCCCTCGGCGGGGCAGCCGGGCCGGGGGTCCCGCCCAGGGCCGGGGGTCCCGGGGGTCCCGGGGGGTCCCATGGGGTCCCGGGGGTCGCGGCTGCCCCTGGAGCGGGGGGAGGGGCCCCGAGAGGACCCCCCCGCCCCCCCCCCCCCGCCCGGCCGGTGACGCACGGCCCCGGTAATCCCGGCTTGGCCCGGCACGGCCCGGCCCGAGCGGCGGCAGCGGGGCCGGGGGGTCCCGGGAGGGGCTTTGGGGGGCCCCCCACCCACCCCGAGAGGGCAGAAACCCCCAAAGGTGGGGGCAGCGGAGGCGGAGCGGGCCGGGGTCGGTCCCGGGTGACCGGGGGGGGCGGGGGTCAGTCCCGAGTGGCCGCTCTGCCCTCGGGGGGGAGACCCCCGTGCTCTGGGCAGGGTGGGGGGTCCCAGCCGGCCACTCTCAGGGGTCCCGGCGGGGGTCCCAGGTGCCCCCTGACCCCCCAGGCTATGTGGCTGTACCTGGCGCTGGCAGGGGCACACAGGGTGGGGGTCAGGCAGGGTGGGGGTCTCTCTGGGGGTCCCGGTGTGGGTCAGGCAGGGTGGGGGTCACACAGAGCAGGGTCCCCACATGTCCCCTGTCCCCCAGGCCATGTGGCTGTACCTGGTGCTGCGAGGGGCACACAGGGTGGGGGTCAGGCAGGGTGGGGGTCCCACAGACCGGGGGTCCCACATGTCCCCTGTCCCCCCAGACCATGTGGCTGTACCTGGCCAGGGCAGGAGCACACAGGGCCAGGCAGGGTGGGGGTCTCTCTGTCTGGGGGGTCCCGGCGGGGGTCCCACATGTCCCCTGCCCCCCAGGCCATGTGGCTGTACCTGGCGCTGGCAGGGGCACACAAATGGGGGTCAGGCAGGGTGGGGGTCCCACAGACCGGGGGTCCCACATGTCCCCTGTCCCCCCCAGGCCATGTGGCTGTACCTGGCGCTGCTGGCCCTGCTCTGGGCTCTGGGCTGGCTGCTGCGGGACCGCCGCACGCTGCCCACGGTCAGCGACAAGCACGTCTTCATCACCGGCTGCGACAGCGGCTTCGGCAACCTGCTGGCGCGGCGGCTGGCCCGGAGCGGCTACCGGGTGCTGGCGGCCTGCCTGACCCCGCAGGGCGCCGAGAGCCTCCGCGGGGCCTGCGCCGGCACCCAGCTCAGCACCACCCTGCTGGATGTCACCCAGCCCGACAGCGTCCGCCGCGCCGCCGAGTGGGTGCGCAGCCAGGTGGGCGAGAAAGGTGAGCGGGGAATGGGGCTGGGGAGGGGGCTGGGGGCTGCGGGAGGGGGTGTGGGGGCTGGGGGAGGGGTCTGGGGGCTTGGGGAGGGGGTCTGGGAGAAAGGTGAGGGGGGAAAAAATGGGTCTGGGGCCTTGGGGAGGGGTGTGGGGGCTTGGGCAAGGGGTCTGGAGGCTTGGAGAGTGGTGTGGGGGCTTGGGGAGGGGGCTGGGAGAAAGGTGAGGGGGGGAAAAAAGGGTCTCAGGGCTTGGGGAGAGGTCTGGGAAAGGGTGTGAGGGTAGGGGGAGCGTGGGGGGACAAAGGTGAGGAGGGATAATGGGTCTGGGGGCTTGGGGAGAGGTCTGGGAAAGGGTAGGAGCAGAGGGGATAAAGGTAAGGGGGGGAAAAAGGGTCTGGGGTCCCAGTTTGGTGATCCCAGTTTGGGGGTCCTGGTTTGGGGGTCCCCGTTTGGGGGTCCCCCACCCTCTGGGTGTCCCAGGGGTCACTGGGGATCCCAGTTTGGGGGTCCAAGTTTGGGGGTCCCTCACCCCCTGTGCCCCCCAGGGCTGTTCGGGCTGGTGAACAACGCCGGCGTGGCCAGCCCCATGGGCCCCACGGAGTGGATGGACATGGAGGATTTCCGCCGGGTCATGGCCGTCAACGCCTTCGGCGCCATCGAGGTGACGCTGGCGCTGCTGCCGCTGCTGAAGCGCGCGCGGGGCCGCGTGGTCAACACCTCCAGCGTGCTGGGCCGCGTCTCGGCCAACGGCGGCGGCTACTGCCCCTCCAAGTTCTGCATCGAGGCCTTCTCCGACAGCCTGCGGTCAGTGAGCGAGCGAGTGCGGGCTGGCCTGGGCCGGGCGGGTCCGGCTGTGACCCTGAGGTCACCCCCTGGGCACTCCGGCCACGGGCTGAGCCCTCTGGTCACCCCCTGACCCCTCTGACCCCTCCAGCCACGGGCTGACCTCTCTGGCCATGGGCTGGGCCCTGCGGCCACCCCCTGACCCCTCTGGCCACGGCCTGACCCCTCCAGCCATGGCCTGAGCCCTCTGGTCACCCCCTGACCCCTCTGACCACCCTGTGACCCCTCTGACCACCCCCTGACCCCTCTGACCACCCCCTGACCCTTCTGGCCACCCCCTGACCCTTCTGGCCACCCCCTGACCCCTCTGGCCACCCCCTGACCCCTCTGGCCACCCCCTGACCCCTCTGACCACCCCCTGACCCCTCTGGCCACCCCCTGACCCCTCTGACCACCCCCTGACTGCTCTGGCCACCCCCTGACCATTTTGGCCATCTCCTGACCCTTCTGACCACCCTGTGACCCCTTTGACCACCCCCTGACCCTTCTGGCCACCCCCTGACCCCTGTGGCCATCCCCTGACCCCTCCGGCCACCCCCTGACCCCTGTGGCCACCCCGTGTCCCCTCTGCAGGCGGGACATGTGGCACTTCGGGGTCAAGGTCAGCGTGGTGGAGCCGGGCTTCTTCAAGACCAACGCCACGGACGTGAGCGCGCTGGAGGCGTCGCTGCGGCAGCGCTGGGAGCGCCTGGAGCCGGCCACGCGCAGCAGCTACGGGGAGCACTTCCTGCCCCAGTGTGAGTGGGGGACGGGCCGGGGGGCGGGGGGCACCGGGGACCCCCCTGGGCATGCCCCGGGGGGCGGCGACTCAGCCCTGCCTCAGTTTCCCTCTTTAGGGCATTCTCCATAGGGCAGTGACTCAGCCCTGCCTCAGTTTCCCTCTTTAGGGCATCCCCCGGGGGGCAGCGACTCAGCCCTGCCTCAGTTTCCCTTTTCCTGAATTCCCCATAACCCAGGATCTCACCCCTGCCTCAGTTTCCCCTTTCCACCTCCCAAATTCAGAGTCTCAGCCCTGTCTCAGTTTCCCCTGTCTCAGTTTCTCCTGTACCTCCTTTTCCCTGTTCCTCAGTTTCCCCGCACCCCAGTCCCCATGTCCCCAGTCCCCGTGCCCCAGTCCCGTGCCTCAGTTTCCCCGTGCCTCAGTTTCCCCACACCCCAGTCCCCATACCCTGTTCCCCGTGCCCCAGTCCCGTGCCCCGTTCCCCATGCCTCAGTTTCCCCGTTCCCCGTGCCTCAGTTTCCCCTGTCCCCAGTCCCATGCCCCATTCCCCGTGCCTCAGTGTCCCCTTGCCCTGTTCCCCATGCCCCAGTCCCCCTGTTCCCCGTGCCTCAGTTTCCCCATGTCCCCATTCCCCGTTCCCCGTGCCTCAGTTTCCCCCATGTCCCCATTCCCTGTTCCCCGTGCCTCAGTTTCCCCCTATGTCCCCATTCCCGTGCCCCATTCCCCGTGCCTCAGTTTCCCCCCATGTCTCAGTCCTGTGCCCTGTTCCCCGTGCCTCAGTTTCCCCCGTGTCCCTGTGTCCCCGTTCCCCGTGCCTCAGTGTCCCCATGTCCCCAGTCCTGTGCCCTGTTCCCCGTGCCTCAGTTTCCCTGTGCCCCATGCCCCGTGCCCCGTTCCCCGTGCCTCAGTTTCCCCCCATGTCCCCGTGCCCCATTCCCCGTTCCCCGTGTCTCAGTTTCCCCGTGTCCCCAGTCCCGTTCCCCGTTCCCTGTGCCTCAGTTTCCCCATTCCCCGTTCCCCGTGCCTCAGTTTCCCCGTGCCCCGTGTCCCCGTGCCCCGTTCCCCGTGCCTCAGTTTCCCCGTTTCCCATGCCTCAGTTTCCCCCCGTGTCCCCAGTCCCGTTCCCCGTGCCTCAGTGTCCCCCTGTCCCCAGACCTGCGGCTGCAGCGGCGGCTGCTGGCGCTGCTGTGTGACCCGGACCTGGCCAAGGTGTCGCGCTGCGTGGAACACGCGCTGCGGGCGCGGCACCCGCGGAGCCGCTACAGCGCGGGCTGGGACGCCAAACTGCTCTGGCTGCCCGCGTCCTACCTGCCCGCCGTGCTGCTGGACCTGGCGCTGGCCCTGATCCTGCCCCGGCCGGCCGCGAGTGGGTCCTGAGACCCCAGACCCAATTACCGACCCCAGACCCAACTGGGGACCCCACAAACGTGGGCAATAAACGGCACAAACCCACCTGTTCTGGTTCTGATTGGGGTTTGGGGACATTGGGGTGGGGTTTATGGAGCTGGCGCTGGCCCTGATCCTGCCCCGGCCAGCGGCCAGCAGGCCCTGAGACCCCAGACCCAATTACCGACCCCAGACCCAATAACCGACCCCAGACCCAACTCAGGACCCCATAAATGTGGGCAATAAACGGCACAAACTCACCTGTTCTGGTTCTGATTTGGGTTTGGGGACATTGACATGGGGTTTATGGACCTGGCGCTGGCCCTGATCCTGCCCCGGCCGGCCGCCAGCAGGCCCTGAGACCCCAGACCCAACTGGGGACCCCAGACCCAAAATAAACCCCCCAAATAAACCCCAAAATAAACCCCCAAATGTGGGCAATAAACGGCCCAAACTCATCTGTCCTGGCTCTGCTCGGGCTCGGGGTTTGGGATACCCCATTAGAGACCCCCAAACCCCACCAGGGTCCTTGTCCCACTCAGGAGGAGCCCCCCAACCCCAAAGACCCCCTCAAACCCTTCAAAGACCCCCCAAACTCCTCAAAGGGACCCCAGACCCATGAGGGACCCCCCCCAAACACATGAGGGACCCCAAACCCCTCAAAGTGACCCCCAAGTCACACTCCAGCTTTTCCTCTTTATTGCAAACTCGGGGGTCCCCCGGAGCCCCCCAGGACCCCCGAGGGGGGGGGGTTGGCACATGGGGACCCCCCAGGACCCCCGGGGGGGGTCAGGAATTTGAGGGGGGGCTACATGACCTCGTAGCCGCTGCGGATCCCCCGCATGAGGCAGCAGGAGAAGACAACGCCCAGGACCTGGGGGGACAGGGGGGTGACATTGGGGGGGCAGGGAGGTGACAATGGGGGGACGGGGAGGGGACATTGGGGGGACAGGGAAAGGGAAACCGGGGGGGGGACAGATCTGGGGGCGTCGGTGACACTTGGGGGGTGCCAGTTAAATTTGGGGAGGGGAAGAAGGAAAAGGGGCTCACTCGCACTTGGGGCGGTCAGTTTGATATGGGGCGTCTCACCCCACATTTGGGGGGGTTCTCAGCCCACATTTTGGGGGAGGGTCTCACCCCCCATTTGGAGGGAATCTCACCCCCCATTTTGGGGTCCCTCCCCCCATTTCGGGGGGTCTCACCCCCATTTCGGGCTCTCACCTCGAAGAAGGCGACGCCCAGCGCCACGGCCGCCAGCACCACCAGGTTCCTCCTGACCCAGGCCTCGAGGCTCGGCAGGCAGCCCTGGGGAGGGGGGGCACATTGGGGCGGTCAGGGGGGACCCCCAGAGAGGCGGAGATGAATTTGGGGAGGGGTCTCACCTTGGCGAACACGGTGGCGGGCGTGGGGTGGAGGTTGCAGGCGGCGCTGGGCTGGCGGCAGCAGGAGCTGGGCACGGAGTCGTTGGCACCGAAGCTGCCCACGCTGGCCCAGTCCGTGTAGTTGTTCACCCCGCAGCAGGACAGCTGGCACGCAGAGGGGTCAGCAATGCCGGGGGGGGTCCAGCAGCAGCCCCCTCCCCAAATTGGGGGTGCTCACCTCCTGCTGGAAGCTGTCCAGGGTGGCTCTGAGCGCCGCGTCCTCCTCGTAGCTCCTCAGCGCCCGCCACAGCCCCTCCTCCACCAGCCCGTGTACCTGGGGGGGCACCGGGGGGGTCACGGGGGGCTCGGGACCCCCGGGGGGGCACAGAGGGGTGGGGACCCCCGGGGAGGGACAGGGGACAGGGAGGTAGGACCCCCACCTTGTGCCTGAAGACGTAGCCGGTGACGGCGGCGGCCAGTTGCACCAGGAAGATGAGGCTGAGCAGGACGGCAAACTGGGGGGGCACAGGGGGGTCATAGAGGGGATTTGGGGGGGTCTGGGGGGATCATAGAGGGGATTTGGGGGGTCTTCGGGGGGTCATAGAGGGGGTTTGGGGGGGCCTGGGGGGATCATAGAGGGGATTTGGGGGGGTCATAGTGGCGGTTTAGGGGGTCTGTGGGGGTCATAGAGGGGGTTTGGGGGGGCCTGGGGGGTCATAGAGGGGATTTGGGGGGGCACAGAGGGGGTTTGGGGGGTCTGGGGGGGTCTTAGAGGGGGTTTGGGGGGGCACAGAGGGGGTTTAGGGGGACCTGGGGGGGTCATAGAGGGGGTTTGGGGGGTCTGGGGGGGGCACAGAGGGGGTTTGGGGGGCTTACAGTGAGGTTTGGGGGGGCACAAAGGAGGTTTATGGGGGTCTAGGGGTGGTCACAGAGGGGGTTTGGGGGTGTCCCGGGGGGTCCCGAGGGTTTTCCGGAGGTTTCCCGGGGGTTTCCCAGTGGGGGTCCCGGGGTGGTCCCAGCGGGGTTCCCGGGTGGGGTTTTTTGGGTGGTCCCGGGGTGGTCCCGGCGGGGGTCCCGGGGATGTTTTGGGTAGTCCCGGGGTGGTCCCGGCGCCCCCCCTCACCGTGGTGACCATGCAGTGGCTCTCCCGCCAGGCGCCGCAGCAGCCGAGGAAGGCGGTGAGGAAGATGAGCACCCCCAGCCCCAGCACGGCCGCGGGGCTCCAGCCCGCGCCGCCCCCCGGGACCAGCGGGGCCCGGCCCGGCCCCAGCAGCGCCGAGCAACCGACGGCCACCAGCGCGGCGCCGCAGAGCTGGGGAGGGGGCGAGGGTGGGACGGGGCCCGGCCCGGCCCCCTCCCCAAATTACCCTGCAAACCCCCTCCCCAATTACCCTGCAAACCCCCTCCCCAAATATCGCTGCAAACCCCCTCCCCAAATATCCACTGCACCGCCCCCCGGCCCGGCCCCCTCCCCAAATTACCCTGCAAACCCCCTCCCCAAATATCCACTGCACCGCCCTCCGGCCCGGCCCCCTCCCCAAATTACCCTGCAAACCCCCTCCCCAAATTACCCTGCAAACCCCCTCCCCAAATATCGCTGCAAAACCCCCTCCCCAAATATCCACTGCACAGCCCCCCGGCCCAGCCCCCTCCCCAAATATTCACTGCAAAACCCCCTCCCCAAATAACCACTGCACAAATTCCCCCTGCCCAGCCCCCTCCCCAAACACGGGGGGGGGACATGGGTGGAGGGGACACGGGGGTGTCACGGGTGGGGGACACGGTGGGAGGGGACACGGGGGTGTCACGGGGGGGACACGGAGGGGACACGGGGGGAGGGGACACGGGGGTGTCACGGGTGGACACGGGAGGGGCAGCGGCCGCAGCGGGAAGCGCAGGAAGTTCGGCCCTTCCGGCCACGCGTGAGCGCGGGGGGGGCCGCCCCCCACCCCTCCCGGGGGTCCCGGTGGATTCCGGGGGGGGTTCACCCCACCGGGACCCCCACCCCAGCCCCCTCCCGTGCCCGCTGCGCCCGCGGGGCGTGGGCTCGGCTGCACAAACACGCGCGGGGGGGTTGGCACCGTGTCCCGCCGTGTCACCGGGTGTCCCCCGCCCGGTACTCGAGGGGTGACTCAGCCCGGTGGCGCCGGGGTGGCGACGGGGGGGGACGGGAAGGGGCCCCGTGACCCCCCCGGTGTCCCCCCCCCGTGTCCCCCCCGTGTTCCCCCCGGTGTCCCTCCCGGTGTCTCCCCCGGTGTCACCCCCCGGTGTCCCCCCGTTGTCCTCCCGTTGTCCCCCCCGGTGTCCCCCCCCAGTGTCCCCCCCGGTGTCCCCCAGTGTCACCCCCCGGTGTCCCGCCCCAGTGTCACCCCCCGATGTCCCCCCCGGTGTCCCCCCGGTGTCCCCCCGCCCGCTCCGGCCGTTGGCTCCCGCCGCTCTTTCCTCACCCCAACTTCCCCAACGCCGCCTCCCGCCTCTCCCGGGGCTCCCCCCGGTCCCCCCCGGTCCTTGGGGTCCCCCCGTGTCCCCCCCCCCCGGGACAGGGACAGGATGTGGCTTCACCCACGGCGACAACACATCCCCCCCTCCCCCAGCACCGGGGCCCCCAAACCCGGGGCTCCGGGGAGGATCCGCCCGGTTCTACCGGCAGCGGCCCCCCTCCCGGTGCCCCCCGGACTCACCCAGAAGACGAAGCTGAAGAAGAAAACCAAGAACTTCACGCACTTCATCCCCCCCTCGACCGCCATGGCCCCGCCGTGCTGCGGGAGCCGCCGCTCAGCACCGGCACCGGGCCCGGCCCCGCGGCCGGTACCGAGCCCCGCCACCGGCAAACCGCCGGGCCGGGCCCGGTGCCGCTCCCGGTACCGCTCCCTCACTGCCCCCGGTCCCGGTGCCGCTCCCTCCCAGATCCCGGTCCCGGTTCCGGTGCTGCTTCATCTCCCGGTCGCGGTGCTCCCGAAGTTCCCGGCTGCTCTCCCCCTGCCCCGCTCCCCCTCCGGTTCCCGGTGGTCCCGGTACTGGTCCCTCCCCACTCCCCGCGGTCCCGGTACCATTTCCCCTCCCGGGTCCCCACGTTTCGCCCCGGTCCCCCCGTCCCGGTGCCGTTCCCCCCCTGGTCCCGGTACCATTTTCCCCCACTCCCCGCGGTCCCGGTACCGTTTCCCCCCCGTTCCCCCCGGTCCCGGTGCCGTTCCCCACCCGCTCCCGGCGCTCCCGGTCCCGCTCACCGCCGCCCTTCCCGAGGGCTCCGGATCATGTGACGGGGGCGAGCCGAGAGAGCCCCGGGACCGCCCCGGGACCGCCCCAGCAGCGGGACTGCCCCGGCACCGGAACCGGCACCGGCACCGCCCCGGGACCGGCACCGGCACCGCCCCGGGACCGGCACCGGCACCGACACCGACACCGCCCCGGGACCGGCACCGGGACCGACACCGACACCGCCCCGGGACCGGCACCGACACCGCCCCGGGACCGGCACCGGCACCGCCCCGGGACCCCCGAAACACGAGCGGCTGCGAGGGATGCTTTATTGGGGGGCATTTGGGGACATTTGGGGACACCGAGGGGACACCGGGAACTCGGGACTCTGAGCTCGCCCCGCGCCCCGCACCGGGGCCTCAGATCCCCCCGACCCCAAACTCGGGTCCCAAATCCCCCCGACCCCAAACTTGGGGACCCTGTAACCTCTGACCCCACACCCGGGGTCCTGGCCCCACTGTGCCTCACACTCGGGGTCCCAGCCCCCCAAATCCCCCCTCCTCGTGGTCCCAGCCCCCCAAATCCCCCATCCCAGGGTCCCAGCTCCCCAAATCCGCCCAAATTCCCCCAAATCCCCCCAAATCCCCCATCCCGGGGTCCCAGCCCCCCAAATCCCCCCTCACCGGGGTCTCAGTCCCCCAAATCCCCCCTCCTCGTGGTCCCAGCCCCCCAAATCCCCTCTTCCCGGGGTCTCAGCCCCCCAAATTCTCCCTCACCGGGGTTTCAGCCCCCCAAACCCCCCCCAAATCCCCCCTCCCCGGGGTCCCAGCCCCCCAAATCCCCCCAAATCCCCCCTGCCCGGGGTCCCAGCCCCCCAGATCCCCCCAAATCCCCCCGCCCCGTGTCAGCAGCCCGGCAGCTCTCCCAGCTCGCCCAGCTCGCCCAGCGCGGCCAGCACGGCCCGCAGGTGCGGGGGGTGCACGAAGGCCACGAGCCCCCCGCGGTTGGCCCAGCGCTGGGGCCCGGTCTGGCCCGGTTCGGGCCGGTGGTAGCGCAGCTCGGGGGTCTCCCCGGTGCCCCCCGCCCGCCGTGCCCGCAGCGCCCCCTCCAAGGCCACCACGCCGCCGCCCAGGGCGCGCAGGATGGCGTGGGGCGCGCACGAGTCCCAGGCGAAGGTGGTGGGCAGCGACAGCACGAAGGCGTCCGCCAGCCCCAGCGCCACGCAGAGCAGCTTGTACCCCGCCCCCGCCGCCAGCAGCGGGGGACCCCCGCCCAGGGAGCCCAGAGCCCCCCGCACCGCCGCCGACTCGGCCCGGCTCAGCACCACGCGGGGCCGCGGCCGCGGGAGCGGCGGGGACAGCGAGCACAGCCGCGTGTCGCCGTGGGCCACCCCCCAGTGGTAGCGACCCTGCCACCTGCGGGGACAGAGGGGACAGGGGGGACACCTGAGACTGGGGGGACAGGGACCCCGGGATGGGGGAAATGGGGACCCCGGGATGGGGGAATTAGGGACCTTGGGATGGGGGAAATGGGGACCCCGGGATGGGGGAAATGGGGACCCCGGGATGGGGGGGACAATGGGGGGACACGGACCCCGGGATGGGGAAACTGGGGACCCCGGGATGGAGGATCGGGGGGGACAGGGACCCCTGAATGGGGGGGACAGGGACCCTGGGGTGGGGAAAATGGGGATCCCGGGGTGGGGAAATTGGGGACCCCGGGATGGGGAGGAAAATGGGGGGACACGGACCCCGGGATGGGGGAATTAGGGACCTTGGGATGGGGGAAATGGGGACCCCGGGATGGGGGAAATGGGGACCTTGGGATGGGGAAATTGGGGATCCCGGGATGTGGGAATTGGGGATCCCGGGACCGGAGGGGACAGCGAGCACAGCCGCGTGTTGCCGTGGGCCACCCCCCAGTGGTAGCGACCCTGCCACCTGCGGGGACGGGGGACACCTGAGATGGGGTGGGGGACACCGCGGTGGGGACCCCGGGATGGGGGAAATTGGGGGACAGAGACCCCGGGATGGAGAAAATTCAGATCCCGAGATGGGGGGGAATTGGGACCCCGGGATGGGGGGTCAAAAGGGGACAGGGACCCCAGGATGGGAGAATTGGGACCCCGGGATCAGGGGTGACAGGGACCCCGGGGCAGGGTCAGGGGTGTCAGGGGTCTCGGGGTGCGGGCTCCGGGTGTACCTGTGAGTCTGGGGGTCCCTCTGGAAGAAGGGCTCGTTGATGACCCCCAGCACCGGGACCCCGCTGTGGCGGTCGAAGGCCCCCACGAGCACCAGGGCCGAGCGCAGCCCCTCGGGTGCGATGCCATCGATGGGGGCCACGTCCTCGCGCCCCCCGATGAACTCGTTGGTGGAGTCTGGGGGGTGCCAGGGGGTCAGCGGGGTGCCAGCCATGGCCCTGGTGCTGTCCCCATCCCGTCCTGTCCCTGGCCCTGTCCCCATCCTGTCCCTGTCCCCATCCCCATCCCACCCCACAACATTCCCTGTCCCCATCCTGTCCCTTCTCCTGTTTCTATCCCTTCTATCCCCTCTATCCCATCCTGTCCTGTCCCCGTCCCCGTCCCCACCCCACAACATTCCCTGTCCCATCCCTGTCCCATCCCTGTCCCATCCCCGTCCCCATTCCTGTCCCCATTCCTGTCCCCATCCCTGTCCCTGTTTCTATCCCCTCTATCCCGTCTATCCCATCCTGTTCCCATCCTTGTCCCCATCCCCGTCCCCTCCCTGTCCCCTCCCTGTCCCCGTCCCCGTCCCCCCCTCACGCCCCTCACCAATGGGGTCTATCCAGATTCCCAGGTCCCCTGGGGACACTCCGGGGTCGATGCCATCCAGCTCCGTGTCCCCAAGTGTCACCTCCCGGTGCACGGCCTCTGCCAGCAGCTCGGCTGCCCTCGTCTGCTCGGGGCCCAGCACGGCCAGCAGCAGGGCCACCGTGTCCCCCGGGGTGGCACAGACCCGCACTGTCACCGTGCCACCTGCCGGGACCCCAAAGGACACAGGGGCATGGCACAGGGACACCCGGGGTGGCACAGGGACACCCGGGGTGGCACGGACCCGCACTGTCACCGTGCCACCTGCTAGGGCCACGGCACAGGGACCTCTGTCCCCTCTGTCCCCACTGTCCCCCTGTCCCGCTGTCCCCTCTGTCCCCCCACTGTCCCCACTGTCCCCACTGTCCCCCCCCCCTGTCCCCACTGTCCCCCTGTCCCGCTGTCCCCACTCACCCTGCGCGTCCCTGAACTCACTGGACTCCTCCCCGTGGATGTGCCCCCGCAGCTCGGGGAACTGGGGGGACACCGGGGGGCTCAGGGGAGGCCGAGGGGTGCCAGCCCCAGCTGGGCCACCCCCGGGCTGTCCCCACCTGTGTCCCCAGGTCGTGCTTGATCAGCTCCTGGATCAGGACGTCCGCCAGCGTTTTGAAGTCGCGCTGGAAGCGCGCGTTGCGCTCCGGGCCCGACTTCTCGGCCGGCCGCAGGCGGAGCAGCGGCTCCTCCGCCCGGCACAGCCGCGCCACCTCCGCCGCCTTCTGCGACACCGCCACCAGCGCCGGCAGCAGCCCCGCCATGCCCGCGGCACCGCCGGCGACAGCGACAGCGACACCGCCACACCTGGCAGGGGCAGCCGCGGGGTCAGCGATGCGCTGGGAAAGGAGCCGGAGCGATCCCGAATGGGGATGGGGCACAGGGGACAGGGGGACATTGGGGGGTGGGGACGGGGGGACATTTGGGACAGGGGACATTGGGGGTGGGGATTTGGGGACATGGGGATGTGGGGACAAGGGGACATTGGGGTGTGGGGATTTGGGGACACTGGGGTGTGGGGACAGAAGGACATTAGGATGTGGGGACAGGGGGAGAGAGGGACATCAGGGTATGGGGACAGGAGGATGTGGGGACAGGGTGAGGTGTGGAACATGGACACTGGGACTTTGGGGACACTGGGATGGGGGATTTGGGGACATGGGGATGTGAGGACATGGGGACAGGGTGACATAACTGGAGCCAGGGGTGACAGGAGAATATGGGAGTGTGGGGACGTGGAGACAGGGTGACACGGGGCTGTGGGGACACGGGGACACGGGGACAGGGGGGGACACGGGGACACGGGGGACGTGGCCGTGTGGATGTGGGGACGCGGGGACACAAAGGCGGCCACGGGGGTGGCCGTGGGGACGCGGGGCTGTCCCCAAGGCTGTCCCCAAGGTGTCCCTGCGTGGGGGTGGCTCTGTCCCGCGGGGACGGGAAGGGTTCGGCCCGGGGGGGTCCCCGCTGTCCCCCGGGAGGCGCGGGGCGATGCGGCCCCCCCGGAACGATCCCGGAACGACCCCAGATTTCCCCTCCCCCGCCACCCCCGCACCGGGGACCCCCCCCCCCAGAGCCCGTCCCCACCCCCGGGGACACCCCGGGGACCCCCGGGGCCGCCCCCCGCCCGCGCCGCCGTTACCGGGGCCGCTGACAGCTCCTGCGGGCCGCCCGTGGGCGGGGACCGGGCCGCGTCACGGCCGCGCTTAACCCGCTCGCTGCCGCGGCCCCGCGGGCCCGGGGTCCCGCCGGAGTGCGGGGACACCGGGGGGGTCGCGGCACCGGCGGGGAGGGGACAAAGCGGGGGGCGACCCCCTCCCCTCCCCGCCCCCCGGGCGGCGGCACCGGTGACACCGCGGCGGCGGCGGGGGACGCTCGGTGGCGGTGGCGGGGGTCCCGTGTCGCCTGTCGCGTGTCCCGTGTCCCCAAAACGCCCCCGCCGCGCGGGGGAGCGCTGCCCCCGGTGCTGCGGTACCGGCACCAATCCCCCCCGGGACCGGGGAGCAACGGGGCCGCTGCCCCCCCACCACAAACCCACCGGGACCCCCCCAGGGCCGTGTCCCCCTCCCGAGCCCCCCCGCCCGCCGGTGCATCCCCGGCGGGTCTTCCCCTCTCCATGGTTCTGATGGGGCGGGCACCGGGAAAAAGGAGTGGGGGGTCCCCGGTCACCCGGGGGGTCCCCACGGTGATCTCAGCACCGGGGTTCCCTCCGCACTCCCCTGGCTCCTCCTGGAAGCGCTGCCCGGTGCCGGTGCGGGATGGGCGGGCTCCCCCTGTGTCCCCCCCCCCCCAAAATCGCCCCCGCTTTGGGGCCGGGACCCCGGTGACCCCCGAGGGTCCCGGTGCCCCCCAAGCCGTGCCGGGATGTCCTTGTCCCTCCCGGAGCGATGCCCCGGCAGCACTTCCCGGTGCCAGGATGCCCCGGAGCGGGCAGCTTCACCCCCGTACCCCGAGTTCCAGCCCCCCCCGGGGGTCCCCGAGCCCCCCAAGTGCCGGGGGGCACCCCCGGGCCGGGATCCGCCGGTGCCGGTCGCTGCTGGAAGCCGCGGCTGGCGGAACCCGCCGGTGCCCGGTTCCACCGGGGTCGGCACCGAGCGGGGCCGGGGGGGCTCCGGGGCTGCCGGGGGGGTCCGGGGGGCGGCCGCACTTGCCGGGACGCGCATCCATCCCGCCGCACTTGCCGGGAGCCGCGGCCGGGCCGCGCCGCCCCCCGGGCCCCCCCGAGCCGAGGGGCGGGCGGGGGTGCCCGAGCGCACCGGGCGGCGGCGGGGCCGTTCCCGGGGCTCGGGGGGCCGGCGGCGGCTGGTGCCAAGCCCCTGCCAGAACCTCTTTTGTGCGCCCGCAGCCAATCAAGGCCGCTGACGACACACTTCTCTTGGGGTATAAAACCCCGGGGCCGCCGCTACCGCCGCTTTTTTTCATCCCCCCCCCCCTTCGGCCCCCCCCGGGGTCCCCGCTTCCCCGCCCCCGCCGCCGTTACCGCCTTCCCCCCCCTTGCGCGCTGCGGTGGAAGCGGGGCGGGGGGGCGGCCCGGTGGGGAAGGGTTTGCTTATTTTATTTTTTTTTATTATTATTTTTTTCCCCTCCCTCTTGTTTCTTTTTTTTTTTCTCTTTTTGTTGTTTTTTTTTTTTTTAATTTATTTTTTTTTTAATCCCCCCTTCTCCCCCCGATGTATTTTTTGCTGTCCCCCCCCGGCATGGCCCCGCTGTGCTGGCTGCTGGGCTCGCTGGTGGCCGCGGTGGCTGGGGGGGGGTCGGTGGAGCAGCCCCCCGCCCCCGAGCCCGCCTGCCCCGTGTGCCTGTGGCGGCGGCAGAGCAAAGAGCTGCGGCTGGAGAGCATCAAGTCGCAGATCCTGAGCAAGCTGCGGCTGAAGGAAGCGCCCAACATCACCCGGGAGGTGGTGAAGCAGCTGCTGCCCAAGGCCCCCCCGCTCCAGCAGCTCCTGGACCTCCACGACTTCCAGGGGGACTCGCTGCAGCACGACGAGTACCTGGAGGAGGACGAGTACCACGCCACCACCGAGACCGTCATCAGCATGGCCCAGGAAAGTCAGTGCCGCCCTTTGTTCCGCTGCAAACTTCGCCGCAGGACTCCCCCCACCCCCGCCCCGGCCCCCCAGCCCCGCCGCGGGTCCCCCCCCGCCCCTCCTCGGGTCCCCTCCCGCTCCCCCGCTGCCCTCCCCGCTCGGCACCGATGTCCTCCCCGAGCCCCCCCCCGCCACCACCTCCCCCCGGGGTGCCTGAGCCCCTCCCGGGGGTCCCCGAGGGCCTCCGGGGGTCCCTGAGCCCCCCTCGGGTCCTTCTGGTGCTCCCCCCTCACCCCCGGTCTGTGCGGGTCCCGCGGGGACGGTCCGTGTGCGGGGACGGGGGGACAGAGAGGGGACAAGGAGGGGATAGAGCGGGGACAGAGAGGGGACAGAGAGGGGACAAGGGGACAGAGCACCGGGCACCAGGAGAGGGGACTGGGAGAGGGGCCCCGTGCTGGGGAGCAGGAGCTGGCACTGGGGACTGGGAGCTGGCACTGGGGACTGGGGACAGGAACTGGGAGCTGGGACTGGGGACTGGTCCTGAGTGCTGGGAGCTGTTACTGGGAGCTGGCACTGGGGACTGGGAGGTGGCACTGGGAGCTGACACCGGGGACTGGGACTGGGAACTGGGACTGGTGACTGGGGACTGGGAGCTGGGAACTGGGACTGGAGACACAGGACTGGGAGCTGCACTGGGAGCTGCACTGGGAGCTGGCACTGGGCACTGGGACCTGGGCCTGGGTGCTGGGACCAGGAACTGGGACTGGAACTGGGGACTGGGAACTAAGGCTGGGGACTGAAACTGGGAGCTGAGACTGGGACTGGGAACTGAGACAGGGCACTGGGAGATCAGACTGGAATTGGGGACTGGGAACTGAGACTGGGGATTGGGATGGGGAGCTGAGACTGGGACCAGGAGCTGCGACCTGGGACTGAAACTGGAACTGGGAGCTGGGACTGGGACTGGGACTGGGACTGGGACTGGGGAGTGGGAACTGGGGACTGGGACCGGGGACTGGGACTGGGAACTGAGACGGGCACTGGGGACTGGGAGCTCAGACTGGAATGGGACTGGGGACTGAGACTGGGGATTTAAACTGGGAACTGAAACTGGGAACTGGGAGTGGGACAGGGAGCTGAGACTGGGACCAGAAGATGGGATTGGGACTGGGACTAGGCCTGGGAGCTCAGACTGGGACTGGGACCGGGACTGGGAGCTGGGACTGATACTGGGACTGGGGACTGGGAGCTCAGACTGGGACTAGGGACTGGGGACTGTCACCAGGCACTGGCATGGCTCTGCAGTGGCACTGGGAGCTGGCACTGGGAGCTGGCACCAGGACTGGGAGCGGACTGGGGGCACGGGGCAGGTGGCACGGTGACCTCGCGGGGCACGGGGCACGTGGCGGGGTGACAGAAGGGTGACAACAGGGTGACAGCAAGGCCACAGCAGGGTGACAAACAGGACGACATCAGGGTGACAGCAGGTGACAGCAGGGTGACATTGGGGTGACATTGGGGTGACAAACAGGGTGACAGCAGGGTGACATTGGGGTGACAAACAGGACGACATCAGGGTGACAGCAGGGTGACATTGGGGTGACATGAGGCCAGGTGATGGAAGGTGAAAAACAGGGTGACATCAGGGTGACAGCAAGGCCACATCAGGGTGACAGTAAGGTGACAGGGTGACATTGGGGTGACATCGGGGTGACATCGGGGTGACATTGGGGTGACAGGGTGACATTGGCGTGACATCAGGGTGACAGGGTAACATCAGGGTGACATTGGGGTGACATCGGGGTGACATCGGGGTGACTTCAGGCCGTGCTGGGGACAGGCCAGCGCAGCCAGGGCTCCCGGAGGGGACACGGGCACTTGGCCGCACCGGGCTGGGCTCTGCCCCTCCCCTGCCTCAGTTTCCCCCGGGATTTCTCCACCTGCTCCCGGCGCGGGACCCCCGGGGGGGCGGGGGGCGAGGGGGAGCGGAAGGGAGGGAGGTGTGAGGCGCTGCCGCCCCCTCCCCGAATTTCCTTCCCAGGCATTAAATGCGCTCGGGCGGCTTTGAAATTTTATTACCCATAAAATTGACGACACGCTGGGGTTTTCCTCTCGGGGGCCCCCCCTCCCCGCCCCTTTCACAGCTCGGGGGCCCCCCCAAAATAAAAAACCGACCCCCTCCCCCGGCTGGGGGGTCCCACGGGCCCGGATGCGCCCCGGGGAGGGGAGGGGGGGCTCCGCTCTGTTATTATTTTGATTTTTATTTTGATTTTTATTTTTCCCCCCTCTCGGCTCGCCCCCCCCGGGGGTTGCGGGGTTTTTATGGCTCCTGAACAGAAGGAGGGGAAGGCGCTTTATGGGCGCAGCGGAGCCATAAAACTCTCGGGTTCCCCCCGCCCCCCGCCCCCCGAGACCCCTCCCGGGTGGGGGCCCCGAGCTGCGGGGAGGAGCCGAGAGGGTTAAATTGGCTGCTAAACCCCCCCCCCCACACCCCGAGGGGCTTCCCGTGACCCCCGCGACCCGCGGGGGGTGGGGGGGTCCGGGGGGAGCCGCTCAAGGTCAGCGCGACACGAGGAGGGGGCGACACCAGGACCGGGGGGACAGCGCCGACCCCTCGGGGAGGGGGTGGGGGGCTCGGAGCGGGGGGCCCCGAATGCGGAACAAAGAGCGGTGGGGGGGGGGTCCGGGGGCCGCCCCCCGCCCGGCACGGGCCCAGCTGTGCCCGGTGTCCCGGTAACCTTTATCCCCCGTTGCCACAGCGACCGGACGAGCATCCTGGCACCGCGGCCAGCGGGGGCACGGCCCCCCCGCGGGACCCCCCCACCCATCACCGCCGCGCCCGGTGTCCCCCCCCCGCCCGGGATGGCCCCCGGGATGGTGGGGGGACAGCGATGTCCCCGCTGTCCCCAAGGAGGGGTTTGGTGGCCCCACGGTGGCACCTGCAGCCCCCCAAGTCCCCCCCACTTCCCACCGGGACCCACCGGCCCCGTTGCCGCCCCCCCCACCCCCCCCGCGCCGGTGCCACTTCAGCCCCGGTGACAAAAAAGTGACAAAAAGTGACAAAAAGTGACAAAGTGACAAAGCCCCCGCCGAGCTGGGGTGGGGGGTGGGGGGTCTCTCGTGGCTCTGAGCAGCGTGGGGGGGGTTGAGTGGAGGGTCCCCGCCGCCCCCAGCCCCATTTGCGAGCGGCGGGGAAGGGCCGGCGAGGGGAGGCGACATTCGGCGACATTCGGCGACATTGCCGGTGTCGTGACCCCCGCGCAGCAAATGGCCCCGCGCCGCAGCTGGGCGCGATTAAACCTGACCGGGGCGGGCCGGGGGCGGGGGGCGAATTCCCCGCTCAATTCGACCCAGATGTGGGGCCGGGCCGGGGGGCGGCGGGGAGACCCCCGGAGCCCGGGGCTGATCGGGGCTGTCACCGCCCCGCCGCTGGTGGCGCTGGCTTTGGTCACCTCCCGGGTTTGGGGGGCTGCGGGAGCCCCCCGAGAGCTGTGGGGGGTGTGGGGGGTGGGAGATGCGGACCCGCCCCCGGCGCATCCCCGGGGAGGAAGGGGCGGCCCCGAGCAGGTGCCGCGGGCCCGGAGCCCCCCGCCCCACGCAGGCCGGGACCCCCCCCCGTGGGGGGCTCGCTCCGGGCCGCTCCTGAGCCCCCCGGGGCCGCGGGGCAGGGGGCGAGTGGGGACCCCCGAGCGGGCGACCCCCGGGCCGGGCTCTGCCCCGACCTTCACCCCCGCACGGCTCGGGGGTCCCGCAGTGGGGCCGGGGGGGCCCCCGAGGGCGGCTCGGGGGTCCCAAGGGGTGGGAGGGCCATGGAGAGGAGCGGGGGGGTCCCAGAGTGCGGCTCGGGGATCCCAGAGTGTGGCTCGGGGGTCCCAGTGTGGGTCTGGGGATTCCAGAATGAGGCTCGGGGATCCCCGTTTGGGGCTTGGGGGTCCCCGTGTGGGGCTCGGGGGTCTCTGTGTGGGCCTGGGAATTCCAGAGAGGAGCTCGGGGGTCCTGGCAGGGGGCTGGGGGGGTCCCAGAGAGGGGCTTGGGTCCTGGAGGGAGGCTCAGGGGTCCCGTCACGGGGCCTGAGGGGTCCCAGCATGGGGCTGGGGGGGGTCTCAGAGAGGGTCCTGGGTTCCTGAGTGGGGCTGGGGGTCCCTGAGTGGGGCTGGGGGGTCTCAGAGAGGGTCTGGGGGATCCCATTGAGGGTCCTTCAGTGACTCTTGGGCATCCCAGTGTGGGGCCGGGGGTCCCGGTGTGGGGCTGGGAGTCCCTCGGTGCCTCTCGGGGGTCCTGGTGCGGGGCTGGGGGGTCCCTCGGTGAATCTCAGGGGTCCCAGTGTGGGGCCAGGGATCCCGGTATGGGGCCGGGGGTCCCGGTGCAGGGCCAGGGGGTCCCTTGGTGCCTCTCGGGGGTCCCGGTGTGGGGCCGGGGGTCCTTCAGTGACTCTCGAGGGTCCCGGATCGCGGCTCGGGGGTCCCGGTGCGGGGCCGGGGGGGTCCCTCAGTGCCTCTCGGGGGTCCCGGTGCAGGGCCGGGGGTCCCTCGGTGCCTCTCGGGGGTCCCGGTGCGGGGCCAGGAGGTCCCTCAGTGAATCTCAGGGGTCCCGGAGCGCTGCTTGAGGATCCCGGTGCAGGGCCGGGGGTCCCGGTGTGGGGCCGGGGGGGTCCCTTGGTGCCTCTCGGGGGTCCCGGTGCAGGGCCGGGGGTCCCTCGGTGACTCTCGGGGGTCCCTTGGTGCCTCTCGGGGGTCCCGGTGCGGGGCCGGGGGGTCCCAGCGAGGCTCCCCAGGCCCAGCCTGACCCCTCTCTCCCGTCCCTCGCCCCGCAGCGGACCCGGCGGTGCAGATCGAGGGCAGCCCGCACTGCTGCTTCTTCAACTTCAGCCCCAAGGTCATGTTCACCAAGGTGGTGAAGGCGCAGCTCTGGGTGTACCTGCGGCCGGTGCAGCACACCGCCACCGTCTACCTGCAGATCCTGCGCCTCAAGCCCGTCACGGAGCAGGGCAGCCGCCACATCCGCATCCGCTCGCTGAAAATCGAGCTCAACTCCCGCGCCGGCCACTGGCAGAGCATCGACTTCAAGCACGTCCTGCAGAACTGGTTCAAGCAGCCCCACAACAACTGGGGCATCGAGATCAACGCCTTCGACCCCAACGGCAACGACCTGGCTGTCACCTCGCTGGGGCCCGGCGCCGAGGGGCTGGTGGGTGGCACTGCCCAGAAACGGGGGTTTGGGGTGTCCCCGAAGGGGTTTGGGGTGTCCCGAGGGGCTGGTGGGTGGCACTGCCCCGAGAATGGGGGTTTGGGGTGTCCCCGAGGGGGTTTGGGGTGTCCCGATGGGCTGGTGGGTGGCACTGCCCCGAGAATAGGGGTCTGGGGTGTCCCCAAGGGGGTCTGGGGTGTCCCCGAGGGGCTGGTGGGCAGCGCTGCCCAGGGGATGGGGGGTTTGGGGTGTCCCTAGACATGCTGCCCCCAGGAATGGGGGGTTTGGGGTGTCCCCGAGGGGGTCTGGGGTGTCCCCGAGGGGGTTTGGGGCGTCCCCAAGGGGCACTGGGTGGGTGCTGGGACAGGGCTCAGGGACGGTGCCAGCTCCGAGGGGTGGTGGCAGCCTGGGGGATCGCAGGTCTGAGGGACAGGGACAGTTCCGGGGGGCTGGTGGCAGTTTAGGGAGGGGGTCACAGGTCATGGGTGACAAGTGACAGCTCCGTGGGGACAGTGACACTCTCGTGGGGCTGGTGACACCTCCAGGACATGTCACTGCCCCCTGGCACAGCGCAGCCGGGCTGGGTGGAGTGGTGTGCACTGGGGGTGGTGGTGTCACCATTGTCCCCTCACCACTGTCCCTTTGTCACTGTCCTGTGTCCCCTCCCTGCTGTCCTGTATCCTCCCACCATTGTCCCGTGTTCCCTCACGGCTCTCTGGTGTCCCGTCCCTGCTGTCCCTGTCCTGTCCCTGTCCTGTCCCTGCTGTCCCTGTCTCCTGTGTCCCCTCATCCCTGTGCCCCCTGTCCTCTCTCGGCCATCCCTGTCCCTGTCCCCTCCCCGCTGTCCCTGTCCCTGTCCCCTCTCCCTGTCCCTGTCCTCTCTTGCTGTCCCTGTCCCTGTCCTCTCCTGCTGACCCTGTTCCTGTCCCCATCCCCGTCCCCATCCCTGTTCCTGTCCCTGTCCCCTGTCCCTCCCTGCTGTCCCTGTTCCCATCCCTGTCCCTGTCCCCTCTCCCTGTCCCTGTCCCTGTCCTCTCCTGCTGTCCCTGTCCCCTGTCCCCATCCCTGTCCCCTGACCCTGTTCCTGTCCCCATCCCCATCCCCATCCCTGTTCCTGTCCCTGTCCCCTGTCCCTCCCTGCTGTCCCTGTCCCCATCCCTGTCCCCGTCCCTGTCCCCGTCCCGGTCCCCAGCACCCCTTCATGGAGCTGCGGGTGCTGGAGAACAACAAGCGCTCGCGGCGGAACCTGGGGCTGGACTGCGACGAGCACTCGGCGGAGTCGCGCTGCTGCCGCTACCCGCTGACCGTGGACTTCGAGGCGTTCGGCTGGGACTGGATCATCGCCCCCAAGCGCTACAAGGCCAACTACTGCTCGGGCCAGTGCGAGTACATGTTCATGCAGAAGTACCCGCACACGCACCTGGTGCAGCAGGCCAACCCCCGCGGCTCGGCCGGGCCCTGCTGCACGCCCACCAAGATGTCCCCCATCAACATGCTCTACTTCAACGACAAGCAGCAGATCATCTACGGCAAGATCCCCGGCATGGTGGTGGATCGCTGCGGCTGCTCCTAGAGCCGCCCCGCCTGCCCTCCTTCCTCCCCCGCCTGCCTCCCCTCCGAGCGAGCCCCCCCTGCCCCCGCGGCCTCCTCTTTTTTGCCGCTTTTTTTTTTGGTTTTTTTTCTTTTCTGGTTTTGTTGTCGGTTCGGGGCGGGGCGGGAAGCGAAAAGCGACAAAGGCCAAGCGTTGAAATCGGTTTGGACGGCGGAGGAGAGAGAGAGAGGAGGAGAATCCCACGGAGCAGCGACCCCGCGATCCCACGCGCATTGTGCAATAAAAGCGAGCGGACGGAGAAGGGAAAGGGGGGGACGGGGGGGCGCCGGGACCCCCGGGCCGCGGTGGCGACACGGGGACACCGCGGGGACACGGCCCCGGCTGGCGGCTCCCCCGGGCCAGCCCAGCGGGGAGAGCAGCAGCAGGAGGAAGAGGAGGAGGAGGAGGAGGAGGAGGAGGAAGAGCGAGCGCACCCCGCGTCTCCCCGTGCTCCTGGAGCAGCGCCGGGGACACCGCTGGTGGCACCGCTGGTGGCACCCAAGGCGGGGTGACCCCGTCCCCGCGGCCGCAGCGAGGTCCGGCCGCGGGACCCACCCCCGGGACCGGGAGGAAAGCGCCTCCCTTCTTTAATTTATTTATTTATTAATCGCCCTCCCGGCCGGCGCTCGCCCCGCTCCCTCCCCTCGCAGCCGGGACCGGCTCCGGAGGGGCCGCTCCGGCCCGGAGAGCCCCGGGACCCCCGGGCAAGGGCGGCCGCAGGGGCCGGAGCCTCCGCCCGGGCTTTGGATGCAGCCCTGGCACCGGCCCCGGGGCCCCGGCGCTTTCCCGGGGGGTGAGGGCGGTCCGGCGGCCCGGGGGTCACCCGGAGGCGACACCAGAATTGTTGGGAGGCTCCGGCTGGGGCTGAAATTCCGCTTACGCCGCACATTCGCCTCCCGCTGCCCTCGGAGGGTTTGGGTTTTGTTTTTATTTTTTTTTCTTTTTTTTTTCCCCTGTTGTTTGTGTTTGTTTCACGTGAGAACGAACCCCCCGCGTCTCCCCAGGCTCCGCCGCGGCTCCCGCGGTTCCTCCCGGCCCCGAGCGATGCGGGCGGGGCGCGGCCCCGGCGCCGGAGCGGCCGCGGCCGGAGGAGGCTCCGGGAAGGGGGAGAAGCCCCCGCGGCCCCCGGGCCCAGCACTTATCCCCAGGGGGCCGCGGGGGGACGCGGCCCCGGCCCGGGGGGCTCCGGGCGGAGCAGCACTTAGGGGGACTCACGGGCCGGGGCCTCTCGGCATCTTTAGCACTTGTCGCCGGCTCCGCCGCAGCCCCGCGGAGCCCCGGAGCGCTCACGGGGCCGGGGCGGCCCCGGGGGGAGGAACGCGGCTCCCCCGGGCCCCCCCTCCTGCCGCCGCAGCACTTAGGGGGCCCCCGGTGCCGCCGCCCGGTGCCGCCGCCCGGTGCCGCCGCCCTGGTGTCGCCGGCGGGGCCCGCAGCGAGGGAACGGGGATGGGGAAAGCCGGGGAGGGGGGCGGAAGGGAAGGGAGGGGTCCCCGCGCCCCCAAAAGGGGCACAAGCCTGGCCCCAGTGACCCCCAGCCCCTCGCGGTGACCCCCAGCCGGGGATGCCAATCCGGGGTCGGGGGTCGCGGCGCCCCCCGGCCCTGCCCCTCGGTGCCCGGGGGGTCCGGGGCCGGAGCGGGGCAGGGGACGCCCCCGTGGCCAGCGCTGCCCCCACCGGGAGAGGTCCAGAACCGCTGGGAGGGACTGGGAGCCCCAAAAGCCGCGGTCCCGCACCCCAAAAACCCCGCGGGGACCCGGGGCTGGCACGGGCAGGTGGCACTGGAGGGGACAGGAAGGGAGGGTGGGAACTGGGACCAGTCTGAGCCGGGCACTGGGACCAGTTCAGGACCGGACACTGGAACCCCCCAGCTCCAGGCACTGGGACCAGTGCCCAGGACTGACCAGTCCCAGTGCCCAGCTCTAACTGGTCCCAGTGCCCGGCTCTGACTGGTCCCAGTGCCCAGCTCTAACTGGTCCCAGTACCCAGCTCTAACTGGTCCCAGTGCCCAGCTCTAACTGGTCCCAGTACCCAGCTCTGACTGGTCCCAGTACCCAGCTCTAACTGGTCCCAGTGCCCGGCTCTAACTGGTCCCAGTGCCCGGTGCTGACTGGTGCCACAGGCAGAGGGTGGCGGGGGGGGGGGGTGGCGGCCCCCCGAGTATATTATTATTCTAATTATTCTAATTATTCTAATTATTTCCCGCTCTCGGGCTGTGCGTGACGTCTTAGGTTCCTTTTCTGTTGGTCCGTTCGTTGTTTTTGTCCCTCGTTCTGTCGCTCCGGGGGGACCCGGGGGGGTCCCGGGGGGGGTCCCGGGGGAGGGGGGGGCGGGGCCGAACTCAGCACTTGAACAGCAAAAATATAAAAAGAAAGAATAAAAAAAATTTCCAAAAAAAATTAAAATTAGGGTTTTTTTTAAAAAAGAAAAAAAAAGAGAAATAATCCGAGAGCTGCGAGGTTTCAGCTCCAGCCCCGGCGCTCTGCGGGTGCCGATGTCCCCATTGTCACCTTTGTGTCACCTTTGTCACCTCCCGGGGGCGGGGAAGGGGTTTGGGGACCTTGGGGGTGGCACTGGGGACAGCCCCGGGGGACAGGGGGGACAGAGGGGACACCGAACAGTGCCAGGCTGGCACGGGGACAAGGCCAGCAGGGCCCGAGTCCTTGGGGACAGAGGGCATGGGGACAACATTGGGCACGGGGACAGTGCCATGGGGACACCGGGAATGGGGACATGGGGACAGTGCCCTGGGGACATCAAGCATGAGGACACGGGCACGGGGACATTTGGGACAGGGCTGGGGACATTTGGGATGGGCTGGGGACATTTGGGGTCCTGGCACGGCCCCCTGGCTGTAAAAGCGGATTTTAAAGGGGGATTTCAAATGGGGGATTTTTAATGGGGGATTTTTAAAGGGGGATTTTTAATGGGGAGGATTTTAAGGGGAGAATTTTTAATGGGGATTTTAAGGGGAATTTTACGAGCGAGCCGGAGCCTCATTAGGGGCTGCAGCTATGCCGGGAATGTCCCCGGCTAATTAGGGACGGGAGGGGACAGGTGGGCAGTGACCCCCCAGTGTCCCAGCAAGGGCCGGACACAGGGATGGACACAGGGACTGGACACAGGGACAGGACACAGGGACGTGGCTCCAGCTGGGTCAGTGGGTCCTGCTGGGTTGGTGGCCCCCTGGCCACTGGCTGTGTCCCCAGTGTCCACTCTGGCCATGTCCCCAGTGTCCACTCTGGCCAGAGCCTCCAGGACACCCCCGAGGCCTCTCTGGCCCCTCCCCATGCAGCTGTGGTCACCTCGGAGTGACCGCAGTGACCGGAGTGACCGCAGTGACCACTGTCCCTTTCCTGTCCCCTCCGGCCAGGGGGGCCTGGCCAGAGCCCCGAGGGCGAGCTCAGGACCCCGGAGTGACCCCGGGGGGACACCCCCGGTGTGGAGCGAGCCCGGGCTGAGCCCGAGGGGCACCGGGACCGTGCCAGGGCCATGCCAGGGGACACCGGGGGGGTTCTGGTTCCCGTTTCTCCGCTCCGAGGACCTGACCCAGTGCTCGCTTTTCTTCCGCTGCCCCGGCCCCATTCCCACTCCCGTTCCCATTCCCAGTTCCCATTTCCCCTTTTCCCGTTCCCCTTTCCCAATTCCCAGTCCCGTTCCTGGCCCTGCTCTCTCATTCCCGTTGCTGTTCCTGTTCCCCTTTTCCCATTCCCTGTTCCCCATTCCACATTCCTATTCCTGCTCCCCTTTCCCTGTCGCCCATTTCCCCTTTTCCTGTTCCCCATTCCTGTTCCCCATGGTTCCCATTACCGTTCTCATTCCTGGTTCCCATTCCCCGTTTCCCCTTTCCATTCCCCTTTTCCCATTCCCAGTTCCTGTTTCCCTGCTCCCCATTCCCGGTTCCCAGTTCTCATTCCCTTTTCCCATTTCTCCTTTTCCCGTTCCCATTCCCCGTTCCCCTTTTCCCATTCCCATTTCCCATTCCCCGTTCCCCATTCCTGGTTCCCCTTTTCCCATTCCCGTTCCCATTTCCCATTCCCGTTTCCCGTTCCTGTTTCCCATTCCCAGTTCCCCTTTTCCCATTCCCGTTCCCCATTCCCGGTTCCCATTTCCCGTTCCTGTTTCCCATTCCCAGTTCCCCTTTTCCCCTTCCTGTTTCCCATTCCCAGTTCCCCATTTCCCATTCCCAGTTCCCATTCCCATTTCCCATTCCCGGTTCCCATTCCCGTTCCCCGCTCCCCCTGCCCCGGACATCCGGGGGCCACCCAGGGCGGCAGGGCACTAATGAGCACCACTCATTAACGCCGTTAATTAACGCCATTCATTAACGCCATTAATTAACGCGATGGGCACGGTGAGCACGACTTGGCCTCGATCCACCCGCCCTGGACAGTGAGGGACAGGAATTCCTGGAAAAGCTCAGGAAAATCCAGATTTAACCCCAGGAATTCCTGGGAAATCTGGATAACAGCAGGAAAACTGCAGGAATTCCTGGAAAAGCTTCGGAAAATGTGGATTTAACACCAGGAATTCCTGGGAAACCTCAGGAAAATCGGGATTTAACACCAGGAATTCCTGGCAAATCTCAGGAAAATCTGGATAACAGCAGGAAAATTGCAGAAATTCCTGGATAAGATCAGGAAAATTGGGATTTAACACCAGGAATTCCTGGGAAACCTCGGATTGACCCAGGAAAGGAGGGAATTGCCGGAATTCCAGAGGTTTTTCCCACAATTCCAGCCCCAAATCCAAACCCCTGGGGAAAAAAAAAATGGGATTTCCTTGGAAAAGGGAAATGTTTTATTGGGAAATGCGGGACGAGGGGCAGCACCCGACCCTTCCGAGGGAAAAACCGGGAAAATAGAAAAAACCGGGAATACAAAACCCGGGAAAAAACCGGGGAAAAAAAAGGGGGAGGAGCCCCAGGGATGCGCCCGGATCCTGAGGATTTACGGGATGGGAAGGAGCATCCCAGAAAATTCCCAGAGTTTCTGAGGTTCCCGAGGGGTGGGAAAGGAAAATTCCCAAAAAAATAGAATATCTCAGGCTGGGAGTGGCCCTGGAATTCCGGGAATGGCCCTGAATTCCCGAAATTCCCGCCGGGAATTGCAAATCCTGGCAGCTCAAGTCTTCAACAGGGGAAGGGTTCAGGCAATGCCCACCTGGAAATCCAAGAAATCCCTGGAATTGCTGCTTGGATTCCACGGGACATTCCCAAAAATCCCACGGGATTGGGATGCCGGGATTCCCCATGGGAGTTGTTCCATAAATCCCCTCAAATCCCTGGGAAAATGGTCCCAAATCCCTGGGAAAACTGACCCCAAATTCCAGGGAGAAGAGCCCTAAAATCCCTGGAAAAGGAGACCCAAAATCTCTGGAAAATTGCCCCCAAAGCCCTGGAAAAAGAACCCCCAAATCCCTGGAAAAACATCCCCAAAATCCCTGGAAAAAGAACCCCAAAATCCCTGGAAAAACATCCCCAAATTCCATGGAAAATCGGGAATGAGGGAAAAGGGGAATTCCCTGGATGAGGGTTGGGAATTCCATGGAAAATTGGGAATTCCATGGAAAGTCGGGAACAGCGGATCCTGACCTGAGTCGGCTCCGGAGCAGCTCAGACGATCCCGAACCTTTCCGCCCTTTTCCGCTTCTTTGCCTGGATTTGGGAAAGGCCAAAAATTGGGAAAATCCCAGAAATCCACGGGGAGAATCCCGGGAAAGGGAGGGGGGTGGGAATGGGGAAATTCCCGATCCAAAAGGGCAGGAAAATCCCGGGATTTGGGGGGGTTTTCCCAAGGAAATGAGGCCCAAAACACAGGGAATTCCAAACCCCAAATTCCTGGGAAAAAATGGCCCCAAATCCCTGGGAAAACAGCCCCAAAATTCCGGGGAAAACAGTCCTGAAATTCCTGGAAAAGTGGCTCAAAAAGTCCTGGGAAAATGGTCCAAAAATTCCTGGAAAATTTACCCCAAATTCCAGGGAAAACATCCCCAGAATTCCTGGGAAAATGGCCCCAAAATCCTGGGATAACAGTCCTGAAATTAATGGCAAAAAAGCCCTAAAATTCCTTGAAAAACGGGCCCAAATCCCGGGAATTCCTGCCCCAAATCCCGGAATTCCCAGACCCAAATCATGGAATTCCGGTCCCACCTCGGAGTCGTCGGCGGCTCCGGCCCCGGTGACGATCCCAAACCGTTCCTTCCTCTTCTTCAGCTTCTCGTCCTCCTCGCTCTGGGAATGTTGGGAATTTCAGGAATGTTAGGAACGTTGGGATTGGGAATTGCCCCAAATTCCCAAATTTCCCCAGAATTTCCCCCTGAATTCCCAATTTCTCCCACAGAATTCCAAAATTCCCCTCAGATACTCCCCCAGAATTCCCAAATGGGATCGGGAATGTTGGGAATGGGAATGTCCGGAATGGTCCCAAATTCCCCTGGAATTCCTCCCAGAATTCCCAATTTCCCCAAAAAACCCCAAAATTCCCCAAACCCCAAAATTCCCAAAGAAACCAAAATTCCCCAAATTTAACCCCAAAATTCCCCAAATTCCCCAAAACCCCAATTCCCAAAAACCCAAATTCAAAAAAAAACCAATTCCCAAAAACCCCCAAATTCCCAAAATTCCCGGAATCACCAAAATTCCCGAAATTCCGGCTCTCACCTTCCTGGAGAGGGAGGAGACGTTGAGGCCGAACCTCTGGGCCCTTTCCTTCAGCTTCTCCAGGTTCAGCTGAGAAAGGAAATTTGGAAATTTTGGGGATTTTTTGGGATTTGGGATCCGCTTCCAAAGGGGGAAATTCCCAAAATTCCGGAGGCTTTTCCAGAAAATGGGATCGGGAATGTTGGGAATGGGAATGTCCGCAATGGTCCCAAATTCCCCTGGAATTCCTCCCAGAATTCCCAATTTCCTCCCAGAATTCCACCCAAATTCCCCCAAATTCCTGGGAATTCCTGAATTCCCTCACCGTGGGTTTGGAGTCAGCCGCGAGCCCTGGGAAGGAGAAAATTCCCGTCAGGAATTGCCCAAATTCCTGAATTTTCCACTCCCAGAAATTCGGGAAAGGGGATTTGAAATGCCAGGAATTCCCAAAATTCCCAGAATTCCCAAATCCAACTCCTCACCTTTCGTGGGAATTGTGGCCAGGCCGAAGCTGCAGGAAGGAAGAAAACGGGAATTAGGGCGGGAATTTTGGGAATTAGGGACGGAATTCCCTCAGAATTCCCAAATATCCCCCCCAAAATTCCCAAACTCCCCTAAGAATTCCCAAATTTCCCTCTGAATTTACACCCGTAATTCCCAAATCCCCCCCCCGAATTCCCAAATTTCCCTCAGAATTCCCAATTTTCCCCCCAAATTGCCCCCAGAATCCAAAATTCACAAATGTCCCCCTAAAATTCC